AATTCTCACCGCTATAACCAGTCTCCAGGGCAGCTGAGGGCGCTCACCGCATCGCTGAACCCCCCGGGGGCCCTGGGGAGACGTTGAGAGACGGCAGGGACAAAACAGGCATGCTGGCGTGCGCTCGAGCACTGTGAAGGTCTAGAGCCGAGCCCAGTGGAAAGGAACGTTGATCCTTTCGGCGGGGCGCCAGCCCCTCGAAATGGGTCTGATGGAGACGCGATGGGGGTTTCCACCCAGTGTCCCAGCTCCCAGGGCTGCCGTCACGATGCCGGTACTGGTAAGCTCTGACACAAAACGACTGGCGCAATTCTCCCATCGGTAGACGACGAGACGACCCGCTTGGACAGCTCCTTGGCCAAAGTGGATGACTTCTGAGTTGTCATGCTGCACGGCACTGTGTTGATGCAGTTCGTGACTAGGCGGTGTTGATCACTGGAGTATGGAGGATGGTATGGCTCCTGTCACCTGAGGCCTCGGGCCTACGCTCCTGATAATTAGTACAATTGAGCCCTATGAGGATGTCGCTCCCCAAGGGAAAACACCGTCAACAACTTGGGCGCGGTCGACACTTCCTCGTGCTCAAGCAGTAGAGGTAGCAGATCTGAAGGGCGCACTGTTCGTCCCTGAGACGTACCTAGACGACGGGGGGTTCTAGGGCTGTCATCGTCTCGTCGAAACCTCCAAGGATCACCTTATCGTGATGGTGGAACTTCTAGAAGGCGATTCCACTTAGCATGTGCCTCTAGGAAGCCGGGAGGCCTGTCCCGTCGCTAGTTCGGTATCATCAGCTCTAAAGGACTGGGTCTAACCACCAGTCCCAAACCGAACAGGCGGGTGTCGCAAAACGCAATTTCACCAGCCCAGGAGGGTTCTCATTTAGATCCCATGCCGTTTTATCCCGTACTGTACCAGGTCGCGATGGCACTGACGGCAATAAACCTAGACATTAATTCAAGCGTAAAAATTTTCATGGCCTATCATCCAATGTTCGCAATCTCGACAGTGTGCATGTTTGTCTGGGAGTGACAAGCGTTGATCAGTGCTTGGAGAGGTGTCGTGGCAGGCCCACTGTCAGAAGCAGATCCCGTGATGGCTCCCAAGTCACCAACAGCAACCGACGATAACACTCGAGACACTGAGATGATGTGGTATGCGGGATGCCCAAGACGCCTCTGGAGATGATGCGATGTCAGTTCTAGGCCACTGATGGAGGATTGACGTCTCTTCTGAGTAATCTGCGGGTGGGGCAAGGAGGCTAGCTGAGAGCTATGAGCTGAGCTGAGCTGAGCTGCATCCCCGTTCAGACGGCGAGAGGGGCATCGGGGCTCTAGGCTCTGGATTTTGAGAGCTATGGAGTATACGCACCCCGCAACACATTTTAAGCACACATAAGCGTTGGGGATTGCCATCTGGTGTCGAGTGGGCGGAGAGCCGATTGCCTGGGTGCATAACCTGCGTTGGGGATGGTCCATTGGTCCAGGTGACCGGCCTTAGCTGCCTGGTGGTTCCTAGTGGGCTCAACGTCAAGACGAGGTCACCAGGATATCGTCGCATGATGTTCAGCAACCCCTCATCCGCAGCCAAGGATGGGCGAGTTTCGCGATGCCGCCCCCGCTCACATGCTCAGGGACGAGCCGCCAGTTACCCCTCATCAGAGTCCAAGGCCATCGGTTCGCCCAGCAGGTCTACAGCGTCTCTGGTGAATGGTGCTATCGCAGCCGAAGACGAGGCTTACACAGTACACAGAAAAGAGAGGGCACGCCTGCAAGATGGAGCCAAGGTTCACCAAGGACTCTGGTCCCGACGAACCTTGGCAGAAACCCACTACGGAAGCCCTCGAAACCTTCGATGTGGGGGGAGTCACTGTACCTGAAGTCGAGTGCTATATCGCAAGACGCACGTCAAGCCGTCCAATTCACTGTCAGCAAGGTGCCTGCCTGGGTGTTGCGACTGGCATCCAGTATGTAACTAGGGGATGGTATGCGACTGCGACTTGTTATTGCGACCGCGGTCCACTCATCTTTGCTGGCAAGCACCAGCCTCATTCTGGAGGGCTGCATGTCTCCATTATCTCGCATGAGAGTCGACCCAGTCGGCAATGCAGGTCAAGAAAGCAGACCAGTTCGTCGATCATTGTACAGCAAGTCGTGTCGGCTGACACTATTTCGGGACACATGTCTGCAAATGAGCGAACATCATGCATTCTGAGCCACAGTTGCGCCTGGAAATAGATGAATCGCATGGATGGCATAGTCCGACCCCGAGTACCAGAAGAATTCGGAAATGGACTACTCTGGCCAAATCCGAAGGACTGGATAGCGATGCAGACATAGCCACCCCTCGAGGGTTTGACATTTCTACGTAGGTGAGTTGGTACCTAGATACTTGGTAAGTAGTGGCTGGGGGTAGCCTGTCGTTGCGTTCGCCGGCAATCCTCCTGGGAGACCCCGCTCACTGGCGGGAATACTCGTTCGCCAATCGTGCCAAAACACCAGGACACGAATAGACGTGGCGATGAAGTAGTTGGTTAGCGGACGCGCTCGGATAGTGCAAGCAAACACTAGAGAGAGTGGTATTGCCCCCCTTGGGAAGAGAATTCCAAACGAAATAAGCAAGAGGCCATCATCTCCCCCTACGATGGAAGCTTGTACAGTGCAAATGCAAAGTGACAGACATTTCCGCATGCTATTATCGGAAATAATCAATCAAATCAATCAAAAGGAAGTGGGATGAGGGGCAGGCTGGCAGGCAATCAGGCATGGGACAAGCACGAGCGACAGGGGAAGCAACCGAGCCCGCGCGCCGGAGGGACGGGTTGCTGTTTTAGCGGGAGGACGGCGTCTTTAGTGGTGCCCCGCTTTGGATTCATAGTCTGGCAAGTCTGGGTCTGGGATGGGGTTGACGGAATGGACGGCGACCAGATGACTCCGAGCACACGCGAGGGGAGGTCGAGCTTGCGAGGGGCAGAGAGGGGAAAAAAGTACTGTGTGAGCGCGCCTTCAGTCGCGGGAGGCGAGCATGTTGATACGGTTTGCGACAATGAAAGAATAGATAAGGGACTGAGATTCATCAATGCCCATCTGCGTGGGTTTGAATGGTTGGGGGAGAGTTTCCGCTGCGTGTACTTCGAGAGTTATCCCAGGATCCTAGGACGGACGCGTTGGCGATATGTGAGAGGCTGGGGGCAAGTCCCCGTCGGTCCAGTGTCAGCGGTGGTCGACCTCGGGAGGGCGACCGGTCAAACACGAGCCAGCTGAATTGGGGATGTGGACGTGCTTGACGTGGTGCGATGCCCACCCGGATTGTCGCAACAACAGGCGATTGCAAAAGGCAGCTAGGCCCGAACGGGCTTGTCGCTGCTTTTGCCGGCCTGGCGTTGGCCAGCTCCGGGGAGAGATAGATGGATGGATGGCAAGATGGGGATTGAGATTGTCGAGTGAGGCCCAGCACCAGTGCACCAGTGCATCACACCAAGGTGCTGGGCACTGAAGGCTGGGTGGCCGAAGAGACACGGACTGGGGCACCGGATGTGGTGTCTCGTAGGTGTGTGTGTGTGTGTGTGTGTGTGTGTGTGTGTGTGGTTGTCCTTGTCTCGTCGTGTCGTGCGTGTCGTGGACTGTCCCACTCTAAAGTGGTAGGTGCCTTGGGGTGCGCGATCGAGCTCCAAGCCATGGGATGTCGTCGCTCCTCGTCGTGGCTCGTGGCCCGTGGTCCGTGGCTCGCCCGCTCGCGCTTTTTCTGGCCACTGTCCTCTTGCGTTGCGGGCTCCGGGCTTGGTCGCGCTTCCCGCATTCGCACTGTCGGGTCAACGTGCGGGGGTGTCGTCTGGGTCGTCTTGTCCGTCGAGCCCGTCCAGCCCGTCGGCAGCAAGCGCCGTACAACGCTTGCGCAGCACCCGTTCTCGTCGCCATTAGTGCACACGGCCTGCCGCCGCGGAAATCCGCACGGTGCCCGTTACCTTGTCGACGCACCCCATCCCACCCTGTCCGCCCGCCAAACCCGCCAACACCCCCCGGCCGCATCGGCACCATCGACACCCCACTGGCATCGTGCGCCCATCGAAATCAAGGTTGGTACTGGGTAAGCAGTCCGTCTCGTCCATGCCCGCTCTCCCACGAATGCGCCTCGCACTGTGGGCCGATAGCGTCTTTCTGCCTGGCACCCACAGCACAAGCAAGTGCTGCACACTTCCAATGCTGGGCAGCGCGCTGCACAGCACAGCACAGCACAGAACAGCACACAGCGCCAGCGCCAGCACCACTACCCAGCACCCAAGCACCCAAGCACCCCTCTCCCATCATCCCATCCCCCCCCCCCCCAGTCCCCAGTTGAAGCGCAAGTACGCCCGCGAAGCTTGGGGTGCCCGCCCACCCTCGCTCGCCCTCTGCCACTTTCCCTCCCTCCATCCATTCCGAGTTTTGTCCCTCCTCCATCCTCCCCCTCCTTTTTTTTCTGTTTCCCATTCTTGCTCATCATCCATCGACCCCTCTTCAGCAGCCCTTCATAAGCATTGCGCATCGCATCACTTCGCGCCGCCTCGCAGCAGACGTGCGCACTTCCCGGGTACCTCGTGTAGCGGGAATCATTCACCGGCTTAGGCCCTTCACCCCAACCACATCTCATTCCATGACCCGCATATCGAAACAAATGACCAACCACATCCAGTCCAGTCAAGAAGACACACTTTAAAGCCCACGGGAGCGCGTGTGCGAGCGAGAGGAGCGAGAGAGAGAAAGAGCCGAGCAGAGAATTCACAAGAGACAAACAAGCCAGACGATACTCAACTATCGGTCTGTGAGGAACAGCCGCCCACCATCACCAGAGAGCCATCAGCGTTGTCCTGTCATCCCCCGTTACTGTCGAGTCCAGCCACCCGAGTAGCGCTCACGGAGACATTCCCAAGAACCACCAGTTGAGATCCATCGCCGACTCGCTGCCGTGCGACACCAGCCTCAGACCAGACAGTTCCCCTTCATCACAAACGACGACGCTTCGAGATGCCTGCCGCCAACGTAGCCGTTGTTCCCGCCACGTCGGCTGCATCAACGCCAGCCGCCCGCAAGACCTCGACCTCGGGCTCGCAACCGGAGAGAAAGTACAAATGCCAGTTCTGCGCAAGGGCATTTAGTAGAAGCGAACACCGCAGTAGACACGAGCGATCACGTATGTGGCGCCATCCATTTTCCTTTGGCTACTACCGCCGCCTGCCATAGTGCCTTGGTGTAGTTCTCCAACGGCCAACCCCTCCTGCGTTCCGTCAGACTCGACGCGCGAGCTACCACACGAGTCGTGCCCGTTACCCCTCAACACCAACGGGTCGGCGATCGCGATGCGCAAATCCCCCAAACTCCCCAAGAGCCACCCCTCCCAACTTCCGTCTCGATCACCATCCATCGTATCGTCATCACTGCTAACATTTCTCGTGCTCCCAGACACCAAGGAACGCCCCTTCAAGTGCATGAAGTGCCGCAGTACCTTCGTGCGACGCGACCTGCTTCTACGCCATGATCGAACTGTCCACGCAAAGGATGGCGGCGTCCCTCTCCACAGCGACGGCAAGCGTCGCGCTGGCCCCAAGGCTCCTCGCCCCGTCGGCGGTCCGTCCAAGTCGTCCATCGCCCTTGACAACGCCACCATTGAGCAGATCGAGGCCAGCAGTGATGGCAACTTCGATGTCGAGACCGCTGCCATGCTGATCACCGACCTGCACCACAAGACGGCCGCTGCCATGCGCAATGGAAGCCTGTACGATGGGAGCTCGGCCATGGCTGGCATCGCCTACACCCAGAACGACACCCCCATGATGGAGCCCGCCGTTCCATATGTGCCCGAGGTCCTCCCTCCGCAGAACGTCCAGTGGGATGCCTTCCTCAACCACGCCGTCTCGGAGGCCAAGGCCCATTCCACCACCTCCAATGGCTCCTTCGACCAGCAGTCCTTTGCTTCTGTGAGTACCGCCTACGCCCAGGTCAAACCCAGTCCTCGGTTGCCACCCATCTCCTCAGTCCGTCAGACTTGCAACGATCTCGTGCCCGCCCTGCAGTCCATGATCGACTCGCTGCCCCCTGCATCCGCTGGTTCCTCCTCGCGTGTCCCCTCCTCTGCCACCGCCTCCACCGCTCCCACGTCGCCCCTCCTGACCCGAAGCGTGTATTCCTTTGCTGACCCGCCCAAGTCCCCGGCCGGGTTCAAGGCTCCCCAGGTGCTCAGCGATGATGAGCGGAACATGATACTGGACAATATCCGGGTCCACGACGGCGAGCGCGCCATTCCCGAAGGCTTCCGGGTTCCCAACCTGGCCTCCCTGAATCGGTACCTCGCAACCTACTTCGGCCTGTTCCACCATCATTTGCCGTTCTTGCATCCCGCCTCCTTCAGGCCGACCGAGGTTTCCCCAGCACTGTTGCTTGCCGTGCTCTCCATTGGTGCTCTCTACGCCTTTGATCAAGACCAGGCGTACATGCTGCACATCGGATCCAAGGTGCTGGTCAACCAGTTTCTGCAGAACAAGGAGAACTTCAGCTCCCGCAAGTGTCCCTTGTGGACGATGCAGGGCTCTTTGCTCAACATGATCTTCGCCAGCTGGAGTGGCGACCCGAAGGGTCTGGAGTGGGCTTGCTCCATCAAGAGTCTGCTCGCCAACATGGTCGCCGGCAACCGCTACGAACTGAAGCTGCGGCACGAGGCGCGCGCCGGTGTTCTACCTACGCGCGCAGAATGGGTCGAGGATGAGGGCTGCCGCCGAACCTACTACGCAGTCTACATCTTCTTCGGCCTGCTCACTCTCACCTACAACCACACCCCGGCCATCAGCTTCAACGAGTTCGAGGACTTGCAACTGCCCTCAGCCGAAGGTCTCTGGAACTCAAAGGCGACCGATGAGGAGGCGTGGCAAGAACAGCTCAAGGCGTCTTGCGTCGTCACCTTCATGGACGCCCACGACAACCTCTTCCAGGGCGAGCAGTTGAAGTACAGCGCTTTTGCGACGCGTGTTATGATCAACGCCTTGTTCCTGGAGGTTTGGTATCACAAGCGCAGCCCCGAGGCTCTGCAGGATGTTGTGACCGAGTACAAGCTCAGGCTTGCTCTCGAGACCTGGGAGAAGTCCCTGGATCTCTGCGAGCCCGAAGCCGACACGGTCCCTCTCAGTGCTCCCCACAAAGGTCACCCTCTGATTTTCAACGCGAGAGCCATGTTCCGCAATGCGCGGGCACGTCTCGAGGTTGATCTGAAGACGGTTCAAGAGGCACTTCGTTATCACGATCCCTACGAGGTTGCCGCTGCCATGTCGGGCGCACGTGACAGAGTCCGGCGTTCCAGTGAGATGATCAAGGTCATCCAGGAGTGCTACAACTGCATCGAGACTGCTGTTCGTCAGGGTGTTCGATGGGTTGCTCGCACGTCGCCGACCAACTGGAGCATTGAGCATCCCTTGTGTGGCATGGATCTGATGATCATTCTGACGTTGTGGCTATACCGTCTGGAACATGACGAGGAAGCCGCTTCGGAGGAGGAGGCAGCCATGTACACCAAGATCCGCTCGCTCTTCGAGAACGAGTCGGAGCATACTTCGACGACGCAGCTGAGCTCAGTCGTTGCGAACCTCTGGGGTTCAATGTTATCCGAGGTCGTCGTGTGGGGGTAAGTCTTTTTCTCCCGGCTGTTCTTGTTCTATAAAAACCCTAGACCGCAGACTAACTGTTTCCTCCAGAATCACCAGGCTCATGGGAGAGTCCTTCCACCTCCACGGCCAAGCACTCATCGGCTATGTCGACGACGTCGAGGCGTCTTCCAACGTCTCGACCCCGTCGATGATCTCGCAAGGGGCCGATGAGGATAGCGTGTACTAAAACCTATTTCTTCACGAGTAACGATTTCCTTTTGTCTCGTTTTCCTACAGGGTGATGGTGGATTTCTTTGGCATATACCTCGAGAGTTGTTGCTTTCTCCTCGTTTCAGGACGGTCAGGCGTGATGGGGTTGATCAGGAGTTTCGTTTTCGTTGCAATTTTCTTTTTGCATCGCGTCTGCATTTGAGGGCACTGGTAATCAGGGGGCTATTGGTCGGAAACTAAGGGCTCTGTGATCTGGTGGAGGGGAGAACCACCCAGCGCCGTATGCGCACTTAATGTGTGAAGCAAATGGTGGCTGGTCCATTCCGGAATCTTTTTTCCCCCTCTGTTCTTACTAGCCACGCCGCACTTTATCGTGTTTAATCCGCGTCATGATTTCCCTCTCCTTTCCCTTTCGCGTCGTCCTTTCAGATACCTTGTTCAAGTTACCACATCACCCGTTTCCTTGACTCAGTTTTTCCTTGCTTCCCTTTCGGTTGCCAGGCTTGGTCACTTCTCTCTAATGCGATAGACGGCAAGGGGGGAACATTGGAATGGACACGAGCGTGGCAGGCAGGAGGCAAGGGCGCGCGCATCAGATTGATTCATCTCTTACGTCTGGTGGAATTTGGGACCTTTCCGACTGTATAGATACTCAGCGCGTCTTTAAATGCATCACTTCTCTCCGAATTTGGATTTATACGCAATCGTGACTCGAGACTTTTCCGTGAAGTAGCAGCGCTGCTCAACTGTATAATATCAAACACAACGCAGTTCACCCAGAAAAAAAAAATCAAATCAGATAGTTGCAGCCGAGCTTGAAGTGACCCTGGGATTGTCAAGCCCTGAATCACAAGTTTATAGCTCGAGAGTCTATAGGGAGCTGGTATGTTTGCTCACTAGGTAGGACCTACACTTTAGTTGGGCAACCAGGGTCCAACCTTGTCCGTGCGAAACTGGCCAAACGCTCGGCTCTTCCACCGCGCTGAGCCAAGGAAGTCCAGGCCCAAAACCATACCACGACGCCGTCCATGGCCGTGTCCCTGGTTCCCGGTGTGTTGCTGCAGATCTGCGCATTACGGGTTCGGGCGTTTGACATTTAGTGTCAACGCCCGCCGTCCGGGGTCAAGAGAGCAGTCTAAACCGCAACAAAACCCCCCGCATACTTTATCAGCCTTCACCAAAATAGAGCGATGCCACACCTGAGACTATGGCCTCCACTACTTGTGCTCTGTTAAGCTTATCTCTGCACACGATTGTATAGGAACGGCGCCCACACCGGTCTGGCAGAGATCAGATGATGGCTCCCGACGGGTGCCCGCAGTATCCGTTCAAGATGATTGCGTTCCCCCACTCCCTCGGAATATGAAGTGAGGGAACGTCTCTGCCACTACCTCTGTGCGCTGCATGCTCTCCTGCATCTCGAAGACTGCGACTCGCGCGTGGTTACTCTGATGATACCGCGTCCCTGGTCCGTCCTATCTTCTGCGGGTCCAACGGTAACCCAAGCCTCCTTGCATACCACCTTGGCGCCCTCTGCCCCCTTGCCTTCGTTGGTTGTAGGCAAATCCATCGAGCCCATTGGCGTCGCACCCCGTGGTACGTCGTAATTAGGTATCAACATTTTCCTCCATCAGCTGCGGTCACCGTCCGCCACCGAAGAATAACGACGGCTGCCACTCGTTTGCAAGACATTCTCACATTCGTTCTACTGATGTAGGTAATTGTGGTGGATTACCTCAACTCTCTCGATCAAAGGACGTTTTCGTATCAGTTATCACTTACACACGCCCCCAGAATGAGAGCCCCGTCTCGCCGGGGGTTGCTCCTCGCAGTCCTCGGGCTTACATTCATTGATCCTAGCGCCGCGAATTGCGAGTGCGGCTACTCAGTGACCACGGGCGGCAACGACGAGGACGCCAGCACGCAGCTCTTTACCGACCTGCTCGAGTCGGACTTTGTGCACGTCGATTTTGTCGGCGCCGACTCGCAGGGCCGGAAGGGGTGGGCGGCGCAGGAGTATAATAAAAGCGGCACGGACGCGCGCGGGCCCTACGGCGAGGCCTTCGTCTTGGAAAATGTGAAGGGGAGCCTGCTGGCGGATGCCGGAGCCTGGACGGGCAACGGGTCGGGGGGCGGAGACGCCGGCCTGCAGCTCACGGTCGGGAGCGAGGTCATGGACGGCATGGTGCTGAGCGCCGAGGCGGCGACGACGGGCTTGGACTACTTGTACGGAAGCTACCGGGTAGGAATGAAAGTCACAGATGTGCCGGGGACTTGTAGTGCTTTCTTCTGGGTGAGTTGTGAAACGGAATCGAAATGGTCTCCCTCGACTTATACCTCTCCTTCCTGTCCACCGAAGGGGAAAAGGGGGGAAGGTCTTGCAAGGGGGGGTTCCAGAATGACGAGGACTAACAGACCTTATCAAACAGTACTTCAACGACACGCAGGAAGTCAACATCGAGTTCCTCTCGGCCGACTTCGACGCCGACACCAGCACGTACCCGGTCAACCTGGGGCTGCAGACGCCCGAGTCCCGGGCCTCGGGCTATAACGCCTCGCAGGCGGGCACCTTTGCGACGCACAACCTGCCGTTCGACCCCTCGGCCGACTTCCACGAGTACCGCTTCGACCTGCTGGCCGACCGCGTGCTGTTCTACGCCGACGGCGCCCTGCTGGCGACCATGGCGAACAACAGAAGCAGCAGCAGCAGCAGCACGGACGGCGGTGCCGTGGTCGTGCCCTCGGAGCCGGGCAACCTGCTGCTGAGCCACTGGAGCAACGGCGACCCGGACCGGAGCCGCGGGCCGCCGCCCGCCGACGCGACCACGGCCGTCCGCTACGTCAAGGCCTACTACAACTCGACGGCGGCGGGCCGGCGCGCGGACCTGGCGGCGCGCTGCGCGGACCCCACGGGCCCGGCCGCCGTCTGCGCCGTCCCCGAGGGCGACGCGACCTTCTTCTTCGCGTACCAGGCCAACATGACGGTCAACCAGACGACGTACGCGGCGGGGGACAGCGCGGCGGGGAGGACCGAGGCGCCGGCGTCGGCGGCGGTGGCGCTGCTGGGTACCCTGGCGGTCGTCATGTGGGCTTGTCTGTCTTAAGAGAGAGAAAACGAGGCTTGTGTGGGTTCTGCATGCATTTGCTGCTGGAGTTCAGGGGCGCGAGGGCGCGGTAGGTATACACTTGTACCCTGGCGTTGAGCCGATGTAACTTTGGTTTGGAAGCGAGGGTACCGGGATGGTTGTAATACATGTTGCGAATTACGAGATACTTGCAGAGTCTCAAGTGTGTATAACTAAGATAGAAGTCACTTGGTTTATGTGATGCCGACCTAGGTACATCGGTGCAGTGTCCGAATGGTTTGATGCAGGTGATGTAGGCGTCTACGCAATTGTGTTGTGTTAATTTTCCCCCAGGATTTCTTAACGATGTACGTCTGCAGCGGTTATATGATCCACCAATATTCGCTTCTTACCCGGTTCGGACCCTCGATGATGATTCCCGATACGGAAATCCTACGCTGGCCGTAGGTATGTGGTTACACGGGCATCTCCACACACTTATACAGTTGATTGCTGACATTAGAGAAAAGTCAAGCCACACAATGAGTAAGCTGCATAGTATAGTCTATTAACAATACGCTACTTGACCAACGAGTGCTTCCTGACTGGATATCCCGAAAATGAATGCAGAATACAAGAGAGACTATAAATAAGTACCCTAAATTGATGCAATAAATATCCCAAGCTCATCACCCTACGAGGGGCGGCCATGAATCCTCCAAACGCCACATGTCCAGGAGAAGAACAACAGAGGTATCCGGGCAAAACCTATAACATCGTCGTCGGTATCCTCACTACTTGGCCTTCGCCAGTCTCTTCTTCAAAACCGAAGGCCACTTCTTCAGACTAGAGAGGGCCGACGTCTTCTTTGTTTGGGGTGGCGCCGCCGCCGCCGCCGTCCCGTTGGTCGGAGCTGCCTCAGGGGCGGCAGCAGCATCGGCCGCCGGCTTCTCCTCCCTGATGACCTTCTGTTCGGGTACGGCGGCCGCGTTCACCGCAGCGGATGACCCGGCCACGCCGCCAAGAGTCACCGTGAGCAGGGCGGGGGCGCCGTCGAAGACGCTGCCGGACACGTCGCCGCCGCTTGAGGGGCCGACGTCGTCGTAGGGGAAGGCGTAGCCGCGCAGGTCGGCGTTGGCCGCGTGGCAGATGCGCGAGTAGTGGTTGGTGACGGCGTTCTTGTAGTAGTTGGCGACCTGCTCGCCCTCGGGCTGCTGCGTGTTGATCAGCAGCGTGGAGCGGTTGAAGGCGGCGGCCAGGCGGGCGCCGATGGCGCCCATCTCGGCGGCGGTGCCGCTCGGGTAGCTGCCGAAGGGCCCCGTGCTGCACGAGAAGATGTCGGCGGCCGAGGGCTGCGCGAAGGAGCCGACGCCGTCGAACGTCAGGCTCCCGTTGACGACCCGGCCCGTCACGTTGCCCCACTGCGCCTGCGTGTTGATGGTCAGGGGCTCCGACGAGTACTTCTGCCACACGGCGTCGACGTAGGACTGGTAGTACCCGCTGAACAGGCTGTTGTTCATGACGTGGCCGCTGTTGGGGCTCAGCGCGCGCAGGTTCGACCCGTTCGGGGCCTTGATGATCAGGTTGCTCCAGCCGGCGTGGTCGCTGTTGTCTTGCTGTATCAAGTTGTTGCAGACGGTGTCCAGGCCTCCGGACACCAGTCCCTTGACCGACTGCACAGCGCCGCTCTCATTCTGCAGGTCAAGAGCGATGGGCAAGCTGACAAAGTCGACGTAGCTGATGTTGACAAAGAGCTGGGCCTGGTTGAATGTGAACTCGCAAAAGCCCCAGAAGAGGTTGTAGTTCGGGTCACTGGGGTTGGTGACACTGGGCTCAACGATGGCCGGCCCCGGGTTCACGAGGAACGTCAGTTTGCCGTCTAGCACAAACCAGATCCGACCTCCGGCAATCTGAGGGATCGTAATAGTCCTAGTCGATCCCGGGGCGCCCAGGGAGATGGCGACATCTGCGGAGAGCGCTTGTAGTGGCTGCGAAGGGGATGTCGGGCGATACACGGTGGCGCCATCGGACTGGATGAGTATAGGGACATTATTATTGTTGATGTCTAGGCCGGTGATATAGGCGTAGGCATTCGACGAGCTCGTGTTGTTCTTGAGTGCTATCTGCACCGTTGAATTCGTCATGGTGATGGACTTTTTGGCAATTTGTAGATGTAGGGTGTGGCAGAATACGTTTTCTACTGTGTGAAGAGGTGGGTATATGTGATGCGTGGAAGAAGGACGGTAGGAACTTCTCGAAGCTTTTAATTTATTTGACACTTCAAAGTGAGACCCAGAACTGATATCAGAAGCAATATGATCAGAAACATTACAATTAGCAACAGGGAACCGTTGGGGGAAGTTGGGGCGAAGTGACGGCGGCTTGTGACCCTACGAGGTCATCTCCATGAACGCCAAAGGCTGAAATGGGACGTCTTTTATGACAGCGGTACGTAAGCGGGCAGGAGATGGCCGAAGATGATTGCTCCCTCGCATGTCAACCTAGTGGTCCCTGACCTACCTGAGCTATGAAGCGTGATGAGAGAAAAGGACCGTTACCAGGACGATGACTGGCCCGAGATGGCCGAACAGAGTTTTGGGGAGCATTCCTGGGCGGAATGCGTGAATGCTGAGATCATAGCCGGTGGATCCTGGAACACGCACCACGCATGCGTCTAGTTGTGTCCTGCTTTAGCACTTGTCCATGCTGCCTCGATGCCAAGATGGGCGGGAAAAAGCAGGTATACCCCTGGCCGCATGGCGAATTGGAGGCCTGGCACATCTGCAAAACCGGGAAACCATCCACGGTCCGTGGGCGCCGTGGCCAGGAACAGGACATGTGGCGGCAATAAACTAAGATGAAATGAGGCCTTCGTAGATTCATGCCCTCTGCGTCCCATTAATTCCACGAAAGCGCGATAGGTTGGCAGCTGAGCCGAGAGGGTGGGCAAACCATAGGCGATGACGTCTCCCAGCACGCTCCAAAAAGCATTAATTGGGTTTAGACGTCACAGCATAGCTGTGCCAAAGTGGGTAGTGCGGAGCCGCTACGCAGCACCCGGCGGGCGCCAGGCGTGCATCAGCTAACCACCTCCATGGGCCTATTGACGGCCTGAAGCTGGCTAGGGCATGACCACCATCGCAAAACACGTGCTGAGATGTCTCGGAAGTCTGGCAGGAGAAAACGAACGATAGGCGAGTGACAGGTCTGGTTTTCCAAGTCGGGCAAAATTCACGCTCGTAGTTGTATACTGGCCCGTGGCTCTTGGGAGGTAACAATGCACTTGTGACACTGCTGCTTCAGTCGCCGTAGAACTTGCGTAACGAATAGTTCATTGGGACAGCTCCTTCTTAGTCTCCGTATACTATAGCCATTAGGAGCCCGGCATATAACGAGACAAAGCCCCAAACATGTCGACTTCCCAACTCTTGCGAGCCTTGGTTCTCCATTTTCGTGTCTGTTTCTTCAGTCTTGAGCGCCGTCTATCCACTGGAGTTACCCGGGCTCGGTGGCCGCGGCCCGTGGGGTAGGCATCTCCGTCCAATACTTAGCTTTGAAGCTACTCCACGATGATCGGCTCACCTGCATGGTCTCCAACTGCATTCAAGGCTCCCTGCGGGCGGCCCTTCTCCAAAGGGATGAGTGCTCGGCAGGTGAGCTCCCCCAATAAGGGAGGTGGAGGGGTCTTTGGGGCGCCTTTTCTGTTGGCTGCTCGGCCCAATCCGTCCACGTCAAAACCCAACATTACCAATGCCAGCTAAACGGGTCCGTCAGGTGCTCCTCTGCGGTAGCATTGGACCTAGCCCCTTGGGTGTGCCGGGCGAGAGCCTCACTGGCCGGCTGCAGAACGCGCGTGGTGCAACGCGGTTTACGTCGCCGAGTGCAATCCGGGGCCCGGTGTACTGTCTCGCCCGAAACCTGGGGAGGTCACGCGTGTTTCGTCATCTAGCCACACGACTTTCCACAGACGATTGATGCAGACTAGCCATGATCGCCAACTCGGTGGCCTACTGTTTCCAGCGACTTCTGCGCACGTATTGGCCAAGCGTCGTCACGCTGTGAAAGCCGGAGCCCTGGTCAGGTGAGTGTGGAATGAGAAGCAAGCGAAATCACATGCAATCGGCCTCTTATACCCCAGTAGGCAAATTAAATACACGAGTATGGACATGAGCAGGACTCTCGGGAGGCGGCTGCCCTGTGCAAAGCTGCATATTACTGGAGTTGACCCTGAGACACCTCGGCTGAGCTATTCACCCGTGGCTTGACCCAGGTTGTGCAGAACAAGTTCACTTTTCATGAGCGAATTGGTCTTTGCGTAACGCAATGGGAATGCTATTCGTCGAGGTTACTTCCAAAGCACGTCGCAGAGTCGCATCCATATGCCTAGTTGCCCTTCTTCCGGTAATGGACAGGATGGCCGTTCTTCTTGCCGAACTTCCTGATCTTTCCAAATATGTCGGTCAGGGCAAAGAAGAAGACGACCTGCACGATGCATGACATGATGGTGTCAATGAACCAGTTCTCTCTCGGCGAGCCGCCCACGGCGAGCCACCTTAATACATGGCCCAAGAAGGCGACTGTGATGCTGTAACGGCCCTGCTCTAGTCCCCGGATTGCTTTGGCTGCCACCTCGTCCGGGGTTTGGACTGGGTCGCCGTCCTCGATGATACGTGTGATCTCGGGTTTGGTCATGTTCTCACGGTCGAAACCCGGGCTCGATATGCTCCCAGGGTAGACCACGTGTACCTTGACCTTCTGCGGGTATAGCTGCAGCTCCTGCACGAGAGTGTCGGCGAGGGATCGCAGGGCGGCCTTGGCAGGGTTGTATGGCCCGTATCCAACGACGGGGAAGTAGGCGAGGACGGACGAGGTAAAGACCAGGTGCTTGGGCTCGGGAACCACGGGGACGTCGGGCCTCGTCCATACACGTAGTATAGCATGCGCCATCTCAGCGCTTCCCCAAAAGTTGATGTCCATCTGATCCCTGGTGAGAGCCAGAGGAGCCTCGACCCAGAAGTCTGGGGTGGATTTCCCAGCAATGCACCAGACGATATCCAGGGGCTGGTTGTTATTCGCAGCTACGGCTTTGGCGACGAGTTCGGGGGCGTAGTCGGGCTTCGACACGTCAGCCGTGATGATGTGGAAGTGTTGCGTCTGGGGGTTCTTGGCAGCGGCCTGTCCAGCTCGATCAGTATCATGTCCTTCACACAGGGGGGCTGAGCAGTAGCAGCCATACTTGAGCTTGTTGGAGGGACTCTTGCAGTTTGTCGGCATTTCGCGAGACTAATATGAGATTGGCACCCTTGGCTGCGAGCAGACGGGCTGCACTTCTGCCCATGCCTTCCGAGGCTCCGGTGATCAGGATGGTCTAGTTGGGAGATATACCCCGTAAGCTACAATGGTCTGTGACAGAGAGAGCGGATTCCTGCTACGGACCTTGCCATCGACCGGCATCTGGTTCTTGCTGGCGAAGACTCCCATGGCGACGGCGGCTAGTATTGCGCTGATACCTGCTGTGACGAACCAGAAGACAGGCAGAGAGCTTGAATCCATCCAGTCGAGGAGAGGCATGGATGGGAAGAGTCAGCGCCGGAGACGTTGTCGGATATGGCGGCTGTTGTCGTGGCACAATAAAGAGCAGAGCGAGGGATTCTAGCCGGAGATTGCAGCGATGCGCCTTCGCCCTTGCGTACCGTATCGTGGTCACCAACACTCTCCGCGAAACGCGACCCTTAGGTCAGCACGAGCAAAAAGCCAATCAATTATAACGACCCCTGGAAGAGATGGAAAGCGAAAGCTTTGGGTAGCTCGTGCAGCTGCCCACTTGCCCACCAACCAACCTGGAACCTGGAGCCCACTGTCCAGTAGAGCCCGCCGTTGCTCATTGGGTCCTGCTGCCCCCACTGTACCCGCTCTAGCCGCCTGAGGCTTAGCTGGGAAGATGGGGCGTCCCATGGTGCCGGCGGGGTGCTGATAAGAATCCGATAAGCCGGCGTGCAGAAAAAAAGTTCAGTGAAGGCGCTCGACGGGACGGAACCGATGTCAAACATCGGCCTCGCAGGCAAGCCACAAACCACACCCTCGTTTCACGCGCCAGATCAGTCAGTCCAACGACACAGCGCAACATGGGCAAGAAGAGGAAGGCTACCAGCGGCGCCGCCCAGCCCAAAGGGCCGCGCGAGTTCGACCCCAAGGAGTCCAGGCTCGGCCCCATCACAACCTACAGGGACGTCGCCGATTCCGAGGACGAGTACTGGATGAACCAGGAGGACCAGGACCAGGACCAGATCATGTTCAACGACGCCCCCAAGTCCAAGAAGCAGAAGCGCCTCGAGCAGGAGGAGCAGTTCCTCGAGGACTCGGAAGAGGAGGTCTTCGACTACGACGACGGCGGCTCCGATGACGACGAGGACGAGCTGGAAGAGCTGGCCCGCAAGACCAAGAAGGCCACCAAGAAGAGAGCTGCCGATGCGGGATCCGACGCCGGCGAGGACGAGGAGGAGGCCGACTCCGGCTGGTGGGGCTCCTCCAAGAAGGAGTACTACAATGCCGACGAGATCCAGACCGAGGCCGATGCCCTGGAGGAAGAGCAGGAGGCCCGCCGCATCCAGAAGAAGCGGCTCGAGAAGATGAAGGACGAGGACTTCATCTTCAACGAGGACGAGTGGCTTGCCGACAAGCCCGAGGACGACGACAACGACGTCGTCACCGAGGTACTGAAGGATGTCGAGGTCACTGATGACATGACCCCCGTCGAAAGGCTGCGTCTCCTGCAGTCTCGCTATCCCGAGTTGGAATATCTTGCCGAGGAGCTGCTCGAGCTGCAACCTCTGCTTGTCACCCTGCAGACCGAGGCCGAAGGCCAGCCCAGAAAATCTGTCGCCGTCGTCAAGTACCGGGTCCTCGGGTCCTATGTAGCAACGCTGGCTATGTACTTTGCCACTCTGACGTCCCCGGCCCGGGACTCGGATGGTCCCGCCAAGGCCTTGGACCCGGCGGAACTGCGAGACCACGAGGTCATGAGCACACTGCTCGAGTGCAGAGAAGCATGGCAGCGTGTCAAGGATCTGAAACCCTCGAAATCTGCCAAGGCTGCCGCAAGCATCCCATCTCCGCCAGAAGAAGTCTCGCCATCTGCTGAAGATTCCACCGCGGCCCTCACCAACTCTGATAAGAAGGGCAAGAACGCTCCCGTGTCAAGAAAGAAGGCGAAGAAGGCAGAACGCCAAGCGAAGGAGCTTGAGGACTCGCTTGCGGACCTGTCTGCCCTCATCACCACCACCAAGTCGAAGAAGAAGGCCCAGGCCGGCAAGATTCAAGACGACAACTCCGACTTCGGTGAAGAAGAAACCATTGATTCGAGAGCCGCTGCAGAGAAGGCAGCGCGCAAGAAGAGTCTGCGCTTCTACACCTCCCAGATCGTTCAGAAAGCAAACAAGCGTGCTGGAGCTGGAAGGGATGCTGGTGGTGACGTGGATATTCCGTACCGCGAAAGACTTCGGGATCGTCAGGCCCGCCTCAACGCCGAGGCAGAGAAGCGTGGAAAGAAGGACTCGAAGCATGGCGCCGATCTTGGTGATGATAGCGACGAAGGAGAGACCCAAGCCGCTCACACCCTTCGTGATCAAGAGGACGAGTACTATGACTTCGTGGCGGCACGCACCCAGAAGAAGAAGTCAGACAAGGCCGCCAGGGCCGAGGCGTTGGCCGCAGCCACGGCGGCGGATCGCGTCGTCGAACAAGAAGTAATCGGCGAAGATGGCAAGCGAAAGATCACGTACGTAACACTCCGCTCCCTTGCCCCCGCTCATGCTACCGAGTTGGCTCTCCGGTCCGGGCTTTCTTGTGCTCGAGCACATGCTAATATGTCACAGATATGCCATCGAAAAGAACAAGGGTCTAGCACCCAAGAGGAAGAAGGAAGTACGAAACCCGCGTACGAAGAAGCGCATGCAATACAAGGAGAAGCAGAAGAAGCTCGCCTCCATGAAGGCCACGTACAAGGGCGGCGAAGGCAAGGGTGGTTACAAGGGAGAGCTGACGGGTATCAAGCCCGGCCTGATCAAGAGTACAAAGTTGTAGTAGTAGCCTGGAGGCTGCCACTTGAGTTGAATATAATGACTAAATTCGGAATTGGTATTACTTTGAAACGCCCATACTCATGGACCAAGAGGCGTGGTAGTGTTCCAACACGATTCGTTCACTCACAAAAAGTAGTCTGGTACAGCTACACGAGTCCATATAGACCTAATGTCTCGAACCTCTGGAACAAACTACCCTGTCCCTGACTCCGTGGATTATTAAAGCTCATCAGATTTATCCGGATCTGTTCATGGATAGGCGAGGATATCCCCAACATGATGTCACATCGACGGGAAGTTCCCTGCGAACGCAATTAGACTTTGGCGGTACAATGCTGGCAGTCTGCATGCGACTTAGCATGTCTTAATTCGTACCAGCCCGGCCGGGTCTAAAGTCTGGGAAATCTCGATGTGCTTGCAGGAAGGGGCGAAAATCGGACGGTGGTCCTGGGTAAGGCGGTGTATATATATATGCATCCTAGGCAACACCAGCCCCTCAGAAATTATGTATAGACAATGACCCCAAGGAAAACGCTACCATCTCACTATCACTGTATCATCAAATTCTGGTCAAGTCACAATATACACAGGCATAATGGCCCCAACAAACCCCGTCATCGAGGAAGCGGCCCGGAGCAAGATCGTGCTAGAAGGCTGTAAGCTACATCCTTACTCCCCGTCGCAGTAGCTCCCCTATCACGTTCCCCTTATACCTCGTAAAGGAAATGCTGATACGAACGTTCCACCCGCACAGCTCCAGATGCCCCGGGATCGACGCTGGACCCTAGCAAAAACACGGCCGCCTCCATCGATCCCATGCCCAAGGGCGAGAACGAGCGCACGTACACCAAGAAGGCGGGCCTGGAGCAGCCGGGCGAGTCGGCCGGTTCGGAGCAACGGCACCGGAACGTCGGTGGTAGGAAGGCGCAGGAGGAGAGGGTTCAGAGAAATCTCAACGAGTATGATCAGCAGTAGCGGTGGGATTAGCACACCTCACCTCACATGATGCGGGTAGGAGGGAACCAACCATATTGCGTTAAGGAGGACGGTGGACTCAGTAAATAGTACAGACGTAGATTGCTGTGTTAAAAGAGAATGTGCAAGCAGATTTAAAAATGTCAAATAATTCCTTGGGATCCACGGTGAGCAATTTCAAGCACGGAAGAGGGTTATCTAGAAAGAGCTTCTCTCTATTAAGAATTACTGCCGTCTACCCCCCACCCCAGAAGAGCATCATTAAGACTTGTTTACTCAACTACGGTGAGGTAATGAAAGGCCAAGACAAGGTACCTACTTTTCACTCAAGTCGTGGCATGTTCGTACTGCGGGTCTGATGGGTTAGAAAACTCGCTGGTGGATGGGGACATTCGTAGGAAAACACAGGAGATTGAGGCAGTTGACTTGTCGAGGAAAACACCATGAACTTTGATTGTACAAAGAATTCGATGCTAGCTATGCCCTCTCTTTTCTACACACTACATTTTATTCTCCAACGCAGTCCCATTCCTCCTTTCTCTTATCATGAGAACTAGAACGGGAGCTTGTACCAGAGTTTGAGCTAGAAGGTGAGCTGGCCCTAGATGCGTGACCTGAGCCTTGAGTATTTCCTTGCCTAGGCTGTCCCTCTGCCCTTTCTCGCTTGTTACTCATCAACTTGATGCCGGTCTCCATGGCCCCTGTGCCTTTATAAGTATCCTGTGCTACTGACTCTTAGTTTCGACGGAAGAGATACATTTGCTGATGGACGGAAGCCTACCAATATCGGGCTTGCGAGTTGGTTTGGTGGTCATGTTGACAGTAGAGGATAGGCTGTGATGCCGTGAACAGAAAAGATTCGATTGGGAAAGTTTCCTCCACATATATACTGTTCATCTTTTTAGGACCACGTATTCGAGCTCTCGTCAAGCGGTGTAGCGACTGTGAATCACCTTTATTCACGCCCTTCGCATTGAATGTCAAGGTCTACTGGTTATTTTGACTTATCCATACTACTGACACACTCCCAAAGCTGGCGACGGGTTAGTTGACCTTCCTTGACTGCATATGACTCTGGACGAGACGACTTACGCTGCAGTTGCGGCGACTACCTCAATGCGACGCGATTTGCTCAAAATACTCATCGCGAGACAGAATAGGATGGTGAAAACGCAAACAAGCACCACCTTGAGATCCATATCCTGGACCTTGTAAAGGATTACTATTGATGATAGAGGCAAGACTGCAGCGAACAAGGCGCCGACAACGTGGTTCACAGCCCGTATGTGGTGACTGGAGTAATTGCAGATACCGAGACTTTCATCGTCGCCTGTACCACTCTCAAGGTCTTGCGGTATTGGTTTCTTCCGAGTGTCATGAGTCGCACGTAGCAAGGCGGGAAAGAGAAGGGACAAGAAACTTACCTTACTCCTCTTGCGTATTAGATGAAAAAATTCGAAAAATGGATGGACTATCCATCTGGAGAGAGCATCATTGTCTTCTTCCATAGCGTCTAATAAGACCAGATCCTTGGACCATCGCTTTTGGTATACCTCTGGTCCGTTGATGCCTGCGAGATCGAGTGACTGAAACTTGCCAAGCCCATCGTTTGTCAATGACGACGACCCGAGTATACCAAATACATTCCGTCTCTGGTTTTCAGTCGGGGAAGGGAGCTTGAGGACTTCGGAATACTGAAGTAGCGCCGAATCTGGCAAAAGGGTGAGTGGTCAGGGTTCAAGTTACCAGGCGGCATGAAATGGGGAACCACTCACGATATTGCTCTAGTCTCTCTCGAATATCCAAGGCTATCTGCCATTGTTTGCTTCCCTTATTCAGATCCGGAGACTTGAGAAGGAACCAGTTCCAGTCACAGTCCACTCTTTCGGTCTGACCGGAGGCCAGGTCTTTGCCTCGCTCGTACATGAAGTCATCTTCAAGATGACATAGCTCGGCTTGCAGATACAGGATATTAAGGATCGCAAGGTGAGTGAACTTCCGTGCTATACCGTCTTGCGTAATCGACCAGAGTTTGGCCAAGAATGGGTAACCCTTGAGTCGGTTTGACGTTTTCTGTTCGCTCATTGTGCCCAAGTCCGGAGTCAGTTATGGAAAACGAGGATGAACAAGATGGCAACTCATAAAAAGTTATTCTGTATTAATAAGTGCGAGTGTTGGGCTTTCCGACAGCAAGGGTTCGAGGCTCTACAAGTCCGCCTCGGAATTCCTTGTCATCCGACTTCCTTCAGGCTGCTACGAATCGAAGGGCACATGGTTGGTGACACATGGCTATGATGATGCGAACACGTACAAACTGGGCTCGGAGTCGAGCAATGGTTCGTAGATATTTCATCATGTACTCTACTCAACGTGACACTGCATCCGACAGCAAACATTCCACTTCAATCACAAATGAGAAGTCACTTCCTGTCCGACTTTGTCATGTAAACTTGAGCGTGTAGAGATTATACAAATACAAGCTAGCATCCGTTCTGTTGATAACTTCTACTTTTGTTTCTCACGTTCCTCTGAAGCTCTCTTCTTATCCTCGAAAGTTTTAATGAGAAGTCGCAGTGCAAGAGAATGTGGTAAGGACTCAATGAAGCCTATCTGCAAGGCATGCGGCCAGAAGGGGGCGCACTCGGTCCATCCACGGCTCACAGCTCTGGGTGCTCGGTTGAGCATCATGCCAGCGTACTCCCTAGCTGTCGGCGTTCCGGGCGTCAAGCCAATGGTGTTTGCTTGAGTCTTCACGTCCCCGGGGATGATGGCAAGTACATCTATAGGCACCCGAGCTGCAGCCATCTCGCGGGATAACGCTGTGCTGAAAGAGATTATGAACCCTTTGCAGGCCGAATAAGGCACAATGCCCGGAATACCCATCCTTGCAGCCGAACTTACGTTCAATACCAATGATGGGCCATTCCTTGCCAGCTGTGGAAGAAGACTGCGCGTCACGTGGGACATGAAGCACGCGTTGATACTGAGTGACCGGTCCAACTCCTCCGCCGAGAAGTCCATCAGGTTCCGAATCTGCGGTGGCTTCATCGGAAATCCACCAACATTATTGACAAGTATAGTAAGGGGGAGATCAGATATCGTGCCCAGTGATTTCTTGATATCGTCAGGAGTAGCTGATGTGGCATCCAAAACGAGGGTCCTGACTTCCGTTCCAGCATTCTCCGCTTGGATGAGCGACTGGGCCTCAAGTAGCTCAGCCTCCAGGTGCCCCAATAGAACAACATTGAAACCACGCCCAGCGAGTTCCTGGGCCGTCCCAAACCCTATACCGGCAGATGAGCCGGTGACTAGAGCCCACGGCTTTCTCTTTGGTTGTCTCCAGCGGTCAAGTGTTTGGCTTGGAAGAAGGTAGAACGTCAGGTGATTGTATAGTCGGTAACCGGCATACGCCGTGGTCAGGCCGCCCACGTATTGGAACAATTTAAGCAGCCTGAGCGAGGACATATTGGTTGAATTGTATTCAGACGATTCTTCACCGAGAAGCTTATGAAAGATGTTGATTGTTAAAAATGTTCAAAGGATTCAGATGGTGGGACTAGTGGATGCGAGACGTTCCCACCCCCGCCTTTCGAGTTCGCATAACGGGATGTAACATGAATACGAAGGACTCGCCACAAGCGATTGCTTATATCCCAGTGCGTTCACGACAGTTCTCCGAATGCGATAGTGAGGAACGAGAACTTGGATGTTTGGTCACTTGTCACGAACACATATTTGGAAGGGCCGCCACTTGTACACACAACTGCCGTTCATTTCAATGGGGGTTCCCGAGTATATAGTAACGCATTTAGAAGAAGATGGTGCCAAGGAATTCGTACCTGCTAAATTAGTTGATTGCTTCTGCTAGCCCCCCGCACTTCTTTTTCACAGAAAGCGTGGATTGTTACCGAGAATCTACTCCGCACTCAAAGACTCCAGGGCTCAGAAGTGTGCGGCGCTTGCTACATGATACAGGGGAGAGATTCACGAAGAACGTTGCGATCTGAAGCAAAGTCACAACAGCAGGGAGAAAGAAATCAGGTTTCAATCACAGCTGCCAAACGTGAGTAGCCGTGACAGCCCATCGCACGACTTTCTCCATCGCATCACGGTTCCTCTCGGTAGCGTGGCATGCATACACAAACAGATCTTCGAATAATGGTCTGGCATCAGTATAAATATAAGAAGTCCCAACTTTTTGAGACACCCATGTCAAACGGAGTGGTCATACTCATGCCCGTTGGGCACTGTCATCATAATACTTAATGAAATCACGTGATCGCGCGCCAGTCTTCTACCTAAAGTTTTGTCGCGGCGCGTCCTGGATTCACCATCCTACAACAGCATTACGTATCCGGCAATTCCTGGGGCAGCCATACTGGCCAACTTCCTTTCAGGATTTTATCGTTGTTGAGCATCTCGTATCTGTTGCCTTACGAGATATTCCTTGGGGATTGTCATCGACTTTGACATACACTAACCCCACCTGACTGTTTGTCACTAATTTGAGAACCGCCATCATCGCTGTTCACTCACCCGTTTTGAGATCGTCCGAGTATACGCACAAACATGGCCCCAAAGAGGAAGCGTCAGGCTAGGCTACATTTCGAGCCAACTGGTGCCGAAAGCTCGCCAGACCAGCGCTTCTCACCCGCCAAAGTGAGGTTTTCTCAATCCTCGCAAATCCGATCCTCGCCTTCACTGCCCAAGTCTGCGAGCCGACCCTTAGCACCCCAGAAAACACAGAAGACACTTCAGGATTCGCTAGGTATGTTGAAATATTTTCGCGTGGTAGATTGCCCCGCCCTGAGCCAAGGTGTTGCGTCGGGCCGGGTCACTTTCGTTCCTGCTCCCATGTTAACCTCGGCCTTCATCTCGTTGAAAGCTACCACGCCTTGAAGTTTATTACGTGGGTTTGCATAACTCACACTCTTACAGTGCAGATGCCTCCCGTGCGCAAACATAGTGGAGGTAGTTCTTCAGCGAGCCGGCCTGCCATACCATCCTTCTTGCCGAGGTCCCAGAGAGCTGCTGTGGATATTGACTCGTCAGATGAAGAAGTTGCCGATGAAGGCACGATCCAGCGTGGTGAAGGAAGTGACGATGGTGATGTTGACCTGCTACCGATCGCGTCCCTAGCCCCACCTCCAACTTCATCTCAGTCTGTTTCCACGCGCCTGAGGCACACCGTGATTTCAGACGGCGAAGATGAGAACGGCAACGAGGACGAGGATGACCTACCCATCGCGCCCAGCTCGTCAAGACGTCGCCAGCAACCAGCTCCGAGTGACGATGAAGATGATATTCCTATAGCGCCAAGTTCCTCTAGGCGACGCCGAACTCAGGCCGTTGATGAAGACGAGGATGAGGATGAACTACCGATCGCACCTAGCTCGTCTAGACGACGGCGAACAGAAATCGTTGAGCTAGATTCGGATTCGGATTCGGATCTAGATGTGTCACCCGCCAAGAAGAGGAAGGTGACTCACCGACGCTCAACTTCGTCGCCTGCCGAACCCGCGGCTCAAAGATTGGTTCGCAGAGGCCAGCCGCCCTCGTCACCGACTAAACCTGTCAAGGGCCATCGTACGCAAAAGCAGAAGAACATGGAACTTCTGCGCCGTCGTCGTGCAGGAGAGAAAATCGACAGATTGACATCGTCCGAATCGGAAGGAGAGGACGATAAGAGAGGCCTTTATGATTCCGATAGCAATGATGATTTGCAAGCGCTCGAGGAATTTCCCGACGAAGAGGAGGAAGATGAGGTCGTTGAAGAGGACGCACCTACACGCAAGTCGAAGAAGAAGAAATCTTCACCCAAGAAAGCCCCAAAACAGAAGGATGCAGCCGACAACAGCGACGATGATCTCGAAGACTTCGTAGTTGAAGACGATGAAGGACTCCTAGGCGCGCCGGCCAACCTCGATATACCGTTGGAGTTCACGGCGCAAGCCCACAAACCACTGAAGGAGCAGTTCCCGTACGTCGTCGAGTGGTTAGTCCACAACAGGATCAATCCGGCCTTTGATCGCAGAGACGCCATTTACACCAATGCCTGGCGCAAGCTTGACGATGAAGTCCGCGGCCTCGCGACCTCGAAATTTACATCTAGTGCATGGAAAGTGGAGTTCTACCGGACGCTCAAGGCCCGGCCTAAGCTTGAGGCATACGAAATGGACCGAGGCTCTGGGGATATTTACGACACGTGTGAAGCGTGCGGCCGTAGCGGACACCCTGCCACCTGGAAGATCATCTTTCAAGGGCAGCCCTATTACAAGGACACGCTGGAGGAGGTTGAATCTGACTCGGACGATTCGGATGCTTCGTCCGGTAACGAGTCTGTCGACACCCAAGGCAACCCGCTACCTGCGGAATCCAAGGAGTGGGCGGTCGGGTCTGTCTGCTGCAGCAACGCCGAGACGGCGCACAGTCTGATGCATTGGAAGGCCGCTCTCAAGGAGTGGGTCGAGGACAGGCTGCAGAGCGACGGACACATGACGGCTAAGAAGATTGAGAAGCGCGACAAGATGAAGGCCAAGAAGAGACGAGCCGCTGCTTACGAGATCGTGGACCAATGGACCTCTGACAGGATCATCGATCAGCTGTACAGCGAGTTCAAGGGCGTGTTAAAGAACGCGCGTGATAAGAGCACCACAGGAGGACGCGGACAGCGATGGAGATGATGGGTAAAAGGCTCCCCTGAAGGATGTTCTCGTTGGGATGGGAGAAGTATCGCATTGCGTTTCTCTCGCATGCTCGCCATTAGATACTGCGTTTTGAGTTCGCTCTTGAGGGTCTAATAATGGAGGCGGCTTCCGCCCCAGGCTTTGTGGTTTGCGAGAAATCGGTGCCATTGATGATGTATTACCTCGCAGGTTCTTGTTCCAGAAAGCGCAGCAACTCTACGTTCAATCTCTACTGGTGTTTGGTGTCTGATGCCTATCTTCAAATTGCGGGTTCTTGAAGTTGCTTCTATCCTCTGACCTGCTTGGTGCAAGTCTCGAACAAAGGGGCTTGGTTCTCTGATGACCTAGCTATGCATGCAGTAATTCCCTTTCGCAATGGTCTACCCATCACCTCACCACATGATCTTCCGGAGCCTTTGCTTTTCCTCATCGCCGCCAAAGATGACGTCGATACCTTTCCGCGCGAGCCCAAACAGCTCCACTTTCTTCAGCTTGAAATGCTCCTCAATCAACCTCCACTCATTCGATACCGGACTGCCAAAGACTCCCACGTCGTCGGTCTAATATGCAAAAGTCAGCTCGCCGTTCCGCTGCTCTCAATCTTCCCATCCACTGGAAGGTTCCTCGACTAAGATAAAATAGTAAGAAAAGGGGTGAATCTCACACAGGGCACGACAACAACGCCTTCCACCTGCCACCACTCCCCAAAGTGGTGCGCCTCGAAGCTGCCCACGATCATTTTGGCGTGGACGTTGCAGCTCAGGCACAATTCGAGCCCGATGCCGGGCCGGCCGGCAATGTCCCGCTTGACGCGCTCCGGGACGTGGATGACGTGGCCGAGGCGGTCGGGGCCCCAGGCCATGATAGTGTCGAGCTCGGCGTCCGAGGCGCTGCACTCGGCCTCGGCGAAGTGGACGGTGAGGGCGAGGCCGGCGGCGCGGGCGGCGGCGACGGCGGGCGTGAAGAGGGCGACGTCGCCCTTGGCCGGGTCGCCGCACAGGTCGACGGCGACGACGCCGCGGGCGCGGAACCGGGCCGCCAGGCCCGCGGCCTCGTGCGCCTCGGCCAGCGTGTTGCGCCGGTCCATGGACAGGATCAGCCGCGTGCGGATTGACGGGTGCTCGCGCTCTGCCGCTGCCAGGGCGTCCAGCACGGCGCCGATGTAGCCCGCCTTGTCGAGCCCCGCGGCGGGCATGGCGCGCGGCGTCGTGCGCAGCTCCAGGTAGACCACGCCGTCAGCGGCAAAGTCGGCGACCACGGACTTGGTCGAGTACAGCAGGGCCTCGGCATCATCCACCAGATGGTATATGTACGAGGAGAACAGCGGGAAGAAGCTAGGAGATGGTCAGCCGGTGGGGGAGCAGATTGTCTGGTGCAGGACGCGCTCTACGTGTTCAAGTCATAGTCGTGCTTTCCAACAGGCATGACCACGAGAGGGTCCTCTAGATGGGTCGAGCCGGCGGCTTTCTTCTTGGCCCATATCTCATGAAGGCATTGTCGTGATATGCTGCCTGACAGATGAGCGTGGAGCTGCATTGAGAAACAACATTAGTCTACAACAGTCATCAAGGAGGTGTGCCCATTATGCCAGATCAAAGGTTGAGGCTCCTCGATGGTCTTAGAATATAGCATGATGGTTCATGCCGCCAACAATGTGTCTGTGGTACATATCGACGGGGTAGTAAGCTTGAAGAGTTGTTACCTCGATCTTTGGCATGGCCTTGAAATCAATGTCACACGTCATGGTGATGGTGATGGTTTTGGTGTCTTATAAAAAATTCATTGCTGACTAGTCTCGGATGACGCAAAGTATAGTCCGGAGAGTAATAATGCATCGCACGGAGTTGAAGTGTACAAAACTCGGCCGGATCCGCCACCCGCGGCCCCGTAAGAGACATGGTGTTTCTGAGCCATCCTGAGGTCTCGGGCGGACATAGGAAATGCCACTAACGCGAGCTATTGTGCTCCGTAAAGCTGCGCTGGAGCTAGGTGCGTCTGTCGGCAGAGCTCCGATGGACACGGCCGGGCGGGCGCTGCCTGCATATGGAGGCGTGATGCTTTCACATCTGCAGCCCTAAGATGTCGCCAGCTGAACCGTGTTCGCCCGGGTCTGGCAGCCGCAGGTATGCGCTGAGTCGTTCAGCCGCCTACTGCCTACATACAGCACATTTGTCCTGCACGGGGAACTGAGGCTTGTGTGGTGTTGGTGTCGCCTGACTCGGCAAGCTCATCAGTCACGGATTCTCCCAGCTCGCCCAGACATGCGGGCCAGGGGCAAGGACGGGGAGCAGATGGGCTCCACCAACAAGGGAAGGTCCCAAATTTCTAGAAACGTATTGGTGAGGCCCGGGCTATAGCCTATACCCGATCGAGCCCCCCGTCTCTGTCGCTAGGGGCCGCGTCAAAATTTCCGTTGCGAGGGCTATTGCGACACCGCGAATCAAGGAGCTTCACATAAGTAATCTCTCCTGCAAACGCGGGTGTGGCAGTTGCAAGCCAGCGCACTGTGTTCTAGCAATTAAGGGTTCGGACGAAGCCTGGCTGACAACAAACCCCCTACTAGTCCAACACATAACTCTGGAGTCTGATCGGCAATCTATGGGACCGTTGGCGGTGTCGTGATATCGACTTGTTCTACTACGGGTATTCGCAGTACCTAGTTACTACCAACAGGGGTTAGCTCGACTTACGTACTGTTGTGGACTTGCGACTGTCGACTAGGTGCTGCTGTGACCTGATTCTTCAAGAGCAAGCCCTACAGTCTGGACCTCCAACCGGGGTCTTTGTCTGACAATTGCTTTTTCTCCCCATCTCTTCGCCCCTCTCCTGTGCTACCTTGGAACCAGCTCAGAGATATCTGTTATGAGTTTGAAGGATCGAACGAACCTGGAAGCCGGGTGATGAAGGCATGCTGATCACGAACAGACAGCCCACTCCCAATGCGACGTGCCGCTAGTAGGATAATTACAACAGCAAATACAGGATCAAGAGGGCTTGTCGTTTTATTATTTACCGAGGCTTAATGGATGACCTTTTTCCCCCTCCGGCCCTGGGTGCTGTTGAACAATCGAGACTGCGTTATTCACGGAAGCCATGTGTATATATATGTAAAACATGATCGTCAAGACATGCGTCGATGAATGAAAACGATACGTTGAGCTACCGTAGGCACGGTTCAGGTATCGCGATCGCATCTGGCTTACAAGCCCTGTCGGCGGGGACATGGCGGAATCTTCCAGGACCCTAGATCGACGTTGATGGCTAACGGTCTGGAGTGCGTGCTTCAGCCGACAACAACCGTTGAGACTATGGCGAAGCTTTTCATAAAAAAACAAACCATCTGATAGCAGGCGGTGGATAATGGCCCTGTATCACTGAAGCTTCCCCTCAAAAGGGCAAGGTTCAGGTAGGTATCGATGCCCGATAGCGTTGCTTTTCTCTCATCATTGGAGTGGTGATCACCTAGCGACTTGAGATAGGCAACACGTTTTTGTTTTTACTTGTGAACACATTGGAGAGGAGGAAGCGGTGTAGGAGATCTATAGTACCGCTTCCGTATTCCTTACGGATCGGTCGGTAGACCTGGCGAGGGAAGGAACTTCCACAAGCCTCATGGGCACCTACCAGCCAGTCCAACCCAGCCTCACCCCTGGCCACAGTACCGTGGACAGAGTGGCAAGAGAGTACTGCACCATCTTCCACCCGTGAAGACCCACCATACAGTTCGGAGTGTCGGCTCCGCCTCTAGATGTGATATAGCTCGAGAGCTCGGGGGGAGCAGGGTAGGGGGTCGCGGGTGAGCCATGGCATCCCGGAACGTGAGACATCATTGTGTCTTCGTACAGTATGCCAATACAGCAAGACGTAGAGGTGGCGAACGGCCTTTTTGCAGGATGTCGACAAGGCCACGGGTGCATTGGTTCGAAATGACGGGGAAGATACCCCTTATCCGCATTCGCTGTCTGGGCTGCGAAAGGCTTTCGGCTTAGCTTCGATAAAGCTGCAGAATGACGTACAAGGTTTGTTCCTTCAGTCCTCTTAAGCATGTCTCAGTGATATGCAGCTATTGGCCGTTGGCCTCCCGTCTCGGTGAACATGAAAGGTTAAGTAAGCATTCATCGCCAGCCGTCCCGAGGTTTGAGGCGTATCAAATCCCACTAAAACTAGGCAATCACGGGTACAATCACAGAAGTTTCCCGAAAAAAAAAAAAAAGAATTTAAGGCAGGCAGCATTGAGCATTCGTTACTATATGGTACAAGGGGGGGCAACTAGTAGGCTCTGTCAGAATTTGCGCCTCTTTTTCAAGATCTCTGTTTTCCTTCGACCCTGTCGTACTACATCTGAACCCAAACACAATAATCCTCCGGTTGTCCACGACTAAGAAAGACGTAAGATCAGGGGAAGAGAGATACAAGAGACAAAGAAGAATTCCAAAAATATAGCCGTCTCCCCGCGCCTTCACTATGCTCGTTGGTTCTGCCACCATGGGAGGGGATGGCGGAACGTAGTTTCCCAACCCTCAAATTTTTTCATCTTATCCACATCAGAGTAACTCGTGCCTCTGGGCTCCTTCTACCACAACGAGATCGGGGGTGTCAAGTAAAACGCAGAAAAACATGGAATCAAGTAGAGGCATGGAACGTTTTCGGTTTCGGTGCAAAAAAAAAGGGGGGGGGTTCGGTATAGACAGTTCCCAACAATAAACGGCGGTGCTTCCGAGCTGTGCTATAGCTGCCTGGAATCACCACCTGCCCGAGAACGGAGCTGACGTGTGCTTTGGGGGGACTTTGCCGATCAGAACCCCTGACAAGGCTGCCACGACGCGTCCGCTTCGGTTGCCTGGCGCGCGAGGGCAACCCACGACAAGGTGTAGTCCGACTTATGTAATACAGCTGCGACGGTGGGACTGGCGAAGCAGGAAACGGAGGTTGCAGGATATATCGAGAAAGCGGGTCAGGATTAGCAACCCGCTCAGTAGACATGGGTCGACAATCGATTAGAGGGCGACGATATCCGGCCGGGTATGAGTTGTATCAAAGGAAATTGGTATTGAGAAAGAGGCTGTCGTGACTTCGTCCTGGATACGCCGAGTCTTGGGAATTAAAGGGCGTATCAGGTTGAAATTAGATCAAAATAACCACTCGAAGAAAGGTGAGATGAGGCGCTCCAGTACGTGATAATTCAGACAGTCATCTCTCGAGGGTCGCCGTCGCTGTCGCGCTGATTCGGTACGTGGACATTTCGACGCTTTAGTAAGCCCAGATTTTCAACTGTTGCAAAATGTCAGCGGCCCATGATATTTCGAAGACACGAGGGAACATCTGTGGCTACTTACGACTGAGTCCCAAGATCCTGTGCACAAGCTGATGCCGTCGTTGCTAACTCCCAGGCAGCTCACACGGTTCTCGTGGCCTACCAGAGAGCCAACCTTCTCGCCGCGAGTAATATCCCAGACCTATACGCAAGTCAGTACATGATTCGAGCTCGACCCTCCACGAGGAGCTGCTTACCTTGCACTCGAAGTCGTCGTAACCGGCGAAGAGTAGACGGCCGGACACCGAAGTAGCCACGGAAGTAATACCACACAGGATAGATTCGGACTGCAGATTGTGGGTCAGTAGAGTTCTGAGGACTAGAAAATCCGCGAGGGGGGCTTACGCCGTAGAGGTTCAATTCCCTGTCTGCTCGGATATCGAACAGTCTGCAGGTGGCATCGTCCGAGCCCGTCACGAAAGAGTGGCCATCCGGGAAGAACTGAATGGCGTTGATGTCAGACTCGTGACCGGCAAAGGTCTGCACAGCTTTGCCAGCACGGATGTCCCACAGCTTGGCGAAAGCGTCGCAAGCACCGGAGATGAATGTGTTTTGGTTTGTCGGGTTCAAGCTGATGCTCATGACGTCTCCCAGGTGGTCGGCGAACTCCATGACTTTGGTGCCCGTCTCGATATCCCACTTCATACACGTCATGTCTCCGGACGAGGTCAGGATGCTGCGGTCGTTGATGAAGCGACAGCACGACAGGTAGCCAGCATGGCCGGACAACTCCCGGGCGACTCGAGTCGGGCCGTCCCGGTTCTGGTTGAGGTTGTAGATGGAGCAGATGTTGTCGAGACCACCGCAGGCGACGTAGTTACCGCTCGGGGCATAGGCGCAGGTCATGACCCACGAGGAGCGCAGCGGGATAGCGTGGACCTTGTTCGTGGTGTAGGCGTCCCAAATAATCAGCTTTCCATCCTGCGAGGCAGAAACCAGATGCCTCCGGTCTGTAGACCAGTGCATAGCATAGATCTTGGCCAGATGGCCCTTCAGCGTCCTCTTTGTCTTCATTAACTGGTTCTTGGGGATGGAGTCGTGGGATTGCTGCGACACGGCGCGCACTAGGAGGGGGCTACAGTCAGCATCGGCCTGGTGGACATGTCGGGCAGAGAGCATATGGGAGGATGGCCAATTGTCACGAAACAAAGTACGCGTGGGCGCTCAGGCAGGTCCCGTCCCGCGGGCCGTAGTAGGAGAGATTGGGAGTGCAGTCGTTCTCGGGGCGCGATCAACCTGGCAATTGGGGCAGATGGGTTCATTCGCGTGTCAAGACTTACGGGTCGTGTCTGCCAGCTCATCCTTCTTCCGCTTGATCCTGTCCTTCAGCGTCTCGGCCTCGCGGCGCGCCTGCTGGATGCGCGCCTGCATCGCCTCGGGCGACACATCGTTTTGCCGTTGCGAGTCCATGGCAACGAGGGACCGTCTCTGGAGGTGGTGGGAAGGGCTGAGGACCGAAGGCGACAGCGGTAAACGAGCGATTGGAGGCGAGGTTGGCGGTGCTCTGGGCGACGACCGACGATACGGGGGGTCGCTGGTGACGGGCAGGCGGGCAGGACGGTGACAGTGAATTGATGGATGTGTGGAGAGGACACCGAGGGAAAAAGGGAAAAGGGTGTGTGAGGTTGGATAGACGCTTGTTGCTGCTCAGGAGCAGGGTGAGGAGAATGGATGCGAGCCGGGGCCAGGGGTGGTTGCGACTGGCTGGCCAGTCAGATCAGGTCGCCAGGCCGGGAGCAGTGATTGTCGCCGGGGCAGAGCGAGGAGAGGATGGATTGATGAGCTTGCGGTGGTGGAGCTGGGCGGATTTACGACGAAGGGGGAAGGGCTGGGGACTAGGACTCGTTGGTCTTGGTCTGGGTCTGGGTCTGGGTCTTGGTCAGGAGTCAAGGACAAGACGACGAGAGAGGGTGAGTGAGTGAGAGAGAGCGAGATTTGGGGGGGTGGGTTTGGTGGGAGCCGGGGGGGTGGCCTGCGAGGGAAAAGGCGCGGAGGAGGAGGAAAAGGGAGGACGACGGGAGCAGAGAGCGAGTGAGCGAGTGAGTGAGTGAGTGAGTGGTGGCCAGTCCAGGGTCAGTGCTGTTGTGTGTATGGCCCGGCGCCTGACAGCCAGCCAGACTTGACTCCCAAGACGACGCAGAGAGAGAGAGAGAGAGAGAGAGAGAGGATGGCCAGTGCCAAGTGGTTCCCTCACAGACTAGCGGGCGTAAAGATTATTGATGAATGAGGCTAGACCGGGGGGTGGAGGGGGAAGAAGGAAGAGTAAAGGCCGAGAGAGTCCAGGGTAAGGCCATTTACTGCCTACTATGCACAGTACAGCCTACCACAGCACACAGTACAGCGGGCTGGCTGGGGAGACTGGGAGACTGGGAGCCTGGGAGCCTGGGAGCCTGGCCATGTTGATTTATTAGCCAACTCATTACAGGAGCTAAGTTAGTTACATACACCCGCACACGTATCCTTCTGCCTTTGATTGCTCAGCAGAAAACGTGGACCGAACCGCTGGACTCACGCTGGACTGCGGAACCCGTGCGAATCGGAAAGACGAGCGGCCCCCAAGTCCAACAGCCTGCGCGCTGGGGGGAGGGCCGAGTGCTCCGTCCGGCTGTGCGGGTAGAGGCGAGCATCTAGAGAATGCTCGTCCTAGCAGCCCAGCGCCCGCCTAGGGGAGCCCCAAGTGGTCCTGCTGTTTGCCTACTGCTCACAAGTGTGCAATCCGGCGCTCGCTTACTGAAATTGTGCCAAAGTTTGCCCGGCTACTGTCTGCACTGCACTGTACTGTAGCTACATACATACATAGTAGCTTGCCTAGTACAGGATGCGTGGTTGCTGTGGTGGTTAGGTACCGCAGGTACGTACACATTGGCGGGGCACAGAGGATACCTAGCTGGGTAAGAAGTATGTAGGTGGGTTACCTAGAACGGATGCAAGTCCTGGGCAGCTGGGAGGGAGGGACATCTGGGAGCTGGGAATGGCCGACTGGCAATTTGCAGTGGCCATTGGCGAGCCTAGGACAGTGAACAGACAGTGGATAACGGATGGACAGTGGCTGGGGCACATGCACTCGACAGTCATGTCAATCGGCACTGGTTGGCCAGCATTTCAGTTGATGCTGCTGATGAGCGGACGAGGGTCTGTTTAATGTCGATACGACCTCAGAATTTCCATAGCCTGGGCCCTGGTGCCCTGGCCTGGGAATCCGATGTCTACCATAGTAACAGTACCTCAGTACGGTGTGCGCAGCGGGGACCCCCTCCATGGTGCCTGGGCGGGCTGGGTATGGGTATGGGGATGAGCTGTCATGTGCAGCTGCCGCGTCGTGTCTGTGAGAGCCTCTTCGGGGTGCCACAATTAGAGAAAATAGAGAATGCTGCCAATGGACATGACCTATATTACTAGCGTCTGCTGTAAGTAGCTACTCGGTCGCAGAGCCCTGATTCGGGATGGGGGATGGAGAGTGGGAGGACATCGTCGGTTTCCCGGGCTTTGGGCTGCGCCAACCAACACGCCGCCGCAAGTCGACGCCATTGACGAATCACCCCCCGCCTGCTCCCCGATTCGAGCTCTGTTTTTTTGGTCTCCGGAACCCTCCTCCAGGGCCACTGTCTACGATCCAACGACACGGCACGCAGCAACAGGCTGAGGACGACGACATGATCCGTCTTGCTCTCTGTGCCCGCTGTCCAAGGTGGAACTGTAGCATCTCACGTTGCCACCATCTCTGGCCTCTGGAGATTGCCGTTGCTCCCGATTTCCCATCCTGCCCGCGCGTTCTGGGGCAGACAGGCTTGTGGGAGATTGCTGCCGATAGTCACCCTGCTTAGCGACACCTCCATCCATCGTCCCCTGCAACTGCGGCTTGAACAAATTTGGGATCGCACTGGCAAATATCCGCCCACAGTACGGCCTGCACCGTCTGCCGCCCAGCTTTCCCCAGGGCGAACTGCGTCCCAACACGACGAAACCCAAGGTCTCATCCACTGGCTGACTGGCTAACTGCGCCAGGAGACTGGGCTTTGCTTACTTAAGGTTCGCAAGCACGACCGCCTTTCCGCTCCTTGATGCTGCCCGTTGAATCCTGCTGAGATCAAGCTTCGCGCCTGTCGGCTCTCGTCTCGACGACAAAAGACGTCGAGCCTTGATCCTTGCTGAATCCAGCCAAGAATCCCCTTCATCGGACGTTGTCTCGTCTATCTATACCTCCCGGTTCGCGAAGTTCCAAACACCACAGCCTCCTGTGATGCCTGTCGTGTATAAATCCCTTCCTAGCTGCTACTATTGCTTCTTTCAAGCAGCCTGATGCCGAGATCTCTCGTCAGCCTCCTTCGTGACGCGCCTGCCGGACAATGGGCATCCAGGTTGAAGGTTCCTGTTCAATCTGCCATGTTCCTTGCAGGTGATCTAATGTCCCCGGGGCCAAAGCTTCAGAACAACCAAAGACCATCGTTGAACTTTGAGGCTTGACCAAGCCGGCCGGCTCCCGTGTAATGTCTTTTGAGATGGCAAACAACCAAGACTGGACAGCTGTTGTTCTTCTGCCCAGGCAGTTGGACGCCAGAAGGCTTGCTGATCATGAGCCAGGGATGAGCCTTGAAACGAGCTTCCGCCGTGTGCGTAGCTATGTAAGCACGACGCGGAAAAAGGCTGGCGGGAAAGCAGGCAAACCTTGTAACAGAGCTTCCCGGAGCTGTGGCCTATAGGAACCGTGGCTGCTGTGGCCGGTCTTCCCATAGCTAGGTGAAGCTGAGATCTATCGGCTTATGACTTCACTACGGGGTGCTATGTTATGGAGTCCATGGGCGGGAAACAGAGAGTCCATGTTTAGAGTTGCCCATCCCGTCCCTTGGTGTCGAGGTTCTTTCCAGACATGAGGGGGGGTTGAACTTCAGTTTCCAAGTAACGGTCAGCGTCGAAGTCTCGGCCCGTGTTGAATCCACGGTTGTCATCAGACGGTCCAGATCCACGTTCGTCATGAACCGGCCCAATCTGAGGAGAAAATGGCCGCGTCACGCTGTGTTCACAATTTCTATTGAACAGGCCGTGAAGCACGCCAAAGAGCTGATGAGGCAGGGTGGAGGGAGGTCCAATGTAAGCCGATATCGCTGTACGCTAAAACTTCCCATTCGGACAGAGGATTGCCTTTCCCCGGCGGTTGTAAGTTCAACCAAAGTTCCGGGATCTAGAGTGAGAGTTTAGGATCTTCGGACATTAACAAGATACGGCAAGGCAGGCTTGGCAGGGGTACATAGATTCAACGAGTGGCAGCGGAACCCGCTCTCGTTTTCACACTCTGAAGCAGTATGTTATTGGTCGCCACTCACGGTTTCCTGCAACTTTGTTTCTTGGAAACCATATGAGTAGGTGTCTGTAGCCAGCTGATAGGGCAAGGCAGTAGAGTCATAGCGGAGCTGAATGCTGGTTACTAACTTGTCGTCAGTTCACGAGATTAGGTACTTCATGGAATGGGAATACGTACATCTACCATCTGAACTCTGGATGTTTGGATGGTATGTAGATGCCTCTTCATGATACTTCTCCAACACACGACACTGCTATTGCCGTTGGATAGTAGGAGATGCACAGACTCATAGTCATCGCCGGCCCATATGATATGTTGAATCCTCACCTTGACTTACAACAATGATATCTTCTGCCTAACTTCAGTATATTTCACTGCAGGAATCCCGCTCACTTTACACACTGTAAGTATAAATTAGAAGTAGGATGTGCTCATGTATCTTGCCTCGACTAACAAGCCAGAATAGCACGCGGCCCACAAAGCATATCATGGACAGTGGCCTAGAACCATGGCTCAGAGCCTACTCGATATGGCGCCAAACAGCTGGTGACGACGTGTCGCAGTTTGGAAACATGCTAAGGCAGAACCGTCGATGGACGATGGTGTGTTCGATGGATCCAGTGGTTCCGGTCAAAGGGCAGGGCCCATCGATGTATCTAGCCTTAGCGGAACCATTCACTTGGGACTGATCGATCGAGCCGATGGCCGTGGATCCACGGAAGGCAGTCGAGCAATCTAGTCTCTCCATGTGACGCATGCCGGGTCTGACGTTGACTATGTCGAAAATATCACTCACAAGCAGCACGCTCTTCGCATACTCAGTCTCACGATGGTGTCAAATGACGGATGGCAAGACGCCGACCCCCTGGCCAACCGGCGGTGCCAGGGCATGGGCCTCGAAGCTGAAAGTCATCCGAAGTCAGGTTTACCTAGGTGAAGTGTGCCAGTGTTTGACGACACGTCGTTCCCAGTCACAAGACTTGTTTACCCCGCCCTATGAGGCATCGACGATGAGCGTTTCGTCATAAAGCGAGTCCTGTACCGATACGGATGCCTGAAACATGGTGCGATCTCCTTCGGCCTTCCTAAGAGCGACCGGTAGTGTGGGTGGCCCAAGCTGATCTTTATGCACATCTCGCAACGGCCCAAGCTACCAACTTAGCTCACAGGATCTTGCGATGACATCTTTCGGCATGGGCGACTAGCGCAGGGCGGAGGTGGTAAGGCTTAGTGAGTCCGTCGAGCCCAAAACTGCCCAAGAACCACGACGTGGCAGGTTAGTGTGAAACACTCGAGCCCCATGCGAGCCTCTCGTGGCACGGCATCGTGATCCCGGAGAAACAATGCTCACGGCTCACGGCAGGAGGTTGGAGCCGCGCTGTTGACATCCATGGAAGGGATCAAGGCGTTCGTCGAGGTGGTGCCACACGATGGTTCCAATCCCGATCCCATCAGGTGTTGTCTGCATCTCGTCGGGACCGTGCTCGTCTGGCATCGTCTGCATGATCTCAGCAATCAGCCCCAAGCTGCAATGCAACCTCCTCAGACACCCACACGTCGGCTGTAGCCTTTTTGGAAACCTCTGCATTGTCGGCCAGCGGAGGATTGATCTCTTGCTCGCTGGATTGGCCCGCCTGACTTACACGCTCGGAAATCCCGTTCGCATACCGAACGGTATCCCCGCCTTCCTGTCATAAAAGTATGGAGATGAGGTTCGTCATGCTCGTCGCAGCCCGGTGGATTTGAGTGCCAAAATTTATGTCATCCCGTTTTCAGGGTCCTGTGCTGCTGGAGCTCGTGTGGCCTCTGCTGTCGGTCGTCTTACTGAATGGGATATCCCTGACTATTTTTGGACCGACTAATCCTCTTGGCGGGAGGTGGGCCCTGGAAGTTTTCTAGAAGGAACGGGGACACCGCCCATCGTGAGACCCAATCCAAACCAGGGAGGCCGGTGCTGGTCGCACGATACAGGACGAGGGAGGGCACTGACCGGCGGAAGAACACTGCCTTATCCTTCATACTCACCAGCACCGGCATAAGCTGACACAAGCAGGTCCTTCATGGAGTTGTGCACTCCGGCTCCCGCCACACGTGTCGTTTGACTCATTCACACGAGCAACATGGAATGGATTTCTCTGTGTATCACAGTACGGTAGCGGGCCCTACAAAAGGTACCTGTTCAATAATACGTATTGTGTCGGGTAAGAGCAGTGGCTGGATTGCCGCCCAAAGGAATCAAGATCTTGGTGAATTCTAACTTTAAACACAATCGCGGCCGTAAATAGCAGTGAAATTGTCAATCTCTCTTTCGTTTCTGGTCACGTAAGATTGCACGTTGAGCTAAAATGGCCGGGTCCATGCCACTTCGAGAACGCCGGTTCTCCCAGAACTGAACTGGCCCTCTCTGCTTCCGAGCACCGTTGATGGGGAAGATATCCACCCACCAATGCTTGGTCTCTGGTTGTCTGGTTGTCTGGCCTTACCATCCAAAGCTGAGGAGTCATATACTGCAACGTTCAGGGGGGTTTCCCATTGACATAATCTTGTCAGCATGGAGCATGCCAAGGCTGTTAATGAGAGGAATCCCCAGTTGCGGATACGGCATGGGTATCAGATGGTGGCTGCGTGGCAGCATGGATCAGTGACACGAGAAAACCACAAAATCCCCGATGCAGGCATGTGGCCCGTGGATGGACGTTGCGCTGCCATTGATACCAAGTATGGAGCGACGAATCAGACGCCGCACCACGGGACGATCACCAATGACTAAGACAGTGGTCAAGAGTCTGGAGGCTCACGGACATAGTTGAGCCGCGCTGATCATAGGAAAGCGCTCGGAAGTTGCATCATACGAGGTTAGAGAGGCATTGAGCATTGAGCATTGGGCAGGCCCGGAGCCATTGGCTTTTCTCCCTTCTTCACCCTTCACACCCCGTGGAGTGGCTCGGCAGTTGAACAGACTTTGGGGGATGGGCCATCACAATGATGTTTCGTCGACCATGGCTGCCCAGCGAGCGTGCGTCAGATACATTGCGTCTTGGCCGTGACATCAGACTGGCGGGCGAACGAACTGCTCGTTGAAGAAAGTCGGAGGTCTCAAATTGCAAACAGGCTATCCCTGGTCTTGGCGACTCCTGGCCACGTTTTTCTAATCCCTGTCACCACAATATAATTCTGCAGGCGGCTGCGGCCATGTGGCCACGCAGCCACGCCGTGAACCCTCGCCCATCCATCCTGGGTGGGTGAGAAGAAGAAGGAGGATTGTGCATCTGACGATGACTGTACATGCCTATCAGGATTGTCACACGAGTACTTTTGCCCACTCAAGAATAGCAATTGATTTTGATTCTAAAAGCGTCCCTTTGTTAGTGCTGCCTTCTGGCGGGAGGGAAGTACGTACGTAGGTCACAAAAAGTCCAGCCGGCTGTGGGGCTGAGGGCATGTCCTCGCCCAAGTGCAACTCACAGACCTAAACTCCCAAACTCCCAACCTTGGAACCTGGCTAGCAACAAACCAGCCAACCAACATCATCCAAGACGAGACTCACTTGCAACCCACGATCTTCTTCTCGGCTGTGGTCGAAACACTTTCCCCCCTCTCACACCTTTCTCTTTTTTGCCACGAGAGCGACTGCAACCCCCCCTTGGTAGGCACAGGACAGGACGTCTTGCACTGATCGCCATCTCGCCATCGACCTTCTCCGCCGGTGCAGCGGCTTAATGACCTCGGACAAGCATTACCAGCGCTAGCCTCAAACACAACGGCGGTCACTCAGCCCAGTTGGCTGGCTTTTTGACCCTGAAACACCCTGATGCAGACCAGGGGCTCCGCACTCAACGGCCGCACACGCTGATTGCCCCTTGGCCGCCGCTCCACTCCACTCCACGGCCAGGCACCTCGTCGCTGGGTCCCCACGACGAACTACCCCCCCGGCGTCCAGGCTTGCCCTTGCCAGACCCCCCCTTCGACGGGGCCTATCGCTGCCCTTCTTCTGTTCTGGTTCCAGAAGAATTGGTTCCCACATCCTGGCAGCCCTCCATTCTCCTCCGACACGCTGGCACTTCAGCCTGTCCGCACTTCCCGGAACCCATCTGCCTGAACCACGCGGTCTGCCCGGCTCTGCTCCTGCCCATACGCACGCATAAAACTACCTGCCTACCCCCCCCGTCCCGTCCGTGTCTGACACCATGTCTTCCAACCCAAATCCAAACCCAACTCCCGCCCAAGAGGAATTCCAGGACCTGCTGAACAAGAACGCCGGCAGTGACAGTCCACGTGTACACCCTGAGGATAGAGACTACGCTCGCGAGGCCGACCAGAGCGACGAAGACGAGGAAGACCGCTTCCGCAACGACCAGATAGACGCCGCCATGCGCATGCCCAGCATGAGGGGGCCCGTCGAGGGCGGCAACTACAAGCTGCCACCGGCCGCGTTCGACTCCGGCCGCGCCACCGGTGTCAAGGGAGTGATTGCGGATGCCAGAGCATATGAGGAGGCCCGCCAGACGAGATGGCGCGACAGGGTCCGCGCCGCCAGACGATCCGTCTTTGGCATGGGCAACGTCGGCAACACGACCACCATCACCAGCAAGGGCTCCCAGAGCGAGGGCAGTGATGACGAGCTGGACGCCGACGAGGAGGCCTTCCTGCAACAATGGCGCGAGGCGAGGCGGCAGGAGCTGGAGAAGGAGGCCCAAGGCGGCATTCGAAACCGCAGGACCAGCCCGAGCCTGCGCATGTTTGGCCGCATGGACACGGTTGACGCTTTAGGCTATCTTGATGCCATCGAGAAGGTCGGCAGGGAGACGGTAGTCGTCGTGTTTGTCTATGACAACGAGGTAAGCCTTTGCTGTCCCATCCTGTTACTCTCGCCGGCGCGACCAGTGCTAACACGTTCCGCAGTGCCAAGTATCAGAGCTCATCCACCAAGCGATGCGGCCCTTGGTCGCGGAATTTCCCTATGTTCACTTCGTCAAAATCCACTACGAGGACATTGAGTTCGACGCCGCCGCGGTGCCCACCGTCCTGGCCTACAAGAACCAAGGAGACCTGTTTGCCAACCTGACTGGCATTATCGACATGATTCCCGAGGACGATGACTTCGACACCGACTCCCTGAAGAGAATCTTCCAGAAGCACAGCATCATCTAAGTATGTTTGCCGGCTTTTCATGCGAGGGCGTAATGAGTCTGCCCACGTCAGATTACGAGTCGCACTTGCCCACGCTCCCTACGAACCGTCTTGCTTGTTGTCTATCTGTTGAGGCAATGTTATTACGCGCGCATTTGATACCCTTTGATATGAACGTCTGGTCTTCTGGCATGTCATGTTGGCTCAGGCTACAACTTCAAAGTTTGTCATAACTTTGCATCTGGTCATTTCCAACCGTCTTTATCGTTCCATGGTGGCAGCGACGGGCTCCTTCTTGGAGTGGATTCTTTTGATAATGGGAGAGGGGCGATCTCTCCGGGTTCTGCATTTCCCACATAGAGGCTGATTTGGGCACACCGGATGCTCATGGGCAGTGAGAATAGTGTATCTCGCTGGTGGAGTTTGGGCGTTGATGGATTATAGAACTGGCCAAAGTCTGCTTGCGATGGCTCATGAAATTTGGTTTGTCGGCCGATAGAGGACCGTCGATGGTACACCGATGTATGATATCTAATGAGGCACATAAAAAAACTCACCATACTTATTCGTACGATGTCCAAGTTTCTTGCTCCGTGTGTATGAATGCTTCAAACCACTTGCTGCGGATAGATGCTCATTACAGCCAATATTCATTTGGTCCAGACAGGCTCTACAGGACTGTACTTGATATATTGATCCCATGTAATTGATGAATAGTTTTGCCCAACGTGTTGCGGCATGGTCTCCCACACTGGCTTAGTTAGACGCGGCACAAGTTACCCACTGATGATTTGCGCGGCTATTTGAGCTCTTACTCGAATGATGGCTGGCGAATCCGGAAGACAGGTCGTTTGCTCCAGATACCTAGCCAGCCGCTCGGTTACCATACGATGAAGCCTAGGAAGAGTCACAAAGCCAAGAGCAGCCGTCCAAGCTCCCGTTTTCTGCCAGGCCGGCAAGAATCGGAACCTGTTGCGCCCATCGTGCAAGACCGCACCTGCGCTTTGCAGGCATTCGCAAACTCGTCACTCTTCGCTTCTCGCTTGTACAGGGCCAAGCGACAGTGAGCAGCAGCGTATCACTTTGGCGGCGGAATGGGGATTATGTACCATCCAGGTGGAAAGATAAGACGTATATCTAGAAGTAGCAATGTAGTCAAGTTCCGAGACACAGGCTGCTCACTTAGGTAAGCAGATCTCGCATGCAGGTAGAATGTTGGGCTGCTGTTGGCAGGATGCACATGCTTGGCTTTAGCGCCGTGCCTCTCTGTCAACGCGCGGACCCCGCAGTTTAATGGGCGCCCGAAATGGACGCGTGACAATCGTGCAGGTGAGCCCAAGAATCACTTTATACAGACCAGGGGTGGTCCCACCCCTCCATCGCGGGCAGATAGGTAGATAGATGGATAGAGCCGTGATTGACAACTCGAGATTAGGAACAGGAAGCCGTGGAAGGACGCGGCTGTGGCTCAACTTCCGGTGAAAATGCACGAACTGCGTAAGTCTTTCAAAATGTATAAGAGTCACGGCAACTCGTCGCGTATACATGCGCTCGATGTTGTACTGTGGAAATGCGGTTTCAGTCATTATCCGCGGCTGCAAGCCACCCCACCTCGTGGGTGGCATTCCCATTCCTTTCTCCCAGTTGGATACCCATGTTGGCATCAGCCAGCACTAAAAGTGCGGCCTGCCAGGCGTCATATCACACAATGAACCTGCCTCAAGATTGCCTATTCGGTAAACCCTGGGCGCCTTCCACGGTGGGGTGGCCTGTTGCATACCTCTCTGAACTGTCCACGAATCCGACCCGAGTTTCAACGGGACCTGCCACCTCGGACTTCAGTGGAGAATTGCAGGAAATTCTTGGGACAGCCGCCGTTGGCTCATTTTATCTAGAGAGATGCGTCGACAAGGGCAGATGCGATGCTCCTCCTCCTCATCAAGTCGGTCAGTGGATATACATCCATACAGTACGGTATCATAGATATGTCTTCTTATCTAAGACGAACGGGCCCCGCGTCGCAGTAGCACGGGATTAGCAGGAAGCAGCGGCGCCCCCAGACTGGTCAGACACCCTGCTAGCCAGCCTGGCCGCTGTCCACTGCCTGGGCGACCCACCCCCTCGTGCCCCTCAAGGCGGCCCCTCCATTGCTTATCCATGGCTTGATGGGCACTTATCAGCCGCCGTGGTGCGCTGCGCTGTGCTGTGCTGTGCTGAGGTCTGGGGTCTGGGGGTCTGGGTGTAAGTGGGCAGGGCGAGGCAGCTTGACGTCGCCGTAGGCACCCAGCCCAGGCAGGACTTTGAGCATGAACCTTGGGGAACGGGCAACCGAACTTAATCTTCGATACCTTCTCTTTGACCTGGAATCCCTCAGGAAGCAGATATCCAAGGGCTTTCTTCCAGTACATTGCACACACTCTCACCTTGAACAACGCACAACACCCCCCAGAACAGCCCACCGGCTTCCAGGCGTTGCCTTGACGGACCTCGCCTCGCCTCGTCTCACCTCACCTCACTTCTGACCTCGGACCTCTCGTCCATCCCTCTCCTTCGCCCGCCGGCTTTTGGGGACCGGTGACACGCCTCCCTCTTATAGCTGCCCCGCATTCGCAGACTTGACCTGCCTCGCCCTGCCTGTGTGTCTGCCTGCCTCCTGTCTGTCCTCAGCCTCCTCGCATCTTGTCATCCTCGGTTTTACCCAAGTCTTTGCGGTAAACTCGAGGCATGACGTGACCTCGCGGAAAGGCCTCCTCTCACCACGTTATGGAACAACCTGAGCCAACTGCTCCTCCCGTCGATATACCCAAAGCTGTCTCAACACAGGCAACGGCCAGCTCGCCGTCCAACAACGCCAGCAGCCACCACCACCGCCGCGCACCTCCGCCACCTACTACCCGGAGTGCCACGACCTCCAACTCGGTCCCATCTCTTCGATTTCCCCGCCCGGCTGGGAATAGGCAGCTCACCAACTGGGTGTCGTCGAGCCAACCAGACATCATGCGTGCCATGAACTTCCCCGACGATGCTCCGCTGGATGCCAGCATCACCGATGGCTACGAGGTGATCGGTACCGACGGCGAGAGCCAGTCCGAGTCGGCCGAGGCCTACGACACCCAGGCCTCCGAGCCCGGAGACGACGTCCAGAGTCTTGCTGACACCGACACCGGCACCGATGCCTATACCAATGACGTAGACTCAGACTCCTCCGACGAGGAGGAGGACGACAACCACGAGGAGTTTGCCATGGAGCATACAGCCGAGTTCACCGAGCACAACGCCGCTCAGAGCGACGGAGAGGACCATGAGAATGATATGACATACTCGGAGCGAAGTCTTGAACATCCCACGGAGTTGTTCACATCTGGCTCTCCCCATTTATCGCGGCAGGCATCCCTCTCGGGTCAGGACGACCACACAGGCCACACGTTGCAGCAAGCACGCTCGTCCTACGAGCATCTTGTCAATCCCAACTCGGAGACTATCAAGCGACCGAGGAAAGTTACCGAGACTACACACGAACACTCCAAGGCGGATACTTCCGCCGAGGGCAAATCGTTCTGGCGCATCTGCAAAGAGATGTCTACGCGCTGCAGGCATGACAGAACTCTACAGATGCGGGCTCTGTGGGTTGCCACGCTCGTCATAAGCTATTCTCTTGTGCACTCGATACTGCTAAGTGATGGGACGACAAGCCAGAGCAAGATGCTATCTACCGTTCCTGTGGCGTCCGTGTCGTCCGTGTCGACGTCATCCACCGTTGATTTTGTTGTTTCAACTTCTACGGTGACATCAACCGTCACGGCTACAAGGATTCAGTCCCATGCCTTGCAGACAACCAGCTCCTCGAGGGGTTTGGCTAATATCCCTTCCCACGCTGACCTCGTCATGAAAAAGAAGCTTTGTTCCGCCGACACCGTAGGTCGGAACGAAATCTTACTCAGGGTCCCTGAACAGTTCAAGGCCTCATGGCTCGCAAAGCAGGCAGTCATGATCTCTGTCAGCCGTGGGCTAGCGGATATACCCTCCGAATCCACCAAGATCACGTCGGTAGAGGAAGGATTCGTCATCGAGGTGCCCCTAGCAGAGGCCCATGGCATTCTCGACGTGTCGCTTGCCACAACCCGCAAGCCAAAGATCAACGAGACCTTCCAGGTCAACTTTGGCAGATTCATGATTGGGGATGCGTTCGATGCTGGCAAGCAACTCATGAAGGGTTTCGCGCAGACCGTGGTCGACACCGTCAACGGTACAACGGCATGGGTTGAGGAGACGTGCATTCCGGCCTTTGACATGATGGCGAAGCAAGCCTCGGTTCCTGATTCTATTATGCACGGCCTACGAGAGGCCAGCAGCAACGCCTTGAGCCTGTCTTCGCAGATCTCGGACCAGTTCAAGAAAGCCTTCACGGAGGAGCGGATGCGGCAGGCCGAGACGGAGCTTCTCCGGACGGCGCAAGACGTGCGTGATGATGTGGCGTTGGGCCTCCTCCGGGGCCAGCTGAGTTCCAAGCTCTGGTGGCTCAAGGTCCGAGGACGGACAGCGGAATACGAGCAATACCTGGCCGCTGCGGGGCCATACTACGAGCAGAAGCAGGCGGAGGCGGCCCAGGCGAGCCGGGCGAGGGCGGAGCGTGTCAGGGAGGAGGTGCACGCCCGACGGAGGAAGGGGAAGCGCGAGGGCCGACGATCGTTCTGGAGGGCCGGCGAGGGTGGATTCTAGGGTTTGTGGGAGTACTTTGACACGCACGCACTTATACCACATGGTCGGCCAGGGATGGGAATTCAGGGATTGGCGTTCTCGGATGTATTGCTTTAGCAGCCTTCGTTTGCTTTGTGTAAGTCGGCCAGCAAGGACTCGTGCCCGGCCGGAGATGGCGGCCGTGGCTGTAGAGGGCCTGGATGGCATGGCATAGCCTGTCATGGCGGATAGTAGATGTGACGGAGCGCCTAGCGCAAGGAGGAAGACTAAGGCATAGGCTCTGTCTCATTACACGCATGTAGTTGGAGTTGCTAGCTAGGAACAGCAGTCGCTGGAGCAACGGAATACGGACAGCATATACACACCTCTCTCCATATCTATACTTCGTTGCATACATGCGAGGTGCCTCTGCACACAGACCCGGCTACAGCAAACCGCACCTGCCTACATAACATCGCTACCAGCGCTGCGCTCTTATAGTATTAGTTCCAAGGCAGACAGTGCAAGCAGGGTGCGTCCCACGATGTCCACCGCACCCACTTAGACTCTTTACGATTGTAGAGCACTATTGGCTCCTGAGAGGGTCCAACTAGTGCCAAGAGTTGGTGGCAAACTACGGCCATTGTCTCTTCTGATTGGCTGCTACGGGCAAAGGGTCATCTTGAGTAAACATGAGTTACCACGAGGAAGTGCAGGGCACAGACCAAGAACCCTGAAAAAAAAATCTACACAGCAAAGAGAAGCCCCGGTCTGCAGTGGCTGAAGATTGTCAGTGCAACCTTTGGAAGTACATACAGTACTGACGTTCCCGCTGACGAACGATGAACTGCCTAGCGCTGCCCGAAGGGTACCTAAACCTCACGGGTTACCTAGCTTGGGTAGCTATCTGGGCAACGAAAGACGGATGGGATTCTGACCCGTAGCTAACGAGATGGGTCACCTGGCAGACCTCCCAAGAGCACATCGCCGTACGTGCCAACTGTAATCGTAGATATATATAATTTTTTTTTAAAAAAAAAAAAAATTTTTTTAGTGTCTTTTTTCTTCCTCTATGATACTGGCTTTCGCTGTGACTATTGACACAGGCAGGAGGGCCCAGGGTGGGAACTTGCTGCAAGAATAGACTGGGCTGCAAAGGTGCTGTCGCATTCAATGCCTGGCGTCTCGCTGTGTGTGTGTGTGTGTGCCCCTCGGGGCTGGCCTGTTCGACGTGTGTGTGGCTGCTGGCGTGGCTGCTGGCTGCATGTGTGTCCCATGTGCCATTCGATGTCTCCCCTTGTCCCATGCCCCGAAAAGGGAGAGGAGGGGCTAAAAAACCCAACTAACTAAAACGACAGGCAGTGCGCCGCCCGCTGCCCGCAATTTCAGACCGGCCTGCCTGTCCCCCCTCCATTCGACATTTGTTTGCACCGGCGACAACAACTGAACTGCATAATTTTCCCACTGCCTCAGTTCCCAGACCCAAGACGCCTTTGACTTTGCGAACCCATCGTAGCTTGCACTTTGAGCTTCACAGTCTGTTTCCGCCAAGGTAAGTGAAATGCACGCACCGCCTGTTCACCCACCTTCCCTTCGCTCCCCTCCCCGTCCCGCGCGCCCGCCCTTGTCAACAGAAAAGAAAACAACCACCACCCCGCCCCCGCCTCTCCCAGGGATCCCGTCTGGGCTTGCCTCGCCATGCCATACCTACACAACGTCCCGAACCTAGCCCGCTGACATGTGCCTCGTTTGTTCCCCTTACCACAGCAGCCGACCCAATATCCACACTCACGTCACCGTCATTTTTACGTCCCACCGCCCGCCACCATGAGCTCTACCGACAACACCGAGCCCAAGGTCGAGGAGACCAAGCCCGAGGAGGCTGCTCCCGCCGCCGCCGCCACCACTGAGGCCGCCACCACCGAGGAGGCCAAGGCCCCCGTCACCTCGTCCTCCGTCTTCTCCATGTTCGGCGGCGGCGCCAAGAAGGAGAAGAAGGAAGAGGAGGAGGACCGTGGCGACAACTCGGGAAGCGCCAAGGCCCAGCGCGATGCCGCTGCCGCCAACGAGGTAAGATTCTTGTCCCCGCACCCGTCCCCGTTCCCCCTTCGAGCTGGATGAACGAGAAGGAAGAGAAAGACTTCCTTCACATCTCCCTGTCAGGCGTGTATTCTGACGTTTTGCGCCCGCCCACAGGAGGAGGCCCCCGAGTCCGAGGACGTCCACTTCGAGCCCGTCGTCAAGTTGACCGAGAAGGTCGAGACCAAGACCAACGAGGAGTCCGAGGAGCAGATGTTCAAGATGCGCGCCAAGCTCTTCAAGTTCGTCAAGGACACCAGCGAGTGGAAGGAGCGCGGCACCGGCGACGTGCGCCTGCTGAAGCACAAGGAGAACGGCAAGACCCGTCTGGTCATGCGCCGTGACAAGACCCTCAAGGTCTGCGCCAACCACTACAGTACGTATTCATCCGCCTGCCCACACGCCTCCTCCAGAGAGCCAGACTCGCGTCCACCAACCAGCAAGAGATCTCAAGACTGACTTCCCCTTTCCTTCCAGTCGTCCCCGACATGAAGCTGTCTCCCAACGTTGGCAGCGACCGGTCCTGGGTGTGGAACGCCGCCGCCGACGTGAGCGAGGGTGAGGCCGAGGCCGTCACCCTGGCCATCCGTTTCGCCAACTCGGAAAACGCCAACCTGTTCAAGGACGCCTTCCTGCAGGCACAGAAGGACAACGAGGCCCTCTTCACTGCTGCTGAGAGCGAGACCGCCGAGCCCGCCACGGAGTCATAAAGAGACTTTACGCGCAGGTGGCATGCAGATGGAATAGGAAATGAAGGTGGACTCCTACTCTACCTCTCTCTCTCACTCATACACACACGCAAGGTGTACCACGGGGAGAGCACGACGCATTATTTTTGGCCGGCGCAGACGTGATTTTGCTGCACCACCCCCAAGATTACACATCCCCAATAGCCACAACATTAGAATTCCGGGCAAGGGCTATCCTTCTCGGCTGAGAGAAGAAGTGATAGACCGGCATGATTCGGTGGAATAGCCACCCGGCCCGCCCACCATCTTACACTACACGCAACCCCGAATCTGAGACCACTTCACGAAATAAAAAATAAATCCCCCCTAATAGATCACGTCAAGAGCCACCCATGTCAGAAAGCTGTTTGGTGATTATTAGTTGTATATACAGTTGCCCCCATCATCATGATAGCGTGCCGTTTGGCCTACCGATATGCCTTCGAACCTAACACCATGCGAATAGGTGATCAGTTGTATGTGTTGTAAAACGTGAGCAGTTCGTTCTGTGTAGATGATGAATGCCACTCTGTGACATGAGTTACTCAGTCTCAGAGAATGTCTCGGGGAGTCCATTAGTAACCTACATACAGGTATGAATTGTTAAAGTGGCAATTTTAATTACACGGGGAATGAGCAGAGTTTGGCAGATACAGATTTATTTATTTTGTACGTATTGCACTTCCGGTAGTCAAACGTCACTCATTGCGTTGTAATGATCCAGTATAGGATCCCGTATATTCGAGCATAGCCTCATAATGGCGATAGTTCTGGATGCAGCAGTGCCAGTCTGTGACGAAGCTCTGCGGGTCGGTGTACACCCCGCCGTTGTTTGTACTGTCTTGTATGCGTCGTACAATCTTGAGTTGCCAGGTCTGGGGCGAGGTGTCTGACCGGGCCTCCCCCTCTGACCGGAACAGCGCGCCGTTGGGAGAAAACTCGGCGGCGTGGGCTGGTCGGTGGAACTCCATGGCTTGCCGCCCCGGGGAAGGAGTATGCGCGGCCGGCCCGCGGCGCAAGACCGTCGGTACAGTTCTTCGTCGTCGTCGTCCCTGTGACATTGGAGAAGGTGCTGCAGATTGCAAGTGATTCGAAACCGTCCACCGGCACATGTCCGCCTCGCATCTCAGGGAAGGCTGCAGCACCTGTCCGGATATTGCATTCATCAAGTAGGAGTGGAGGATGAAATGTCGATCTGGACATTGGCGATCAACAAAGCCCATTGAAGAACATGACGAAGGCTCCCCACGGGCCCCGGCTAGCATCGTCGAATACCTGCAGGCGGCTCAGGGGCTGGGGCCGGCGCACGTAGTAGCGCCACTTGAGCTGGCTTAAGACGATATGATTGGAATCATCATGGCCGTCTTGGCGGCGGTCGTGCAGATAGATATCAGCGGGTTCGGTTGGATAGGCAGCTTCCAAGCTGATAGAGGCGTGTTGTTGACCCTGAGAAGAATGACCAGAGACATGGCCGTCAAACTATGTACTGGTGCAATCACCTCTCACCACCCACATGAGGCTATGGACCGCATTTGTTGGTACGGTTGATGTTCACAAGCATCTTCCTCATTTTCTCTGGCCCAACTCGGAGGTGGCGACGAGGGGTGCTCTTATATAGGAATAGTTTTGCTGCTATCTCTCTGACTGATGTACATGGTCGAGACCGAACTGCCTTGTTCTTTGTTCTTGTGGAGGGAGATAGAGCTGTCACAAGTCGACGTTGTCACGGAGCAGTTGAGCTTAAGGAGGCGACATTGGAGATTTCTGGGGGGCCAGAGTGGACGGCTTTGGGGGCGGCTTGGACAGAGACGCACCCCATCCGAGTCGAACAAGAAGCCCCTGGATAGGTTATACACACTTGAACTGAACGAGGTTGGAAAACTTCGACTGATGTATATATTACATAATAAAATGGATTATTATAATAAAACATTTATAATGAAAATTTATAAATCTTTTAAAGTACATTTCATTATAAAGATTATTTAATTTTCCCGTTTATTATTTAACGGTCTAGTTATTTCTTTTATTAAAAAAAAAAAAAACCAAGGCAATTTAAAAAGCCTACTCTTAATGGTCTCTTTAGCGAAGGTAGATTAAAGATACTTCTGATGTCAATGTGGTGAATCCCAAACATCGTCCGCTCGAGTGGGCCGCTGTCGGCGTAAATCAAGACAGCCGTTCAACCGGCCGTTGTGTTTGAGGCCCAATATGCGAGATGCTTCGCGCTTCTGGAGGCATTGGAGAAACTCTCCCCATTGCAACTGCATCTGAGTCGGGGCGGCCGTTGACTTGTTCTATAGTCTGGCTGAGTGGCATAGGGTGGGAACGTAGGGACAAGGGCAGGTGGACTTGTGTAATGAGCAACTTGTATATACTGGTGAAGTGGAAACTCCCAAGCTATGGAAAACCGGCCCCGTGATCTGGTTGGATAACCTCAGGAAGGCAGTAGTTTGCATAAGTGAATAGTACTGGTCGGTGAGCATCGGCACAATGCTGTCTACAGGACAACCTATGTACATACCAGTAACGTATGATAGACACCATTTTACACGGGGCTCTGTCAGTATACCTAGGATAGAGCTGAGGTAACCCCCTGCTGGTTTGCTGTTCGTGCGTCTCAGTGGATGGATTGCTCTACTATGTACAAATGCAAACAGGGTTTAGCGCCTCGTTAGGGGAAGTTCTGGTGGGTGTGGGTCTCGGTGGCTTAGGTAAGCCCGAGCTCAGTGGCCCAGTGGCCCAGCGGCCCAGTGGCTGGCTCCCCCAGTCGCCAACCATCCGGAATTCGTCGAGGCAGGAAAAAAACCTCGCACAACTCGTCCTCGAGCAGCTGCCGACAGCTGCTTCTTCTCATCAGTTCCAACGCATCCCCATCCAACTGCCAGGCAGCCGACGACGACCTCATTGGAAATCGCCATGACAGGCAGAGGAGGCATCATCCAGCCGCCGCGAGGCCGCCCGTCCAAGGTGACCAAACCCGCCGCAACCCCTCGCCGCCCCGGCCGACGCGCCGGCCAGGACACGGTCCCCAACCAGGACCCCAGCCTCGAGCAGGACCTCGACCACGACCCGGAGCCCGACCACGAGCACGAGCACGAGCATGACCCGGACCAGAACCACGACCAGGACCACGCCGACGTCGACCAGCAGCACCAGCACCAGCAGCACCAGCAGCACCATCACCAGCACCAGCACCAGCCCCAGCCCGACGAGCATGACCACCACAACGACTTCGACCCCGAGGCCGCCGCCGCCGCCGCTGCAGCAGCCGCCCAGCACTCGGCCGCCCAGCAGCAGCAGCAGATGGACCTGAGCACCGCCGCCAGCATCCTCGCCAGCAGCGGCGCGAACCCCATGGTCAACCCCCACGACCACCCGGACTTTGGCGAGGTCGGCCAGGTCGACGACGCCGGCCAGATGGGCCACACCACCGAGAGCCTCGCCCTCCAGTCCGGCTACCAGAACGTCATCGTCGAGAGCGCCCTGGCCAAGCGTCTGGCCCGCGAGCCCGGCATGCGCCTCGCCCAGCAGCGGCGGCCCGAGCAGCAGCTGAACCTGCAGAGACGCAGCAACGTCGAGGCCTTGTTTGCCCACATCGCCGGCGAGACGGCCCCCGTCCCCTGCAAGAACTGCCACAAGGGCCACGGGCCCTGGACTACCTGTGTTGTGGTCGACGGCCAGATGTGTGGGAGTTGCGCGAATTGCTGGTTCAACGCGTCCGGAGCGCGCTGCTCGTTCCACGGTAAGATGGTCCCCGCCCCGCCTCCCCCTCGGCTTTCTTCCCTGGAAAAAATTTACTAACAGCCCATGGCAGAGACCCGCAATCCGGCAGCCCACGCGGGCGCAGTGATTGGAGATGGCGCGTTTAACATTCCGGCCATTCCTCCCGCTGCCCTCGGCGGCTTCAACTACGTGTCCGGCCCCGCTTCTGCGGATCCCGTCGTCAAGTACACCATTGAGCGGGCCATGGCCGACATCCGCGCCGCCGACAAGAGGACCCGCCACATGCTCATGATCGAGGCCGCTGCCAAGCAGCTGGCTTTCCAGATCGTCGCCTACGAGGATACGGTCCATGAGGAGCACGCCCAGGAGCACGCGCAAGCACACGCTCAGGGCCACCCACCTCCACCCGAAGCCATCAGTAAGTTAATTCGCCTTGATTCGCCTTGATTCGCCCTATTACTGCATTTCCTTATACACTAGACGACCTTGGCAATCGCTCAACCGAACACGGATTTTATTCTTCCGATGATCACGCCTTCACTTTAGCACAAAGACTAACCTGCCGTCTGTAGTGGAAGAACCTGAGGCCTAGAACGGCATAGAGATCCCCAGAGTGGCTGAGGGACAGGGAGTGGTCCCATTATATCAGATGATGCCCAATGCTTACGGTGACTGGGAACTCGTAGAAGTCCAGCGGCAGCTGTCTCCACCATGAATGGCTGGCTCAGAGAACTGACCGAGTTTGAAAGCCGTTTTACTGGCATAACTTGTGGATCTGGACGCAAGCAGAGGGCCGACGGGTCTGACCAGACGGACTACAGGTTGCCACCATGCGCCCAAGCTATTTCCGATTGTTACTCGGCATGAGATAAGGCAAACTTGGGAAAAGTGGGATTTATAGTGTATTGTAGTATGCATACGAGTTTTTCTCAAATGCAAATCTTTCTATCTCGCAGGCTGTTGATGCGTCGCCACTTGACACTTGCTCTCTCTACACGGCCGCTGTCCGTCTCGAGGTGGACGGTTGTCTGTTTGTTATGCATTGATTCGCACTGCTAGCAACAGATGTATCGCAGCCTTGTTGCAGCTTGTGCTCGTTTCCGCCCTTTCTTGACACCTGGAAGAGGATATCATCATGTGCTACTCATATATCTGGAACTGCGCGCCTGCCTGAAGGATCGCGCAGAGGGGGTCTGTATCAATATCCGCGGCCAACTATAGCCATGCCAAGCACAGGACAACGTTGAGACAATCCACCACTGGCGGAGCTAGCTCGTCTCATCGTTGAGCTTCTGCCCCCCTGGGGCCTCTGTGTGCCGGGGGGCTTCCAGCCGGAGAATTTGGACTGTGGTACGGCGAGCTATAGATCCTGCGGCATAAGTCGACAAGGAGCCTCGCACCGTTGCCGCATCCATGGCTTACATACGTAAAATGCGTGTAGATGTATCCATCTGATTGGCAATACGCATCTTGCTATATGTTGTACATCGCCCGCTGGATTGCCCGCAGCCCATTGAACAACAACTTAATTCACTAGGCGGAGGGGCAGACACTACTCTCAGTTATCACCAGTTTTGACGCCAACGTAGCTCCATGGCCCTTATTTTACACTTTCGTCTTATCCGCGGGGCCGGGCCCGCCTCCCCCCGTGTAGTGTAGTGTAAGACAACTAAGGCAACTCGGGGAAGCGGAGCCGGACGGCGGCGGCGGCGGCGGACGTGCCTGTGAGATGATGACATGCTTCTGCCGTTGCAGAAAGGAAGAGGGAAAAGTCAATCAGGGGGGGGGGAGCCTACGTTACACAAAGCGTAGATACGAGCGGTTGAGAAAGAGCGGAGGAAGCCCAACTTTGTGTTCTTGTGCGCTTCTAAGCGAGCTCATAGCGAAACTCTGTCTCCGCCCTGAGCCGCAGAACTTATCAGCGTGGGGCACACGTTATTGTGCTGTCGTCGTCGTCGTCGTCGGCGTCGTTTCCGTACCAGTGTGCCCATCGATGAGGCGGGAAGGAAGAGGAGAAGATGGGGAGTTCTCGCGGAGGTAGGCTAACCTACGAGCTGGTCAACATCCTCTCCGCTCAACGAAAACATGCCCTCATCGCTGTGCCCTGTATATCTCGTCGAAACCACCCACTAACTTACTGTGGTAAGCCTCCAACGTCTTTCTCGGCCTGGCGACGCAAGGTTTTCGGCCGGCCGGCCAAACCCTGCCAACGCGCAAGGTATCGAGATATGCCCAAAGAGGAAATGCCGGTGTGCCGCCTGGCGCTCTGGCGTAGAGAAGCACCGACGGTCGAGTGACGGGTTGTCCGTCGTCGTCGTCGTCGTCGTCTTCTTGCGCATCGTTCTCCCGCCCTATACCGTCATAGCACACAGCGCACGCTGAGCCGCGGTGTCCCGCTGCGAGTTCCAGAGCATTGCTGTACACACGCGCACATGAGGACTTGACATGAAAAGCACGTGCGTGCAGCCCCCAACCCCCGTCCGAAGTTCCCATATAACAAACCCATAAACCGGGCTGTGCTGGGCTGGTGAGACACGGCCGGACGGATCACCGCAGGGATCGACGGTTTAGTTTGCGCGACGGGTCGCGTCTTCGCCGGTGGTTCTGCAACAGAAGTAGGAGCCGTGTTTGGTTTGGGGGCTTGAAAATCCGGGGTCAGTTGGCCGTCTAGAGGTGGTAGATCTGCAGACAATGTTCCTCACGGGTTTCGGTGGGTGAACGGTCAGGCGATAACGCTATGAACGGCGCATAGCATGACGGAGGCATTTTCATGCATCGCTAGGTAGTGTCCACGAACGGGCAGTAACGTCTTTTGGAATCAGTGGTTTCTCTTTGTCTGTATACACATCCAACTAAATGGATAATCACCCTATCATCCTGCCTGCAGATCTATCTAGTATCCGCCGTGGTATACTTGCGTCAACCCGTGTTTCCTCCCTCTCCCCGAATTGACCATCGCCTCCAGCTTCGCTCTCGGAATCAACCCCTTCTTCTCTCGTTTTCGCCCATCATCGTAGGCGGCTGTATGCCATGGGAAACAAAAAAAAAAGGAAAATAGTGAAAGGACCAGGGACTCCTCAAATTCATAATTAAACAAAATATGTAACCGCCGTGGCTTTAGATGCAGTGCTCGCCCCCCGCGCCTTGGTTTTCCACGATGGTGATTTGACGAAACCTCGATTCAACTGCGTGGCGGATTTTGGTAAGACAAGGTTTCGAAAGTTTAGGTTGTTGTATTGGAACATCGAAACAGGAGGCATGGAAGGAGATCGATTGACGAGCTTGTGGACGGGGCCTCGGGGCCCTTGTGTTCATTAGCCAGAGAGTGACATTACTGGCAAGCCATACTGTTAAGGTAGTGAAAGGGGGTATTTTCTTCGTAGCATCGCATAACAATCAAATGACACCGATCAGATGAGACCGCAAAGACGCAGGTTCTCCTGGATAATGATATCTGCGTGCGGTCGTTAGCAATTTTGGTCAGAGTTATTGATAAGCTCGGGTTCTCTTACCATTGACGGCAGCCATGACGAATCTGATTTGCGTGGTATCCGTTGCACAGGTGAAGTGCGTGTAGATCTGTTTCGTCTCGTGCTGGTTCAAGCTGACGAAGCGGTTGAGGATGTAGTCGCAAGCCGCTGCGTAGTCATCGCCACCCTCGTAGTCGGGGAAGTAGTTCTTCATGGGGCTGACGGGGAGCTTCTCCTTGAAACGATCGATCTTGTTCAGGAACAGGATGATCGAGGTCTTGATGAACCACCTCGAGTTGCAGATCGAGTCGAAAAGAGTCAATGCCTCCTGCATACGGTTGACCGTCTCGTCCTCGAACAGCAGCTGATCGTACTCGGAGATGGCGACCAGGAACAGGATGGTGGTGACGTTCTCGAAGCAGTGGATCCACTTCTTTCGCTCAGATCGCTGACCACCGACGTCGAACATTCTGTAGGTCAGGTCGCCGATGATGAAGGTCGTCTCCGTGATACCGGTTGTCTTGACACGCGAGCGCAGGACATCCTGGTCGTTGGGCATGTAGTCAGGAGCAGCAATCCTGGCAATGTTGTCGAAGTAGCTGTAGGCAGGCGTGGTTAGAGAACAAGCTGGCGAAAGAAGCAGAAAGGGAACCTACTATCGTGCCGAGTCGTTCAGCTGGTACTCGCGCGATCGCTTGAAACACTCCTGCACACCGCGGTCCTTCCAGAGAGCCTCGATGGCGTTGCCAACCTCCGGGGGCAGGACGTCGCCCTCGATCTGAGCGGGCTGCATGAAGATGGTCTGGACGTGGTACTCCATGCGCTGGTCCTCAAGCGGCAGCTCGAGGGACTCCATGGCCTCGAGAATGACACGCATGGACTGGACCGTGTTGCTGAAGATGATCTCCTTGAAGGATTCCCTCTCATCGCGCGAGTAGCCGCCCTCGTGGATCAGCTTCATCTGCTTCAGGATGGTCGACTTTCCGGATTCACCAGCACCTGGATTGGGCTGTGGTTAGCGATACGGAGCAGATGTGGACCGGCGTCGTCGACGCGCGGCGCCCAGGGCTCGGCTTACCCAGAAGAAGCATCTTGATCTCGTTGCGCTGCATCATCTTGTCCCGCTTGAGCTGGTTCTCAATCTCCTCGTTGCGGGCCTTGCCCTCCTTCTCCTCTGTGCTCATTCCGCAACCCATCTTGACTGATTACGGCGTACCGGCTAGGCTATACTGTCCGGGGGGGAAATGGGAGATAGCTGGTGTCGAGGATCGCGCGGCGCGAGCGACGTCTCTGCAGTCAACAGGCGCTGAAACAGTCTACACTAGAAGAAAAGAGGCGTGTTAGTCACGAGTGGCCCGGGGAAAACGAAAGCCTGTCAGTCCGGAAGAGGTAGGCCGGCTTGTCGCGAGCGAGTTTTCCACCGAAGAGGACGCAGGCGGACGATTGGGACTCTTGTCGCAGCTGCAGCGTGGCACGGGCGTCTCTCTCTCTGTTGTATTTCTCTGTCTTCTCTTCTGTCCTTCCGAGCATCTGGCAGTTGACGAAGCGACACGAATAAAAAGACTTTTTGGTGCGGCCAGAGGTTTCCAGAGCCGAGAGGGGAATGTGTCCCGTCCCAATCAGCAGCGCGGATGGGGGTGGCAGGAGGAGAGGAGCATCAACAAGCGGGCGGGAGGGAAATAAGGTTGCTCCTACGGCACAGCGATGACTTACACAATCGAGACCGGAAAGACACACGGGTGAAGCGTGTGCGTGTGCGTGTGAATGGGCGGTCGACTGTCGCGATGGGGATCACGAGCACGAGCACGATCACGGGGGGTCGTTAAGTGAATGGAATGGGATGGGATGGGTTGTGCCGACGATGGGAAGGGGGAAAAAGGAAAAAAGGGTGGTCGATTTGATGGATTGGAAATTGTGACAGGACGCCAGTCTCCAAAAGAGGGAAGCGACGCGGGCAGCGGGCGACGGGGCGGATGCCAATGGACGGGCGAGAAAATGGGCAGATGGGGACCTGGGGACTTGGGGACTTGGGGGACCAGCAGCAGAGGAGGCAGAAAAAAAATAAAAAAGGGTGCCAGAGGGTGGATGGTGGCCAGTGCTTCTTCTTGTTCTTCTTCTGCTTCTTCCAGTACAACAGGTGTCCAGTACCCAGAGTGTCGCTGAGGCCAAGGTGCTAGCAGAGGTACCTTGCTTTCCGTAGGCATGTACTGTGATTGCTGTACAGTACAGGACCAACTGACCAACTAACCAACTAACTACCTGCTGCCACCTCTCCTCACCTCTCTCTTCCCCTCTCGACAGCAGTCCAGTTCCCCTGTAGTTGCCGTTTGCTCTAGGGGGGGGGAGGGGAGGCTGCCCAGCACAGGCACCTTACTAAGGTACTGTATGAGGACCTTGGAGGGGGGTGGGCATTCCGCTAGCAGGCCTGCTATGTACTGCGAAGTTTGGTAAGGGGGAGCGAACAGGGGGCTGGCCATTGGATCGGGGGTGCAGCAGGGCCTGCAGCGCGCCAAGTCCTGGACCAGACCGGGGTCGCTGTCATGAGCTTGATGAGGGTGGACTTGGTGGAGAGCGCCTTGGAGGAGGCCCAGCACGAGCCAGCCCCGGACGGGCAAGGTGCGCCCAGCGTCGCTGCGAGGTACCAAGGCGATCGCCCTGCACCAAATTTCATCCCAGCTTTTTCGTTGCTTGTGCACCACTCGCGCCCTCTCAGTCATCCTACCAGGCCTAGGTACCCTCTCGACCTGTGTGGCCGCTCACCCGCTGTGGTCGCTGCACGCCTGTGGAGCCCCCCTTCCTGCCTTCCTGCCCTTGCTGCGAGGCCCCGGTGCTTGTTACTGAGTGTAATGAGCCCTTCTCGGACGGTTCGTGATGGCGCTGACTCGCCCAGGAGCTAATCCGTCCTCTAAGAGGCATCGGGAGAACCGAGACCTGCACGCTCTTCCACGCCCTGCACGCTTCCAACCACCACCGCCGCCCCGGCTCGAACCTGCTCCATGGCGATTGAGGCCCCCTATTCCTCGCCCGCGACTATTTGCTCTTTAGCACCAGGCTAGCCTCGACCTGACCCACGCCCGACAGGCACTCCATCCTATCTGCAGCAAGCAACAGCCTGTCGGAGTATTGCTGCTCCATAAATTCCATCTGCGGAGCACACAGTAAGTGGCTAAGTGGCCCCGCAGCTCTGTAGGAATGCTGGCCTGATAGAGTTTCCGGCCTTGGTGCTGTACATGCAGTCTTCGGCCATGATGATTATCAGGACGCCATCTAATGTGGTCAAGTTCTCTTCTAGACGACACCACCTGGACGAATACAGTCGAAAGCGAGGTGCTGCGCAATCTCCCGCCGAGCACAACAACTTCCATACAATAATAGCCTGTTTGAATCCAAGCTCACGGACATGTTTCATGTTTCTGCCAGACAGATACAAATTCAACTAGATATCCGTACTATGGTATACCTGGCACTATATTGCGGGCTGTTAGCGAGAGAGGGCCACTTGCAATGCCAGGGTACTCAATTGACCAAACACAGTCGCACAATTTCACAGTTGTTACTGTGCCAGGGTCCCTCGGGCTTTCTAGCACTGGCCGCATTCTTGTGGTCTCGGAGACCCCAACCAACTGCACAGTCGGCCACACGTATCCCGTTGCCAGCAACACCAAGCGTGCTATGAATGGAATTCTCGGAGACGCTTTTGTCTCACCAACTGTCGGCTCGCAGACATTCTTGTGCGGCTTGCCCGGCTCTAAAGAGGTTGCCTTGCTGCAAGCACATTGCGGCCGGCACAAGTCCTACGAATCGTAAGCCAGGATCGCCCCTCTCCCAACGGTAACAGGTGCTCGGACCCTGCCGATTGCCAGGGTCTAAATCTGGTAAAGGGCCGTCCTTTGTTGCAACACGCAAATGAGGGACACGACAACCTACCACCGTAGAAACAATATTTCCTTGATTCGGCGGTTGACTAAGGTCATCTGAGTCCTGACAGCTGCATGCGACAAGTCTTTGATGGCTATTCGACTTGCTACCTATGCACCCGCCATTGTCGGTACCTTGGTAGTTACAACTTGCACCAAATGGCCCCCGACACAAGCCCTTGCGCCATCCCCATTTTCCGAGCCTGACGAGGCGGTGGTTGGTAGGCCTTGATATGCCGTTAAGCACTGGGAAACCCGTTTTCAGACCAGCAGCATGTTGTCTTATCAAGAAAAGTGAGCCTCGTCGCGAAATTGCTTGCTTCTCTCTCATGCCCTCGGCATCAGTTCCTATTTGTTGAACTCGGGTGACCGCCAGCACTGCAGATGAGGACCAACCAGAACACAAGATTTTACACTGTGATACACTGTCCTTTCCTCGATATTAGGATGGCTGGACTACGGTAGCCTCGAATCTGTCTGCAGCAGTTCTAGTGCTATGTTCAGTGCCATTATTTCTGGAGCACAGTACCATAGTACAGCGAAGTGGAGATTGGCTGATAAGTGTGATACCACTCTAAGCCCTTGCCTGGGCTGGGGGGAAGCCTCAGGCCGCCTGATGGTATGGAGTAGCCGGCCATAAAACACGCAGCCTTGTAATGCCGAGAAGAAACCCACGCGGAGTCAGACCACACGATCACGTCAGATTCGCTGCTGCGAACAGACGTTCCAGAATTCGATAGAGATGGGACATCATCCAAGCTTCTGAAACGTCTTCAAGATTAGCCGGATTTGTTTCCTATGCGAACCTGGGGCCTTCCGCCCCGGCCAATGGTGCTGATAGTCCCCACTTCCCAGAGATCTGCACCAGATGAAGCAGTGCCCCCCTGACGCCATTCCAAATCTGTCCGTGACAGGTGGGGACTATTCTGTGCAAACGGCTAGGTTTCCTTGGGATAAGCTCCGGCGTGCGTTGCTTGTCGACCTCTCAAGTGTATACTCTGGCCGGACTTGAACTTTGATCTTCACACAACGTGGAGAACATACTCCTATCTGCCGCAGCACGTCCAGGGCTATTCCTCCAGGGTTACGTGAAACACACATTTCACAACGGCCCCCAATTGTCCACCCATTGTTCTAGAAGCCCGTGATGCATTGGCCGATCAGCTGATCGCCTGAGGCCTAGGTGCAAATCTCCCTTCTCTAATTTCGCAACGCCTGGGGTGCTTAGTGGGCAATCTTGCGTCGTCCCGATATACGGGGCTATGCCTATCACGGCTGCAACTAAACACAAACCCCGTCGTACTAGCTGGTGCGCCGGCCCATCGAAGCGCTGGTTAGTTGGGAAGATTTCACGATCCAGCAGGCTTGCCACATGGCAGATCTTGGCCTTCTGATTTCCATCGTTGATCGCCCGTCTCCTGGCGAACCCGCGGACCGAGAGGGCGAGAGAGACTGGCCCCCCCGGATTTGCAGCTAATGTAGCCTGTATTATAGTACGAGAGCAGAGGGAAGAAACCTGCCATCCCAAATGAGGCAATCGAGCTCTACGAAAGAATCTTTCATATCCCCGGAGCCGCCAGCCGAGGCCCCTATCCTTCAGGACTGTGATGCGTGAAGTGGGATGGCGGGCTCTTGCACTGCATTGTGTACGCATATCAAGGTTTTCCATGGGCCACGATCAACATCATTGTCATATTATTGAGCCACGTGGACAAATTTCTAAGTTACATTACAAATGCTAGGCCTGCTACGTTTCGGAAGATGATATACCTGAACAAAGTGCATTATGATCCTCGACACATCCCCAGGGTCTACGGCTGGACGGATCGGGCCAACTCCAGTGAGAGCCCATCAAGGCCGGATCGACCGCAAAGCGCGTGCTCTCCTATTCCCAAGGTATGCGCGGCGCCTTTCCGCTGGTCGAGTATAGTCCCTGGTACTAGGGACGACAGCTTTCGCCCCTCCCGGCGGAGGCTACCGGTCCTCGGCGGCCGAGATGCCGTACTTTTGAAACGCCGGATGCTCTTCTGACAACGAGTCAAGCACTTCTAGAAGCACGGGTAGGCTCTTCGGCTGGTGCCCACGACAAAGCCCGGAAGCGCCACCGGGGCGATGGCTTCTACCACAGTACAGTAGGGCTCGGGTATCATCTGCAGGTTGCCACCGCGTATGCAAGGCCAGGAGCACAGACAATGGCCCGGTGTCCGATGCTGCAAGAAGAGCCCTATCGCATCTCGGCAATGTGTGGGCGTTCCCCTATTGTACGTACCTACCATTCCAAGCCATGTCAAAATTATAGATGGCGACCCCCAGACTATAGTAAGAAACTGTCGACTTCCAATGCGTAGCCAGGGCAAGGAAGCATTTGGGAAACTGGCTTGATGAACCTCGTGCTTGTACGAAAGAGTCCGAATGCTTAGTGGGCTGAGTATAGAGTGATAGGATGCATCGTGGCAGATTTGTCCACTGTCGCCATGGTCAACAGTTCTCAAAGGGACTTTTCCCTATGGCATAGTTCTCATGACACAGAACGATATCACCCTTATAAGAGACACCTGCCGTCCGTGCAAGATCACGTTGAAAATCCTAAGATACTGTAGAATAGGAAAAAGCATTGCCTCCCCCAGCCGCTCGGTAGTGTCTCTCAGCCTATCGATCTAGCTCAGGGCTAGCGGCAGATCTGGCCAATCCCGAGTCACGGAGTCTTGGCAAAAAGCAAAATCACCTGCACTCCAGCCCAGGTGCGGACCGCCTCAGCGCCTCGCCCACTACTCGCAGCTGAAAGCCCCGGGGGCCGGGGAGGCCCAGACCGCCTGCAGGTCCCGAGGTTGTGTACCATAGTAGCTGTGGCTCGCAGGCTGGGGGAGGCCAACCACTGGGGCTCTGAATATGTAACTGGGACAGACGAGAGAGCTGCCCAGGCCATTGTTTTTTTTGCGACCCGTTCGTCCGCCGGCCACAGAAAGCCTTGCGACTCATTACATCAGTCCTACGCGCAACAGCAACCATGGCGTCCAAAGCCATTCCCATGACCCGTTTGGGCGGCAAAGGTCAGTTCGACGACGGCCGGGGGGAAGCCTCCCCTGAAGATCCGTTCTCCCCCACTATCCCCCCAAGGTGTGCCTGTGTGCTGCGTGCATGTGCATGTTGGTTATGATGCCAGTCCCCACATCACGACCGCACGTCACGTCACAGGATTCTGGAGTATAGCGGCCCTGCTATATACTGTCTCCCTCTCGCGCGCGGCAACCTCTTGTGCGCGCGCTGGCGATGTAGCACTCGCGATGAGCTCGGCTGACACCAATTGATGGACTGTAGCCTTCAACCACGGCGCCAGCCAGGATGCCGAGGCCGAATATGACCGCCTGCGCGACATGGCGCGGGAGGAAGCAAACAAGCGCAACGCCTGCTTCGACCGGGTACGTCCCCATTCCTAGCGCACGGGGTTTCTATCCATGGTCCGCGGTCACGCACCGAGACTCGGGCCTGACCGGGACGCGCACGAAGCTGGAGAGAGAGAGAGAGAGAGAGATCCCCCCCATGCTGACCACGAAACCCGCATCTGCAGGCGCACCAGGCGTACGAGCGCGGCGACGGGGCCGAGGCCAAGGAGCTGAGCAACGAGGGCAAGCGGCACGCGGCGCAGATGGACGAGTACAACCGGCAGGCGTCCGAGTTCATCTTCCGGGAGAACAACGCGGTGGACCGGGTGGCGGACGACACGATCGACCTGCACGGGCAGTTCGTCGAGGAGGCCGAGGACATGCTGGAGCGGCGCATCCGCGACGCCCAGGCCCGCGGCCAGACGCACCTGCACGTCATCGTCGGCAAGGGCAACCACAGCGCCGGCCACGTCCAGAAGATCAAGCCCCGCGTCGAGCAGGTCTGCCGCGAGCTCGGCCTCCAGTACTCGACCGAGGAGAACGCCGGCCGCATCTACGTCAACCTCCAGGGCGGCCACGCGCCCCCGCCCTCCCAGGCCCCCGGCGGCGGCTACCCGGGCCAGCAGCAACATCATGGTGGCCAGCAACAGCAGCACCATGGCGGTCAGCAACAGCACTATGGAGGACAGCAGCAGCAGCACCACGGTGGGCAACAGCAACAGCAGCAGCAGCCGGACGACATCACGGCGAAGATTGTCAACAGGCTTGTCAAGAAGCTGGGAGACTGTTGTGTGGTCATGTAGTGAGCTGTTGTTTTCCATGTATACTCCATCTTCCGGGAGCCATTCTGCATATAACAGAGGTGGCCATATTGGAAAGAGACGTCTTGTCATGGTAGACGGATATGGATACCTTTGGACACAATGGAGGATTTTGGAGGGTCTGATGACGCTATGAGGCAAGGCATAGGGAACGGATTATGGGAAATCAAGATAATCTTCCAGAGGGTGGCCGTAGTATTGAGGTAGAGGAGAGTTATATACCCAGCCTTGTCCGGCCGCAACTGTGCCCGGCGTTGTGTATGCGATTTAATTATGTCTTGGCAATAGAGGCTTTTGGTCACTGTCGCTTTAAGCAACATTGTACTCAAGAACTACACGTCTTCGCACCCAGTAGACTATAATCGAGGCACTCCAAGATTGAGAGCCCAACTTAGAGCCATCGGGTATCGACTCGACTTGGGTGATCTCATGGCTATAACTCTCTCAAAGGAGCTACAGTTCCTGCATTCAGAGCACACGTCGTGAGTACGTCCTGTCTATCCCTCGCGGCTGCTAGATGGTCCTAGCCCATAAGCCCTCGTTCTTCCTCACTTGTCGTCCTTCTCCCACTGCGCGAGGTGGTCGCGGTACTCGGTCATCTCCTTCCACTTCTGGGCAAACTCGCGCATGCCGCCCTGCCCGGCCATGCTCGCGTCGACGACGTCCTTGGGCAGCTTGTGGGCCGAGTAGGCCGGCGAGCTGAGGTTGTACGCGGCCGAGTTGTCCTTCTCGACGAGCCTGAGCTCGGGGACAATGTCATCCTCGTCGTCGTCATCTTCCTCGTCCTCGTCCTCGGTGGCCTCGGAGCCGGTCTGAAGGCCGCCCTCGTCGCCCTCGGCCCCTGCGACCCCGATGATCGGGCCGGGCACCGGCCAGTCGTTCAGCTCGTCCCAGCCGAACAGCAGGCTGTCGGTGTGCGGGGCCCAAGCGTTGATGTCGATGAGGCGCACGCGGCCCAGGGGCTCGTCCTCACCCTCGGGGATGTAGACGTCGAAGGCAAAGTTGCCGTCCGGGAACGTGTAGCGCAGGCGGTGGTTGAAGAACTGGGCGATCTTGGCCACGACGGCCGGGCGCAGGTCCAGCAGGAACTCGTAGAACTTGAGGTCGCGCTGGCAGATGCCGACCAGGTTGCGGTGCTTGACGAAGCACCGGAACTCGAGCGCCGTGTGCGGGTTGAAGAAGGACCGTAGCACCAGCACGGGCTTGAACGGGGCCGCGGCCGGCGCGGACGAGGCGGCAGTGCCGGCGCCCGGTATGGGCGTGCAGTCGTCAAAGGCGTGCTCCAGGTCGTAGGTGATGAAGTTGGAGCTCTTGAGCAGCAGGTAGACATCGTTGGCGGAGGTGCATTTCACCGTGTTCTGGTGCGGCGATATCCAGGCGGCGTCCTTGGGCGACGTCCAGTTGAGCTTGGGGGCCGCCTCGCCTCCCACCTCGGCGATCTTGTCCTGGATGAGCTGGTGCAGTTCGGGGAAGCGCTTGTTGGGAGGCAGCGCCGCGGGCGCCTCGTCGTCGCTCTCCGAGTCCGAGTCGACCTCCTCCGGCTCTACCCTGGACACGGTGGTCGGGCCTTCCCATTCAACATCGTCATCATCATCTCCTTCGCCGTCGCCGTCCTCATCTGCGAGGGTGATCCCATCCTCCCGGATATACTCCACGAACTCGGGTGTAAGTGGAATTATCCTCGACTTGATGCATGATGTTCTGTATCTGCGCGGATGCGTTAGCTTTAGGCAGTGTAGCTACAGGATCAGATACATACTTGGGAAACCAGTAGTCGTATGCACAGTGTAGAATGTGATCCCGGGTGATGGGAGGGAAATGAAGCTCTGGTGTAGGTCCTGAGGCTGAGCTTGAGCCCGACTGTGGTGCACCAGCTGCAGACGGGGTGTTAGTCACGATGGGCATTGTCAAAAGTGCCCAGATTAAAAAAAAAAACCGTCGAACAAGAGTCTGCAACCAAGAAACACGAAGCTCAACACCGGCGAGACCAGTCTTTCCACAGAGATAAAATCTATGTAGCTGCTCTGGTTATCGAAAAAATGCGATCTCGTGGTCTATGGAGTAACAGGAGACATGGAAATAGCCAGGTCATCCAGAGAATTATCAGAGATGCGAGTCATCGCGGGGCAAATTCCCAGATGCACAAAGCTCTGACTCAACCCCCTGCAGGGTCCTCGTCGACTTATGTAACCCGAGCACCAGGACTGGACTCCATCCATCCATCCATCCATACAACCACCTAGGTACCCTTAACTCTGCCTTATTAGTCACCTTGCCATCTTCATAACTGTACATGTACGTGTGTAGTGTGTATTGTCGTGCTATACTGCCGCCTCAGACCGCTACCCATCAGCGTCGCTTAAGCACATCCCTATCCTTGCTCCTCGACTGACGTCGTCGTCGTCTCACTATCGATAGATAGTAAAGAAACGCCTACACCTTCATATCCACGGTGCATACATCCCCCATACCCACCGCAGCATAACGATCAAGGAGTTTTACCCACGTCCCGCAAACCAGACAAGAACATGTCCGACAACGTGGGCCTCTCGACGCCGCGCGGCTCCGGCACCTCGGGCTACGTGCAGCGCAACCTGGCGCACATGCGGCCGCGCGACCGCGACCACCGCGCGGCGCCGTACCCCAAGGACCTGGACTCGCTGCGCCACCGCCAGCGGCAGCCGGACCGCGGCATCCTGGAGCACGAGCGCAAGCGCGAGGTCGAGGTCAAGGTGTTTGAGCTGCGCGACCGGCTGGAGGACGAGGGCGCGCTGGACGAGGACGAGATCGACGCCCGCTGCGACGCCCTGCGCAAGGAGCTGCTCGACAAGATGAACAAGGGCGGCAGCGTCGGCGGCCCCGGCGCCGACGCCAAGAAGGGCCTCAAGATGCACCAGGTCCACGAGCTCGCCGACGCCAAGATCCGCGAGAGCGAGCGCCTGCGCAAGGCCCTCAAGATCAACAAGGACTACGAGGAGGGCAGCCACTGGCGCCGCCAGGAGGAGCGGCTGAAGAAGGCGCTCGAGAGGGATGCCGCCGCCGCCAAGGACGAGGACGAGCGGGACTAGATGATTAGCCATGGACAAGGCATTACTCTTTTGGCTCTCAAGGACCTCGACCTCGGTTGGAGCGGGCCCGAGAAGGACAGGCGGCGAAGTTCGGCCCTCACTTCACCATGGTCTCGCCAGGGTTGGCTCGGCTGGACATGTGGCCCCAAGAAAATGAGTTTACAGCTACAGACGATGGCTACGCTTGAATCTTCCTTGCCGCCCGAGGAGGGTCAAGAGGACGACTATACCGGGCATGTGCCTGCCACCGACGGACCAAGCCGCAACATCTTTAGGGGCGAACCTGGTGCTCGAGCACAGAGATCGGTGTGCACAAATAACGACGAGAAAGAGAGTTTGCACGGCTCTGCATGGTTTACGTGCATAGGGTCAGAAATCATTCGGATGGGCGCTGGAGTTAAGGAGTTCAAGGGCAGTCCGGGTCTGGGTACATGGGCTGACATCGTATGATTAAAACGGACCATCAGCATTATCATCTCTTGAAATTGAACAAAATAAAGTGTATTTCTGACGTTGTGTCGACCTTCTTGTGAACACCCGATTCCCGCCTCCGCCCATGTCTATTAGGGTATCATTGTACATATATATCCTATCCTGAGTATAAGGTGGCTCAGTTGGCAGCCAAGATGGCGGCCGCCTCGTGCGCCGGAGCCTTGTCCTCGCGGCCTCCGTTTCTCTTCAGGTTCTCGGCCTCCCGGGCCTTCTCGTCGGCGGCCTTCTTGTTCTCGTGGTTGACGTAGGTCGCGTACCGCAGCGTGCCCAGGGTCAGCACGGCCATGAATATGATGCCCAGCACGGACCGGCGGATCAGGATCCACCGCAGCCCTTCGATCTCGGACTTGGCGTCGCTGGTCAGGGTGACGCTGATGTCGAGGTTGACCTGTTGGATCTGTGGCACAAGTCAGCAACGGCGGAAAGGGCCAGAGCACTTCAGGTGGGCGGGGAGGAACGACGTACAGCCCCCTCCTGGCGCCTCTCCTCCTCGCGGACGGCCATCTTGCGGTCGTTGAACATGCCCTTGACGTCGTCCCGCAGGGTCATGAGGTCCTGGCTCAGCTTCTGGTTCAGGATGTCGACCTCGTGGTGCAGCAGGGTGCGCTGCTGGCGGCTGACCTCGTCGGCGCTCTTGCGGTTGTTGGTGACCTCGGAGCTCAGCTCGGAGCAGGCGGCGCGGAAGAGGTACGTCTCGTTGTCGACGTCGCTCTTGCTGACGAGGCCCTCCTGCGCCACGTCGAGGTTCTGGGCCAGCAGCGCGCGCACGGCCTTCATGACGGTGATGGCCTGGTCCTTGCTGTACCCGCCGGCCTCGAGCTGCTTCACCAGCGTGTACGTGTCGAAATGGTGGACGTAGGGCGGCTTCGCGATGTGCGGGTGCGCGACGGCGCCCGGGGGCGGCATGTGCAGGACGGCGTCCATGGGCCCGCTGGACTGCATCTTCTCCTCGGCGGCCTTCTGCTGGGGGGTGGGCTCGGCCTCCCGGGTGGCCCCGGTGCCGCCCTTGGGGGCCGTGTCGGCCCTGCGCGCGGCCTCCTCCTTGGCCTCGTCGGACAGCATCTCGGCACCGAGCTGCTCGCCGGCGGCGGCATCCTTCCGGGACGAGGCCTCGGAGCTCGCGGCGGCGGGGCTCTGGGGTTGCGGCAGCTGCACGACATCAGGAAGCTGGGGGTTGACAGCCTTGCCGTGCCTCTCGAAGACGGCCTCGTTGGCCCGCGTGGTCGTCGACAGGGCGGCGGCGGCGGCGGCGCGCGGGGCAGCGTTGGCGGCGGGCTTGCGACATCGGGACCTGACTGTCCGCGCGGCGGCAGACTCGCCGAGGCGAGCAGACCTGAAGAGGTGGGGGTATAGGAAGGTCAAGCGGGCGGTCGACATGGTGGGCGGGTCAGGGGGTAGCTATGCGGATTTCTCGAGGAGGGCTCTGTACAGCTCGAACATGGCTGGTGAACTTGGCTGTGCAGGTTTATATGCGGAACATGGTGGTGGTTTTACGTTTGGCGGCGGTTGACTCTGAAAGCCGGCATCTAGAATGTGACAGGGGCCCGGAGTCCAGTCCAGCGTCGGGACGCACGTGGCCCGGTACCTAACCTACACAGTCGAGACATCCAATGAACCAGCAGCAGACTCCCGCAGCTGTCAAGCAGTGACGGCGGACAGCAGTGACCTCATTTGCCGATTCTGCAAGTGGCCCTGCAGATGCTGGGGCATGTCTCGCCCGTAACGCTAACCCGTGTCTCGTTTTTGGGCCTGACTGTGACTGTGACTGTGACTGTGACCGCCGGCCGTGACCGTGTGACCGCGGGCACTTGGTCACAATTATCAAGCAGCCAGGTTGCCCATCCGCTGTACCATACTGTAACACTGTGACTGGCCCGCCTAAAGCCTGGAAGGTAGGGCAAGGGGGCCAAGTTTGGTTGGTTGAGCGTCGGGCGGGTCCCTTGGGCGCCCTCCAAACCCTCGCCCCGACCCAAGCCAAGCCCAAAGACCCCGTTCCCGCCGTCACCCAGCGCAACGGCGCCTTCGCTGGCGGTCAACAATGAGCTCAGGGCGCTGCATCCCGGCCATGCGCTGAACTAGGTAACCCCCAGCTCCACCACTACTACTACCACCACCACCACCACCACCACATACTCCCGTCTCAGTGCGCCTGCATGTCTTTTGTCTTGGGTGCATGCATCTTCCTCAACTCCCAAGAATTTGGATGGCATAGACGTCGAGTGTCGTTGTCGTTGTCGCAATTGCTGTTGCTGTTGTTGTTCAGTCTTCCGCCCCTTCGGGCCTCACCGCATCCCCGAGTATTGGTTTGCTGTATGCCGGAGCTGTCACCTACCCCACCGGAGCAACGTCGATACTACATACCTCGATACTCGACCACCCATTAGCCTAGACTTTTGCGACAATTCACCCTCGCCCAGAAGCACTTTCTTTCGACATCTACATTCCGGCGGTCGAGAGCCCAACGTCGTCCCGCATTCCTTACACCGCGCCGTCTCTCGCCAAACGAGCCCGCCGAGCTGTCGCTGATACGGTCTCGCCGCCGTCATGGCGCCGACCGATGCGCTGTCGGCGCCCGGTGTGGTCTCGTACTCGTCGGACAACCTGGTCGTCGGCGATGGCACATGGGACTTCACCAAGAACACTTTTCTGTTGCCGAACCTCATGGGCCTGCCCTTTGAGACCATGCAGTACAATGGTAAGCATCTCCGCCACGTCTTATACCACGTCCATGTACCAAAGCGACTGACACCTGACCAGGCATGGGCAACCGGTTCGCCACGTTGACGCAGTACCATAGCCTCATCGTCGCCCATGGGGTCCTCGCGGCCATGGTTTTCCTTTTCATCGTCCCTTTTGCCGTCATGACCGCCAGATTTTACCGCGGACCGCCGGGCTGGTCCATCAGATATCACGCTTACCTACAAATCCTCGCTGTCGGCCTTACGACTGTCGTTTTCATACTCGGTTTCTTCGCTGTTGGCCCCAGCCGGAGCTTGACAAACCCGCACCACGGCATTGGAGTCGCCATCTATACCTTGATCCTGCTCCAGGCAGTTGGGGGTCGGCTCGTCCGACACATCACCAAACGATCCCTCCGGGTCATGATCCACCAGTGGAGTGGCAGAGCCATTGCCATCCTCGGCATTGTTCAGATTCCGCTGGGTTTGACGCTATACGGCTCTCCCAAGTTCACTTTCATCCTGTATGCAGTCTGGATGGGCTTTCTGCTGTTACTGTACTTTATCCTCAGCTGGCGCCGCGAGGGTTTCAGAGAGGAGTTGCTGATTCACGGTGGGAGGTCTGAAGTAACACGGAGTGGGTACATGGTATCCGAGCGCAGAGATGAGCATCATGGTCATGGCTGGCTCGGCCCCCTAGCTGCCGGTGCTGGCCTGGCTGCTCTCTTCAGAGGGCGGAAGAACCGAAAGGACGGCGAGCGAAGCCGTAGCAAATCTCGTTCGCGAAGTCGCAGCAGGCACCCCGAGGTTATACCATCCAGGCGCGGGTCGCATAGCTACCTGGATGAGAAGTACTCTGACCGGACTGAGCACCAGGGAGGTGGTTTCATGAACAAGGTTCTAGGGCTCGCAGGTGTCGTTGGAGCCGGCGCCCTAGCCAAGAAGTATATGGATCGCAGAGAGACTCGGAAATACCACGACGAGGAATACTCTGCCGTTGCTACCGAGACGCCGAGCAAGTCCGACAGGAGAAATAGGCTCAAGCGACCGGCTCAGTCAGAGTTCACCGAGAGCTCATTCACCGACTCCATGACGGACGTTCACCAACACCACAGGCACGGAAGCAGACACGGCCCCTTGCTACCTGGACCTGGGGATCCCGTGGCGGCGGCTGCTGCGATAAGTGCAGCCGAGCCGCGCCCACAGAGACCAGTCACACCCCGACAGTCGCATGGACGCAGGCCTATGGATTCTAGATTGACAAGCGAACTCAGCGTCTCTGACTACACAGACTACGTGAGCCCGTCTAGGAGAGCCAAGGAAGAACGAGAGCGAGGCGGTGCTGGAAAGGGTCTCATGGCGGGCTTGGGCCTGGGCTGGCTGGCAGGTAAACTGAAGGGCCGAAAGGACAGGAGGGAAGACGTACGGTACGAAGAGGAGAGTCGTGGAGGTCATCATGGTTCGAGATATACTGGCGACGGATACGGATCACCAAGACGGCCCTCGCACCGCCGGCCACCTCGGCCTGCAGGCACAATAACCACCATGACTGGCGATTCGGAGTTCTCCTCCGTCGAGCCACGACCGGTAGGAGCTAGCTCTGCAGGCCCGCCAATGCCACCCCTAGGTCATGCAGGCCATGGTCCTCCCTCCGTCAGACCAGGCGTGGCGGAAACCTCGAGGAGGGAAGACGTCCTGACCCCGGTCGACATGCCGCCCATACCTTCGGACCCTCATGGCATTCTCCACCACGAGTCAGGCAGCGAAAGTTACATGTCTGCCGGAGGACAACCTCACAGGCGTCACTCGTCCCGTCGGCGCCGACATGGTGAATCTGCTGCGGCGGCCGCTGCTACATCGGCGAGCATCTTGGCAGCCGAACAAGAAGTAGAACGCCGTCGTTCCCAGAGTCGAACACGCGGCTCAAGCCAGCCTGTGAGCGTCAAGGTCAAATACCATGATGACCGTGACCGCAACATCACTTTACGCCGCCTTACTGAAGAGGAGGCAGCTCGCGAACAACGAAGGAGACGCCGGTCGAACTCCGCGAGCAGTCTCTCAGGGTCGGACGTTGGCGGTGGACGCAGGCGACGATACCGCCGGGACTCGAGCGCACGTCGCACCGCGGACGAACGGGAAACTGAGCACCTGACTCCGGCGCCCCTTTCCCCGCCAGCACCGGCATTTGCGGGCGGGCGGAAGCCGGCCAAGGATTCGGCATATTACTCCGGCGTCCCTGGACCGTCGAACCCGCCCATGACCCCTATGCACGGCAACCAGACTGTCTCTAGCATCGGCAGCCCAGGCAGCCACGGTACGTGGAGCGGCATGAGCCCCTCGCCTAGCGGGCCAGGAGGTACGGACGCGGGTAACATATCGGCGGCGGAGCGAAGGAGGAGGCGGAGGCTGGAGAGACGGGATCAGAGACCGCCCGCGAGTTCGGTCGACTACAACTGATAAAGCGGAGACGAAGCCATATGACGACAGAACACTCATAAACCGGCGTTGGTGGCGTTCTTTGAAAACGAGAGATTCAACCTTCTTCAGGAGGGATGTAATGACTGATGTGATGGATCAAGAGGTGGATGACAGAAACTGGCCCTACTAGGCCTGTGTTTGGTTGCATATTGGGTTGCATGTTTCCAAGGCATGATCACTGGGTATGAGCTGGGATCTCCTGAAAGAGGGCCCATTTTCGTTATGCGGCATGTCATGGGATGGAGGCTTTGGGTTGTATTTTAGGAAACACATTATGAAATTGAGAAAGTAAATATGGGATGAGATTCAAGACTTGATTGTCCGTTTGCAAGTATTGTGTAATGTGTATTGAAAGTGACATGGTTTCGTGGTTGCCAGCTCACTTGGATGGGTGCGCCTTCACGTCTTGGTGGTTTGACATCTCTGGGGGGACAGAATCGCTTCAATTTCAAACACTTACCACTTCGTAGCAATCCGTTCAACACGTCATCTGGTCTCCTTTTCTCTCACCGTGGGACTGGGCAACGCAACGAGTCCTGCCTCAACCGCAGCGGTGAACCAGTGCCTCAAGCAACCAAGACAGGTATCCCGTTGATCCGCCGCAACGACGCTTTCAGTACCTGCCTGCTGTGCGCCAGGGGCGTATCTCTACTCGGTTGAATCGTCAACGTTGCAAACAGCATCAGTGAGCCCTTCAAAACAATCCTTTCAATCAGATGGACCTCACTGATATTCCTCATCTCCGCAGGCACTCACTTCTTCACTCACGATTGATTGATCTTCAAAGCAACCACCTTCATCAGCGAATCTAAATTCCTTCCCTTTTCACCAACCCCCATCAAACTTCACCTGGGACTCGGGAGACTTCTATACCTCCTCTTCATCCACCTCACCTTAGTCAATCTCATATTGATCATTCTCATCATTATTCTCACTGTCATCAACTTCATCCTGCTCATCACACACCATGGCAGAAAATCAGGCAAATCAGTCTGGCTCTGAGCCTGAGGCACCCAATGAACTAGCAGTTAAGTCTCAGCTCACTCCCATCGAGCGCTTGCCTCTCGAGATACGACGAGAGATTATTATGAACATCCCCGACCTTGTCACTTTGAGAGGCGCGATCAAGTCTTGCCGCGCTCTTCGAGATGCCTGCAACCTGGATCGGGATCTCGCAGTAGGTGCGGTCTTGTGGCGTCACTCCGATGAAAACGTCAAACGGCACGCGCTGCTGGCGATTAGGAGTAGGGAAGTCAAGCTTAGGAATGTCAAGGGTCAGAAACTCAATAAACACAAGCGCGACCTTCAAATATTCCTGGATGAGTACATTTCGGGCGTCAACGACACAACGAAATATGAACCCCTCACTCTTTCGGCGACTCCCAATTTCTTGAGAGCTTTCGGTAGTCTGCAACTGGCCGTGGAGAAGTCGTCAATCATCTACGGGTACTGGCTACTCTCCAGATGCCCCCGATATCCCCATAGCATGCAACAGCCGTTAACTCGGACTGAAATCAACCGTAGCCAACGGGTGATTTATCTGTTTGAAACTATCAACAACCTCTTCCCCATTATTAACAATTCTTTCTCGGAGGATCTGTGGAACGCATTCAAAAAAGGGCTTGGAGTATTTGAAGTGGAGAACGCTGATAATCTGGTCCAGCTGTTTTTCTCTGAGAAAGTCGAACATGGTAAGTTAACTCAGCCAGCTCTTTGTGTTTCCCACTCCCCTAAGCATATCCACAGCGATTCGATTGGCTGCTGCGGCTTACAGCAGAGATGTAAGCCGCAGAGACGATAGCTCGCCTCGGTGCTCAAGATGCGGAAATGACTGTCAGCTTCCGTCGCTTGCTGCGCGCGGCCTTGGAGTCGAACTTCTAGTGGGCTCATTAGATCAAGGACTTTATGCCCGTGGCGAATGGCATATAACGCATACGGAGGCAATCGAAAAACTTGCGGCAGCAGCAGACAAGAATAAGTGTTACGCTGAGGAGGATATGAATGACGGGGACATGTTCGGCAGTCCCAGTAATTTGTCGATCATGGTCGTGGACGACGGAGAACTTATTACTTATGATGTTGAATCATGTCTCTGGGGCATAGAACGCGTCAAATGGATGCAAGAGGGTCTGTGATCGATTAGTCCAGGGGAAGTGGCGGTTTGTATTAGCAGGCGGTCACTGATATGGCACCGACGGACATGGCTACTGCAGATGCATTCAGCGTACTGAACGCACCAGCCGCTTTTACTCTTGTTACTCTTGCGAAACCTCTATGTTCTTCCCGATACAGAGAGGAGAAAGACAGAAATCACACGGTCAAAGGTTTCGAGTTTCCCATCAACTTTCGAACTTCCTCATGACATGATTTGTGACGCTACTTGCAGGTTGATTGGGGGGCAACAAATATGTCTATGGTCTAGAATGGAGGCGCTGTGTCAGTATTGTCATAGGAATAGTATACTCGTGCTTATGAGAAGTCAGAGGAAAGTCCGCCATGAATGAAGCTAGTGGATCGAGAAGGTTGTGATGCCCAGTAAGCATACATATCAAGGCCACATAAACTCGTATTAGGCGACGATTCACTGATGAAGTTGGCCCGCTTGAACCAGAGGAATGAGGTATCCAGCGAGACCCACTGACCACGATGGCATCAGCGCGAAGTGCGCCTTTGTCTGTTTAATTAGTCGATGTGCTGTACGAATCCCATATGATTTGATACAGATTGGTCGCTTGCTTATGTACCAGGTTGAGCGTAAATCAGTCTCGGCTGGCGTAACACTGGCTAAAATGTAGTTCTACAGGATGCCTTGAGGTGAAGCCACTGCGGGGCGAGATACGGCTGACTATCCACTCAGCCGCATTTAAGAGTGCCATCGATGGCCAGCTGACTCCTGCCAAACCGGCCATAAAAGCAACAACATGTCAGAATCTTACGTCTATAGTCCTCTGGAAGAAGGGCAGATCAGGTTGCTGCATCTCAAAGTTGATGAAAGCGCACCTCATGGACTGGTCCTTGGTCTTGACCATGCCGCACTGGGTGAGAGCCATTATACAGCCTTGTCATACACATGGGGGCCCCCAGAACCTCCCGACCTCGATCCGTCCTTCGAGGACAAAACACACGAGCTGAAGTGCGGCGATGGAATTATACCTGTCCGTCAGAACCTGTATGATTTTCTACAACGGCTTAGGATCTCGGGTCTCGCGATACCGCCCCTGTGGATCGACGCAGTCTGCATCAACCAGGCGAACCTGGAGGAGAAATCCGAGCAGGTCTTGCGAATGGGACAGATATACGCGGCTGCAGACAAGGTCTGGATCTGGCTGGGCGCTCGAGAGGTCTCTGCAAATGTGCAACAAATCATCGACGAGTTCATCCCGGCGATGCTCCAAGACTTCAAGGATCGAGACAACCAGTATTCGTTCTATCGGAGGCGAGACATCCTCGATGAGCATTCCAGCGCCGAAATAATCCAAGCGATTGGTTTTGGGAAGTGGAGGGTTTGGAGGGTCTACTGGCCTCAATACGCGGACTTTCTTCGTCGTAGCTGGTTTTCTCGGGGATGGACGGTGCAAGAGGCAGCTGTGAAAGCCCCCGAGCAGAGCACAGTCTTCGCAGGATCCCGAACCCTGTCTTGGGTGCACCTCATCGAGTTCGGGAAACTCATGGGCCAGAGCCGCTGGGTGTACATGCTCGCGTCCCGGCGAAGGAGCTATGGGCTACAGAATGGCCTCTACAACATGGATCGTCGCGCATTCATCGAGCACGCAATCCGCCATGGCGAGACGAGAAAGGCGCTGCTGCAAACGTATGGGCCGAAAACACCGGAGCAGTTATGGTACGCCAGGTTCTTCGAGATGGTGAGCCACATGCGCCAGCTGGTCGTGGACAACCCCCGAGACCATGTCTACGCCTACCTCGGGTTGATGCTTCAGATCGCACCGCCGGGCATCAGTCACGGCATAGTGCCCGACTACAGGCGAGACGTCGAATATACCTACAAGAACTTCACAAAGGCGATAATTCGAAATATTCCATACCTGGTGGTTTTAAGTCTAGTTGAGGACTCTCGGTATCGGCGCCACATCCATTTACCATCATGGGTGCCCGACTTTTCCGTGTCCCGAGGGTGCAATTACCTGGACAACTTTGACGCAGCCAAAACTGCTGGAAATAGCATGAGCGTGCCCGAGATAATCGAGGACCGTCTCTTGCTTCGCGGCGCTCGTCTCACCTACGTGTCCCGGCCTGGCCCTTCGATGGAGTCCGACAAACTTCCGGTATATGTCGTCGATACGTGTCTCCAGTCCCGTCAACATCCATATACATCGCAATCTATGCGAGAGGCAGTTGGTAGAACGCTCTTGGCAGATTCCTTCAGGAGGAGCGAACGAAGACAACAGTCTGAGAGACTTCGACAGTGGATCCACCGTGGTCTTTCCGATCTGTGGCACCGTCAAGGCGAAGCGCAAAGCGAGCTGAGAGCAGAGGTCTCGAGATGTCTCGCACCGGTCGCAGACAGTCGTGACCTTTGGAAAAAATGGCTACCCACCCTTGACGAAGTCCAGCACTCCAACAGACCAATAGTACACAGCGACTTCCAGGTGAGACTGGAAACCGCCACGCTAGGACGACGCTTGTATACTACAACGGACGGGCAGATTGGTTTGGGTCCCCCGTCGCTCAATACTGGCGATGAAGTATGGATTTTTGACGCAGGTAAAGTCCCATTTGTTCTGCGCAAGAACGGAAACGACGGGACATATAAGTTGATCGGGGAAACCTACGTCCACGGTATCATGCACGGACAAGCCATGACCGATACGTTTCGATCTAGATTCGGACAGGTAACCCTGGTCTGACTTGGAGTAACGAGCGCTGGTTTGCCTCTACTCCGATGTGGCAGATATTCCAGGTGTATCCTTGTTGCCTCATTTGTATCTCTTTTCTGCTGCTTATCTGCCTAAAGTCGAAAGACGGGGTCTACTCTTTCCTGACAAGGCTGTCGTCCACATTACTCCTGTACGCCTTCGTGGGCGGCTCCTTGGCCCATGTCTCTGCGAGTCCCAATTTGGGATCATCCTCGGGGTATCCCAGGCTTATCCTCAACTTCTCGATCTCGTCCCGGACGCGCTTCGCGACCTCGATCCTGAGCTCCACGGCCTCACGCCCGTACTTCAGCTCATCCGTCAGCTCGCCCATCGCGAGAACCACCTGCTTCTCCTCTCCGGCGACCTTCTTCCTCGAGGTCTCCTTGCGGACCAGCTCCTGCCACCGCGCTCTCAGGTCGCCAAATGCCTTTTCGGTGTCTAGGAGCTCACCGAAGGCAACGCGGAGGGTCTTGCCCCCTCGCGGCAGAAAGCGTGGGAACGTTCTTTCCTCGCTCATCATATGCTGCGTCCCGTCGATGAACATGGGCATCACGTCCGGCATGGGCTCAGACTCGAGAATCAGCCGCGACATGCCCCATTTGAAGTAGCGCATCGAGAGAGAAGGATGCTGGTGGATACAACCCTCTGGGAACACGTGAACCCAGGCGAAGCGGTTCTGGGCGTAGACGCTCGGCGATGGAATTGAATCTGTGCCAGTAGTGGTGTAAGTGAGATCACCCGTGGTGAAGGGGTCTGCGACATCTGAGGTTTCCGAAGCGAGAGAGAGAGTACCGGGCTGCAGGGCGGTAAAAGGCTGGGATGAGAGGAGCCGTATCGCTTGGGGAATTGTGGACTGAAAAGGGCCTCCGTGTTGAGAATACAGCTGCCGGTGCGTAGGAAGGACCTGGCCGAGACTGAAGAAAGTCGAAAGTGCTCTGAGAATTTGCATAAGTATGATGTACATGGTTCATGAAGTGGCAGAGACTTACTTGTTCTTGAAACATATATCATGAGCGCCCAGTCCCCATCTCAGGTTGGATGGGTTGAAGGAGTAACGAGCGGGTAAGATCCCCCACATCACAGGATCATCTATTCTGTTGTGTACCATGAGATATTGAAACATCAAGACTCAAAGCCAACCACGACTTACACGCTGACGTGGTTGCATACTAAATTTCCATTCAGCATATTGCATTTTACGCGAAGTTGTGAAAAAGAGACTTACCTGTCATGAGACCTCGCTTCCTCTGATCTACATCTTGTCTCTCGTCTAATATCTTGAGGAACCTCTGCAGACCAGTAACTTCGACATTGTTCAGGCCGTAAAGAAAGCCCCTCGACAGCATGCTCGTGAGGCCCATGATCATGGACGAAGAGACGCGCCATGGCAGGCTGGCGCGCTGAAGCGGCGTCTTCGCAGGCGCCTCGACAAGATCGTTGGCCATGGTGCTGGAAGCCAAGAGCCAGGCCGTGCAATGGAAAAGAAGAAAATGGGACAGAATACACGCGTACAGGGATATTACATTCTAGGTGAAATGAATGGAAGTCACAGCATGATGAGGCTCATGACATGCTTGATCAATGAACAAGGCTGAAAAAGATGGGAGCAAAGATTCCGCCTCTCAATGTTTTTTCAGTGGAGCCAGTTCAGCCCATCACACCCCGTCGCTGGCTGCAGGAACGGCTCCAACTTCCAAGAAGCCCCCCCCAAGCCCCCAAGCCCCCAAGCCGTCCCCAGAACGGCACCAGCTTCCGGCGCCGTCGATGTCGACGTCAGGCGCTAGGGTCCCCCAAAACCACCCAACCACAGCGCCGCAATTCAGCACGACCTCGCTTCCACTTTCGCAAGGCTGGCCAGGCTGAGTGATCTCCAACCGATCATTATACAACGAATACACGACCAATACCCCGGGGGCCAATTCATACGGACAGACGAGACAGAGCAGGCGTATTTTCTCAGTCTCAGCCAGCCTTAGTCTTGTTCGCCTCCATCTCCCCGCTCTCACTCCTCCACCCGCCCGGCATCCGCCCTCGCGGCGACCCTCCCCCATCCATCCACCGCCGGCCCCAAAGATGTCCCACAGCAAGCGCAACACGTCGCGGGCCGTCTTCACGTCGCACGAGCGGGCGCAGGCCAAGGCGGCGTGGGGCCAGACGTCGGCGCGGCTGACGCGCGAGTCGATGCTGGCCTTCGCCGCGTGCCGGCTGTGCCTGGAGCCCGCCGAGGACCCCGTGGCCTGCGCCTCGCACGGCGACGTCTTCTGCCGCGAGTGCGCCCTCAGCAACATCCTGGCCCAGAAGAAGGAGATCAAGCGCCTGGCCCGCGCCGCCGAGCTCGAGGCCCGCGCCCGCGACGAGGACGAGGGCCGCCGCGACGCCGAAGCCCGCGACCGCGAGGTCCGCGAGTTCGAGCGCACTCTGAGCGGCGTCGGGGACGGCGAGGACCGGAAGCGGAGCCTGCTACAGCAGCAGCAGCAGCAGCAACAACGGGACGAGGCCGAACGGAGCAGTAGTAACAGTGCGCGCCCCGCCAAGCGGAAGTTCGAGATGGACGAGGAGGAGCTGCAGCGGATCGCGGCCGAAGACCGGGCCAAGGCGCGGAAGGCGCTCGACGACGAGAGGGCCGCCAAGCCCAAGCTGCCGTCGTTCTGGACGCCGTCGATCACGCCGTCGTCGAACACCAACGACGTGCTGCACGAGGTGGCCAAGAAGGCCAAGACGGCGCCCGTGTGCCCGGCGTCCCTGGAGAACAGCCCGCACCCGTACTCGCTGGCGGCGCTGGTGACGGTGCAGTTCACCGAGGAGGACGACGAGAAGACGCGGCGCAAGCAGCGCGTCTGCCCGTCGTGCAAAAAGGTGCTGAGCAATGCCTCCAAGGCCATGCTCGCCAAGCCCTGCGGGCACGTCGTGTGCCGGAGCTGCGTCGACCGCTTCATGCGGCCCGCGGGCCACCACGACCCGCACGCCGAGGACGAGGCCGACCCCGAGGCCCTGCGGTGCTACGTCTGCGACGCGGACCTGGCGGACAAGCCGCCGGCCGGGGGCAAGGGGGAGAAGGCCAAGAAGAAGGACAAGGAGAAGGACAAGATCCGGCCCGGGCTCGTCGAGATCAGCAGCGAGGGCACGGGCTTCTCGGCCGGCGGCGCCAGCCAGGTCAAGAAGGTCGGCGTGGCGTTCCAGTGCTGATATGGGTCAAATGATACCAAGCGCTTGCACCTTGGGCCCAGGCAGTATTGAGAGGGTCACTCATCTCATCATGACACTTAGCACTCGAAACATGCGGTGTCTAATGCGGTAAATTGCTCGCCGCCAATGAAAATCTGTATGATATGACCCAATTATCCCATGAAAGAGAACTCCAGCTGATGCGTGTGTATATACAAAGTGACAAGTACAAGTGACATATGAAATCGCCCCCCTTAGAGCCCCAAGCCAAATCTCTTCCTCTATCACACTCCTGGCCACTTCCAGTGAAGACGCTACCAATCCTCATATCTCAGTCCTTGCCAAGGTCTCTCTGCGATCTATCCTGAAAGTTCAGTATGATGCCGGGACTGGACTGGTTTCCACGGTTACGATTGTCATCTCTCTTGCCAAATGACAACAGACGTGCCAGAAGACCGGCTACCTTGGTCCTCGAATCGTGGACCGCAGCCTTGCCATGAGCCTCGAGGTTGGTGAAGCTCAATGCCCGCGGAACGTCTTCGCCGCGCCGGCGGGCCTGGGCGACTCGCTGCTGCCTGCGAAGCCGCAGCTCCCGCAGCAGTCCCGCGATGATGAGGTACAGCTTGAACAGCAGCTTGTGCATCATGTCCTTGGCGAGCATGGTCGTGCCGTGGTTGCAGAAGCCCTTGAGCACCTCGCCGTGGACGCCGTCGTACAGCGACCCGAGCCCCTCGGTGCGGACGATCTGGGCGATGGTGCCGAAGATGCTCTGCTGTGCGAACTTCTGCACGGCCCGCGCGGCCCGGAGCTTCGTGTCGACCTCCCTGTCGATCGCCCGTTCTGTGGCCACCGACTCGTTGTCGTCGCTGTCCAACTCGGCTGGCTCTACATTGGGATCCTTTTCCTTTTCAGTCTCGTCCCGCGATGCCGGCTCCGACTCGACCGGCACGCCAGCTTGTAGCCTGGATTTGGCTATCTGGAAGGGATACGTGATGGTGCTGGCGATGGCCTTGCTGGTCGCAGCCAGCAGGAACGTCGGTGCCGGACCCGGCTCGTCCGTGTCTAACAGGCTTCTCTTCAGGAACTCTTGCAGGAAGAAAGTGATGCTGGGGTTCAGCGTCAACACCAGCGTGGCCGAGTAGCCGGACCACAGGCCCTTGATGCCCTTCTCCTCCATGATGTTGTTTACAATCTCTCGTACACTCAGCTGCTCGGCGCCGGCGTCGCCCTCCACCATGGCCCCGGTCTGCTTGCGCGTGACGACGTTGGCGATCGGGGTCGTCAGGGCCCTCGAACAGGCGCCGGCCGCGACGCCGATGGCGAGCTCCTCCAGAACCCTCAGCGCGGCGCCTCCCCTGCGGGCGGTGCCGGCGCCGGCGCCGCGGCCCGAGTGGAAGCGGGACCGGGACCGGAAGAACTCATAGAACAAAAAGAATAGAAAAGAGTCCAAGACAGATTTGGCTGACTCCGTCGTCAGGCCAGTATAGAGTGCTGCGATGCTCCGGCGCGTGATGGCACCGCCGGCATTCGGATCGCCATCCCGCGAGATCCGCGAAAAGGCGTCGGCGATGCCGCCGTACTCGTCGGCTGCGGCGAGACGACCGGTACGAGCTAGTTGTCGCTGTTGTCGTGAGACAGATCGTGTTAGTGACATGTGCTACCTTCCAGCTTGGAACTATAGGACGAGGCACGGGTGGGAAATGAGTGGGACCCCCCCAGTATCCAAACGGGGCGACTAGAGGTAAGGGTATAGAGCACAGGGGGCACTTGATAGGCCGAGACGGGACTTCCTCACAACCCAAGACCCATCTTGAAAGATATATTGGGACTCACCTGTACTTGTAGGCGGGTAACTACTAGAGATAACGGATAGGTCGCGCATGTCGAGATGAGCGTGCCGGCCGAGCCTGAAAGAGCGTGGTGAAGGGCGGGTAGTAAGTTGTTGGTAGATGATGAGTTAGACATGGCGAGAGAAAGAAGAGGCAAGCGAAGGCCCCAGATGAAATAGCGGTTTAATACGTCTGCTTCAGGTGTTGCGGTCTGTCAGGAGGGTGTAGTGGGACGGCCGATGAATATGGAAAGTGGGTATATTGGGCACCATGTGCGAGACGCTGGCCTCCTGGGCTACGACGAGGAGCTGTCCTCAGGATGCACTGTACGCACTCTCCCTGCTTCGCTGTCGGTACTGTGTTCCCGTCTGAGGATATGCCAACATGTAGCAGGACCCTGCAGGGAGGTAGGTGGAGCAGTTTCCTGGTCCAGCAACGCGCGCAGGTCGCGTGAACGACAACCTCGACTAATCGGAGGCGGAAACGGATGTACCAGCCCGGCCAGTAGGTTGGCGCGGTGGATATCACAGCACGTAGGCGATGAGGTGGAAGTGGAAATCCTGGTGTTGTTGGCGCACCCCGAGTAGTGTTGTTGGCCAGTAATAGCAGCACCGAGGGTGGGCAGGGGAGGTGTATTATGGAGACAAGAGATAGGAAGCTCAAAAAGCCGATGGGCATCAAAACCAGGACGAGAAGCGCCGGTTCCCGTTTTGGGGAGGAAATATATTGGGAACTCTACAACGGCGGTTGTCTGTCGGTGAAGGTCATGACTTGGGATGTCCCTACCAGCAGGTTAGGCTGGCGTGTAAGTTGGATCTCCATCACGTTCAACTCAACTTGCCCGAGGTTAAGCAACGCGACAGGGATCAGCTCTCAACTCGGATCGACGTCATTGCCGCACGCAGGCGCGGCCCCGCCTTGGGCTAGCTACAGACGGACAGGCGTCAGTCAAGTCAATGGAAAGCAACCGTGCCGCCAAACAACTGACTGCACGTGAACACAACACAAGCAACCTGTGTCCGAGGGAGGTCGATGTCTAGACGCCAAGTCAGGCCAGATGCTACGGGGCACGATTGACCCCTGGATTGACTTGCCACGAAGCCAATGGCCTATAGGACCCCGCGTCGCCCCAGCCGCGCAGATACGCGAGTTCCACGTATGCCAGGCGTGGGTCCAGTTCATGCGGGCTGGTCCGCCTCGTTGTATTAGGCGTCGACACGTCAAGCTGCTACTATTAGGGGACATCGCAGACCCAACCTCTGACGGAAAAACTGGCAGTCCTCCCGGCTCGGGGTTTCGTAAATGCCAGCTGGGGCCTGAGTATTGTGCACTGTCTGGCACGGCGCACTTATTCACTGAGTCACCTCCCGCCATCAGCACGTCCTTCTTAGTTACTCAATCAAATCTTTGATTCATTGGTGGTATCATACACGAGCCAAACCAGGGTGCTATGTAAGCTATACCGAATGCACATGCAGTCTCGTGGGCAGGTATATATAAGTCAAACCGTAAGCCAACAGGCGCATGCATACCTGGTGTGCCCAACTCGATTTGCCAAGGCCATTTGCCACACTCGAGATGCCTGAACCTGAACGCCTGCATCATTCGCTGGGGCTCCGTCAACCAAAGAACGGTCACCCTTGAATTCCCTTCGAGCGTTTCCTTGAAGCGCTCCTCGAAGCCAAAAAAAAACAAAATCCCCTAGAACTACATATCATGAACGCCTCCCTCCCTCATGCCCGGTTGCCCTGGTTAGGCGCACGGGCGTATTTTCGAGGCCGACCACGCTTTCTGCGTGGTGTTGTGTCGACCATCTCACGGGATGCCTTCCTCTTGGTCGGTGCCTTGGAACGTCCCGTGCACGGTGAGTCCACCGGCTTGGTGACCGGCGACGAAGACAGCTGCAATAGCGGTGTCTTGACAGGCGTTCTCGCCGACACAGGGGGTGTCCCACGGACACGTGGGGTTTGGACCGTACAGCCTTGTTTCTCTGCCGTGGCATCCTAAGCGCGGCTTGCGACTGACGGGCGTCTCGAAGCATTCGACATGCTGAAACTGGATGTGCGCCTCGCGCTCATCATCAGGTCAGGCTCTCCTGGAGCATCTTCCATGTCTATGTTGATGTCGCCATGGCCTTCCGGCAGCTTTTGCGAACCGTAGCCAACAACTTTGAAAATGTTGGAACGCCCACCGTTAGTAGCTGTCTGCAACTGTTCATGTAGACGCGCCAATTGGTAGGTCCGGCGTATCGGGGCAAATACGGGTTGTGGCAAGACCGGTTGGGGGTTCCAACGGGCGAGTGCGCTCATGACTGCGGCCGTCTCCTCGTCGGAATCGACGGGCGCTGCGTTTGCCTCGTCCTCGTCCTCCAGTGGTGCGTTCGCATCCAGTGCGGCCTCTGCAGCGCGGTCATTAGCCACCCTCCAGCTGTTGCGTGGCCGAAAGTCTCGTCGGGGGTGGTAAAACTTACTCTGCTGTTTTGCCTGATTCTTCTTCTGATAGGCCGCAAGTAGCATGTCATAGGGCAGAGAACGGCCAGGGACGGCGCGCTTCGCACCCATCGAGTGGCTCTTGCAGGTGAGTGAACGGGCACACGGCTGCCCGTTGGGTAGTATGACACCGCACTGCTTTTCGACGTCCACGGGGCCTAGACACGGTGAGAAAATTACTTGGTTAACGATCTCTCGATCGGAGCGTCATCTGAAAAGTCCGGGTGGTACCTTTGGGTTTGGGGACCTTGGGCTTCGGCTCTTCCTTCTTCTTCTTGCTCTTGGGTCCCTTGTCCGCGTCACCGTCCGCTTTGCGCTTCTTGCCCTTGGCCTCGCCGTCGGGCTTCTTGCCCCCGACCTTCTTGGTCGCCTTGCCGGCGGCGCCTTTCTTGTCGTCTTCGTCGTCATCGCTGTCGTCGTTCATCTGCGTGTCTCCGTCCGGGTCGTTTTTGCGGGCTTCCTCTTGCCGAGCCTCCTCCTTGGCTCGCTCTCTAGCCTCCCGCGCCTCCTTCTTGCGCTGTGCCTTCTCCTTCTTAATCTTCAGACACTGGGCGATGTGTTGCTTGGCAGCATTCTTAAGGATGCCTTTCTTGCAGTGCTTGCATTGTTGAAGCGGGATGGGGTCATCGAGAGGTCTGCCGGTCACGAAGGTTTCTCTGGAGTTCTCGTCGAGGGGGTTGACGATGGGGCCGGGGGACGAGGCGCCGAGGACGGCCGAGGGGCTTTCGCTTCGCTGCTTCTTCTTCTTTCCAACTGCGCATCGTAGTGGTTAGCAACTGATCCCGAATCCATGATTGCATCCGATCGGATCTAGTTGTACGTACGGTCGGCGACGCTGCCCTCCCTCCAGTTTCCGGGCTTTGTTTGCGTCGGGGGCGTCTTCTTCAGTTTGATGAGGCCATTTGGCTTGTCCTTGGATGCCTTCTTGGATGCGACGTTGATGGTGCCTTCGTCATCGGGGCCTATATATTTATAGCAAACGTTAGTCAAGCGGGAGGTGGGGAGAGAATGACGTGCGGGTCGGTGTTGGCTGCTATGTGGACGACTTGCCTTTGCGCCCTTCCGACGCGCCTGCCATCTTCGGTCGCCAGCTAACAGGATCAACGGCGATGCATGCGCTGGTGTCGGGGAGAGACGGTGTCGGGCGCCGTTTGTGGTGCGCTCAGGGGAGGGTGTGCGAATGCGCGGTATCTCCAACGGCCAGTCGCGAGCGTGGTTGCGACCGCACGGCGCGAAGTCGCTGTCGCTGCACGGGGGCTCCGCCTCGTAGATGCGCAAGGGTCCTGAGATGGAAGACGCAGATGCGCCTCGGTTTTGCTTGATGGAATGCGTCTCGGCGCGCGCGTATCTGATGGAATGAGGCGATGGAGTTGGACAAGGTCGTCGGATCATTGAGCGTCTTTGTTGGATGCGGTGCTTGTAGTTGCAGCCTGACGCCTGGCACGACCGTGGACGGTGCACGGACCATATAGCTTATCGGGACCCTGGCAATCTTATCGCTTATCGTTTATCGCGTGTCCGTGGCTAACCCCGCTGGGACTGGGGCAAGGTCCCGAGGTCTGGGGAAGCACAGCAACTTGGACCCAGTCGCGAACCAACCACGCTGCCCTTGTCTCCCGTCCTTGGACGTCGGTCAACAAGTGGGAAAAGGAAGAAGAAGAAGAAAAGGGAGGGGGTGGAATCCCAGCTATAGGGCCTCTATTTGACTACTCTAAGCTACAACATGACACTAGACCTTGGATCCCCTTGAATTCCTTTCCAGAAATGCCGGGGGATCAGACACTATTAGTACAGAGCACATGGATGGCTACAACCTCCTGCGAAATAGACAGATAGAGCCCAGATTTATTCATAGTGCAGACGGTATACTTCCACACAGAGTCTTTACAACATATAATTGCCTGTGTGCCTAGGTAGGGCACTGCCTAGGCATGATATGCGTGGTTCCCGCGCCCTTGCACAGAGCCATATCTGGCCAGTTGCACGAGACATTCCCGTGGACTTGGGGGGCTGCATACGCCTTGTCTATAGAGCCGCCAAGTATGCTCTAGTACCAGCCACGTCTATACAACAGACGTTATACCGGTCAATATCAAGCCTCGGAAACCCGCATGACTGAAGTGGTGTAGCAACGACTGGCTTGCCATCACCTGGATCCAAACTTGGGGTTAAGCCTACATCGCAACAGCCAGGGCCGACTTTATATTTGCCGATATCAATCCTTGTAACTTGCCGCCTATAGCACAAGACTTCGATCCTATCGGAAAAGCGGTGTTTCGACGGAAACACAGCACTAGCGCCGTGATCGTGTGGATGAAATCATTCTAGCCTTTGTAGTCCGTCGGTTGCGGTGCTGGTATGGTCTCGCAGCCTACATAGTAACTGCAGCATAAGTCTGCTTCAGACTATAACAGTCCTGCGTATGGCGAGTGGCGAATTTTGAAACCGCCGGTGGAGGTTTCTACTTAGATTTGTCTCCGAGGCCGTGGCCGCGAGGTTGTGGTGGAATGATAGGGCTTTCGCGCCCGCGTTCGATCAGCCAACGATGCCTCCGATGGAGAGCTCTATATCGCTCAACAGGTTTACATCATCTTAGCACCAGAGCTCATGGTTGGCGTGATCTATGTTGCCCCCGATAGATTAGTCAACCCCATGGTGCCGCCGAGGGCCAGAAGGAAGCGTCTCTTTTTGGTCCTCGGTAAAGTCCATCCGAAGAAGGCAAATCATGTCTCCCTTTGACGTTCAAGAGCTGCCAGCTGGATCAGATCCATCAGTGCCGGTTGCGATGTTGTTGCACTTCTGCTTCAAGCATTTGGCATCGCCACCGTCGTCGGAAACCCAGGCGATTGGCAGCGAGGTACTGCACAACTATATCTGGGGAAAGCCACTGCCATGTTGAGTGTCGATGTCCAGCTCCCTACCTTCAGTCCTTTTACGATCATTGCAGTAAGATTGCAAGCGGTTTCCAAGTAATTCAGCACTTAACTGGATTTGAGAATCTTTGAGAGCAGAAAGGGCGGAAACAGTGATACTTCGTGGCTCGTTGTGGGATCTCAATCCCAACGGGAGGACTTTGCTCATCCTAGGTTGCTACCTTTCGTCGCATGGCAAAGAGTGTTAACTGAGGGAAACAAAGGTTTGGTGCATGCGCTGAAAGGTCAGTTTCCCAAGGTAAAAATGTTCATTGTGAGCAGACCGAGTGATTGTCATTTGAAGCCCGAGCCCACGTGCTGCCCGGCAATTCGTAGAGGTCACAGCATGTATGTCTTCGATACGCTGCCCATTGCCTTTGGCCTGGTTCTTTGCAATGACTTCTTCCTGGGTTCATACCTTCCACATATGGGTTGCCGACTCCCCAAGTATTAGGACCACACGGGAATGATTCCACTGCAGAATAGGCGCCAAGTCAAGTGGGATATCGTTCTAAGCAAGGCTCCGTTCGCCATGCCAATATCCAATGTTGTACTTGCCTAATGGAAGGCCAGCGTCAAGAATGAACTTAAAAGGGGCATTGTCATGTGTCTTTAAGACTGGTCTCATGGACATCTGGGTTTATACATCAGGAGGCTGTTTCCCCGTGGAACATGAGCTGGGAGCGACGGACAAAAATGATTGCCAGCCGTGCTCATGGGTGAAATCCGCATACTGGATACACTGGATACACTGGATATATGAAAGTGAGCCGAGTAATCCAATGCTGCTCAATTATTTGCAATCGACTGCATGAGAATGGTGATCCCTGGTGTACTTACCAGTGTACCTACCGTATGCACCTGCCCTATAGTCCACTGAGCCGCATGAACTGTCCTCAGGTGTGTAATTTGTCGCAGGTGGGAGATTCCCAGCAACCCTGGTCATAGAGATCGTGGGAGTCACTTTGGGCCGGTGCACGGGCAACTCCATCGTCATTGATGCCAAGACGGGATGTACTCTTGCAGCAACCCCAAAGTTTGGAAGATGTCATCCTGCCTGCCAGCACACTGGGGTTTCGCATGGCCCGTCAATTCCGACAGTTGGGGTGACAGAGAGTCATCGTCAGTGGCAGGGGGACGCTGCAGGCGCTGCGGCGGCAGAGCTTCCTGTTGGCGTCACAGCGCTGGCCCTTCGGGGGTCCTCATCAGTCGGAGTCGGATAGATTCAACACTGAAGGCCGCAGCTTGCCAGGATCACGAGAGGCACCCCCCTGTGAGCCCAGGCTGAGCGGATGCTTGATTGGGTACCATCCGGAACTCATCCCCACGAGGAAGCTCAGCGCGAGGAGCGATACATCGTCTGTGAGGATAGATTGAGATGTCCACCGACAGCCGGAGCCTTCCTGAAGAAGCAAAGAAGAAGAAGAAAGCAGAAGATATTGCCCGCGTTGGTGATATTTGCATCGTTTCCAATACACGGCGGGCTGACATCAGGATCTACTGTACCGTCGCAGGCCTCCCCTTGGCTCCCAGGGCTCCCAGGGCACCACCCGCGCCGTACCCCAGTTCTCTGAGGGCGTTTACCGGGGAGGCCTGGCACACGGATTGGTAATCTTGCCCTGCCCTTGTGGTTCGACGTGGTAGGCACGGGCTTGGGCCTGCGACAACCATGACCTGCAATTCGTCAGGAGTGGCTTCTTCACCTGCGGCACGAGCAACCCCCCAGTGCTGTATGGTAACCGTTTGGCCCAGAGGTTCGGCTCACGTCGAGAACTCTCCAGGGTTCTGAGGGTCGCACGGTTGGGTGGGCTTGGGCTTGGGGGGGAACATCAGCGCGTGTGCCCCAGGTGGTTTCGTGATTAAGGTGGCGCCCCGTATGCAGTCTCCAGCAGGGCAGCAGGGCAGGAGGGCCGGCGCTACAGGCTACAGGCAAGCTCCGTGTGAATCGCCCCAGTACGGAGGCTACTTTTGCGCCTCACGGCAATTGCCATCTGCCATCTCGCGCATTCCTGATCGGCCGTCGCCTTGTGGAGCAGAAGCGCGACTGCATGCTGGTGATCATTACATTAGGTGTGCATCAGAGGCGGGCACCTGGATCAGATTGACGGAGGACTGAGGACTTCCGAGTGGCCGTCCCGCCCTACCGTGACCTAGTCCTGGACCTGGGACTCGACTTGCCTGCCTTGCCGTTGCCTCCTCTCCTGGAGCGAGCGAGAGCACGCAGTAACTTAGTGCGGTCGTGTGCCTGGGGTCCCTCGGCCCTCTTTAGACACACTGGACGCCGATGATCCCGATTCATCAATCACAATCAACAATCTGTTCCAGGGGTCTACGGCCGTTTTATTCCAGCAGCACTCCGCAAAACCACTTGCGACGACGTCCCCTCTGTTCAGGTCGGAAGATTGGGTGGTTGATCCCGAAAAGCCATTCACGCCGGCGGCATTTTGCATTCGACTCTGCTTTGGATTGATTTGGTTGTGTCTCCGCGCAGGACGTTTTGGGCCAATCCGTGTGACGGGCTGACGGTAACTGGAGCGAGCTGGACCTGGACCTGGACACAGGACACACTGGACTGGACCTTGGACCTGAGCACAAGAGAGAAGAGGAGAACAGAGCAACCCCCCGAGACACCGACGGTCTGCGCATTATGAAGTCCCTCTCCTCCTGATCCTCCACGAATCTGACGAGCTGCTTTCCGTACTTGGTTACTGTACGGCACTGACAACAGACCGCGGCGCAGAGAATCTGCAATGCGCACGACTCCGTCGTACCAGCTTTATGCCTGACTTGGTATTCTATTCGCTTTCTTAGCAGAGCTTAGTCCGTTTCTATTCCGCGGGGCACAGTAGATAGATCGCTGCATACCCACCAGCCCTACAGAATGGTATATTGTGGGAAGGCATCTCAAGGTTCGTTGCATTAGCAGATCCCGTCCTTCACCGCCTACTAGCCAGCCGACTGAACTCGGACAGGATGCCAGAATTGTCGTCAAAGACGCATCAAGGTAAGGAAACTCCCCGCCATCCCGTGCTTCTTCAACCTTCGATACCGCACCGGCTTCCAACCAAGTGTTTTGCAAGACTACATGCGGTTTACACTCACGTTGACTCCTGGATGCGTAAGGGGCACATATTGTGCCCGATGAGCTCTGGTATCTACGTGCCCGTGCGGAGGTTATACTTTCATGTAGCGAACTTGAGCTTCGCAACCTCGGCTTTGAAATACTGGCACTGGTGGCTGACGCCTAAGTATAGTGCGACAAAGTCAAGCCAGAATGTTCCCAGTGCATTCGGATCGGCAAGAAATGCCCAGGCTATCGGGACCAGCTGTCGTTGATGTTTCGGGATGAGAGCAGCAAGGTGATACAGAAGGCACATGCTCAATGGGGGACAGCAGGCTCGCCGCCGTCTGCGGCATCGGCATCAACTGCGTCAAGCTCGGCATCATGGGCGTCCTCACCCACAGCGTCAACCAACGACATCAGGAGTCCAGTTGCCGACAGCCCACAATCGCCCGCTGAGATGGTGCTGAGCCGGAACATGGAACTTCTGTCGCCCAAGCTGCATGCGAAGATCGAGCCAACCTTGGAGCAACGAGGCCTCCGGTTCTTCGTCGAACAGTACCTCATGAAGAGCCCAGACGCTCCTCAGGCGTCTCGACACCTCGCTGTCTATAGCGGCAGTAGCGAGGCTATGCAGACGGTCATGATTGCCGTCGGCCTTGCAGGGCTCTCCAACAGGCAGGCAGACCGTGCCATGAATCTCGTCGCCCGTCAAAAATACACCACAGCTCTGAAGCAGACAGGTCAGCTCATAGCGGCAGGACCCAGCGATACGGTTTCTGTCATGGGCCCATTGAGGGCTGTTGTCACATTAGCGATGTTTGAGGTAATGCTTCCAGTCTCAGACCAGCTACACCGCAAACTAACATGTCCTCGCAGGTCGTACAAGGCAAAGGGTCAAGACTTTCGACTGGCACCGCGAACATTCACATTTTCGGGGCCATTGCATTGCTGAAACATGTTGTTCCCACTTCGCAAGTTCCAGTAGCTGGTGCGAGAGCTATACTACAACTCATGTTTTCTCTGGTAGGACTCCTCATTGTGGATCACAGGCCCTCTCGGCGATCATTACAAGCTGACTCTCCTCCCAGTTTATTCCGTCACAAGTGACCGATACACCCATGTCGCCACAGTTTTTTGAAGTCTTGGCCATGACAAGGCAAATACTACCGCCCGAGGAGCATTGTTGCTGTGATCTTGCTGTAGCGATCGCAAGATTTCTAGACATTCTGGCAATATCCAAGAGTCCGCACCTGTTGGATGGCCATGTTCAGAGCGACGAAGTCTTCCAGCAGCTATTGGGTATGGACGCCGTGCTCGGACGCCTGGAGGAGCAGCTGCGCCTCTCATTCCCCTTCTCCATTGAGACGGTACCTCGCGATTTCCCTCCTCAGGCGGTTTTTCGGGGAAAATACCATAGGTATCTCGAAATTGAAGGGGCTCGTCTCTGGAACCATCTACGCTGGGCCCGTATCCTTTGCGTTCAAAGGGTCATTGACCTGGGCAAGACATTGCCTCAGTCCTATGGGCATGTTGTTTCACCAACCCAGACGGACCACTGCTACAGCACGGCGCAGAGGATGGCTGAAGATATCATTACAAGCACGCCATCGCATTGGCACCATCCCATTTTGACAGATGCGCAGGCCAGGAAACTAGGGGCCATCGGGAAGGGAGGCACGGGTGCTACTGGCATCCCGGGCCTTCTGTGGCACCTAAAGATTGCAGGCTGCGCCCCAGGGGTGCCACAGGAGTTCTGGAACTGGTCGTACGAGGTCGCGCAGGTTGTTTGGAAGACGATGGGTATGCAACACGCCCTCGCTCTGTCCGAGGTCATGGAGGGCCACCGCGCTGGCCAAGAAAAGGAAGCCATCGACCGTTTGATCAAGGTGGAGGAGGAGGAGGAGTGGTGATGGTGATGTGGGATGGTGTTATACACATGGCGAGCAATATCATTAGTCGGCGTTCTCAGTGCAAAGGGGCAATACTGGATCGAAACTCTGGAATGACAATTGGGGACATCTATCCATCGGCAACGGTCAAAATGGTACGGCGAAGTTTACGGCGAAGATTACGGCGAAGATTGGGGCTTCGGGACATTTCTCTTATTTATATGTACATGTACGCAAGTTTCTTTGGAGAGATATACCCACTGAGAAACTGATGAACTCATCGACCAAGATACTGACATCGAGCATTTTTGAACTCTCCCCGCCCTGCATGATGCTGTCTTGGATGGTCATGTGATTCATGCACATATCGCGGGTGATGGGACCACAGAAGATCAAGAACTCCTGTCTTCCTCACCTAAGTGCACAAAACTCGAAATCAAGGCAGAGCGGTCACCAAAGACGAGCAGTAGAGTCTTGATCTGAGCTTTCACACAAGGCTTTAAAGCCACTGTGCCCAATCTGCATCATCACATTGGCCTTGGCTCATTGTAATTATGAAAAACATAAAGTCAGGGAAGTCCAATGGCAGGTAGATTTTTGAGATTCATGGACAATTGGCGACGTTCGCACTACCTACAAGTCAATGGCCCCCGGTCCTGGTCTGCTTGTATCCCATTGGTCCGTTACTTGCCAGCAGCCGTCAGCATAGCTTATCACCGATTGAACGACCCCTCCACTAACAAAGCCCCAGGCGCGTGCCCTTCCGTCGCGTCTCCCCAACTTGACCCCAAGTACATCACCCACGTCGCAACCACCAAAGCCTCGGATCCCATCGAGCCGCAAGAGGCCGACAAGCACGTCCACCATGTCCAGCACAGATCCCGCTCCCGGCTCGTCCTCCGCCCCAGCGCCAGCCCCGGCCTCGCCGCCGCTCCCAGCGCGGCACACGGCCGTGGCCCCGGGCCCGCGCGCGGCCAAGTTCCAGAAGGTGCTGGACGACAGCCTGAGGCACACGCTGGGCAAGATCGGCTGGGACAACTTCGCCTCGTGCTTCCCGACCATCGCCGCGCAGGCGCCCGCCACGCTCAAGCTGGTGCAGGGCCAGATGGTCGACCGCCTCGGCGCCCTGTGTCGCAAGGAGTTCGAGACGGTGCTGCAGAACCGCCACGTCGTCGCCCGCCTCAACGAGCTCGAGGGCCTGATCAGCGACGCCGAGCGCCGCCGCGACGACGCCGGCCTGGTGGACGGCGCGCACGCCCCTACTCCGTAAGTGTCCTCTTGTCGGCGGGGAACGCCCGTGGGAACAATGTAACCTTGTGCTGACCGGGAGGGAAATCCAAACGAGCAGACCGCATCTGCTGCCGGCTTCCGACGTCCTCGCCGCGCACCTGGCGCCGCACCTCGCACTCCAGCAGTCGCAGCTCAACGCCAAGCTGCAGACGACCCATGCGCTCAACGCCAAGCTGTTCGCCGACATCCAGAAGCAGCGCGCCGAGCTCGAGGCGCTGCTGGCGCTGCTCGAGAAGCTGTTTGCCGACATCGACGGCGCCAACAAGGCCATGGACGGCGTGGTGGACGATCTCGCCAAGGAGACACGGACCGTCGAGGTTGAGATGTCCGGGTCCTGAGCTGAGCTGCCTTCGCTGTCCCCTCGACGTCAAGCCCTCGGCTTGACTAGAGATGCGTGACGGGCTCGTGTGAACGTACAGTCGAGCTCCAGAGCATATCTGGAAACTACTACACCGCGCCAAGGTAGCTTGCCGGCCAACCGTTTTAAGCGAGCTTCACGCAGACCCCTTTCTGTCTAGCATCATGGACACGAACGTCCCCCCACCACAAGCGACTACAACGTCGCCCGATGGGTGCCACTGAAGGGACATCTGCCGATGGCACCTATGTCGGGGAGCATCGGCATAATGGAGGAAGGAAGAACACTCCCTAATTCTGAAGCGACGTGCTGCGGGGCTGGGAATGCCACGCTCGGGAATCTGGCGGCCTAGGCCTCGGTTCTCTCCAAGATACGACGGAAACCTGATATGAGAAGATCCGTTTGGCGAGAACCTGCAGATTCTAGGATCGGCAAGTGTGCGCTTGGGGCGGTCACCGCCTCGACAACCCCTTGCCAAGCAGCCAGAGTGTATTCAAGGGGACGGCCCGCGGCGCGGGCCACAAGAATTTGACAGTCATCAGACCATTCTCTACAGTATAATGTTGTTTGTCTTCGACCTCAACGACGTATACGTAGCGTTTGATGCCCTTCAGAGGTGGAGCCTTCAGAACCCAAAGAGGGCGATGTCGGTAGGATATCAATCCCACTTAGAACTGGCGAATCGCAGGTGGCTTGCATTATTTACCTGGCGGATCCGACCACTTGGTCTAGAGCCTAACGTAGAGTCTGAGAAACATGCTGCTGTCCATGATAAATCAGCGAGAGAGCAGGATTATGACAGTCTAGGACGAAGTCGAGGCGATGTCGATGTCAGGTATATATTTACGGTGCAGCGATCTTATATCCCGGCGCACGGGGGGGAGATATGTACATGAAGGGCAAACAGATTGCGTAAACCCGATCCGGCGATTGCGGGTGCTCCAAGAAAGAAACCTATAAGCCTCAGACAGAAATGTGATTCATGTTGAACCATGCGGAAATGCCTCGCCAAAGATGATGTGGATGGTATCATGAGTTATGCGGTCTCGCGGTCGTAAACCAAAACCCGCGTTAACGTAAGAAGAATGCTGCCCGATGTTTTAGTGCCAACCATTGTATGCAAAAGCAAAAGGAAGCGGAGGAAGAGGGACACCCTCTAAGGGACCTCAAGCTGGCTTCTGCTTTCTTCCCTTCCTCCTGATTTTCTCTCCCCAGTCTGATGTTTTCCTTTCCTCCCAGTACAGGCCGCCCTGGCGACCTGGAGATGTGAACATGTCGGAGATGTTCACTCAGATCCTCCTGTTCTCGTTGCCCCAGACCTGCCAGGGCCCGACGACCTCGTGCTCGAAGTAGCCGGGCGGCAGGACGCGGATCATGCGGCCCGTGGTCCAGTCGACGAACCACTTCTTGCCCTTGGCGATGACATAGTTGGACTTGCGCGGGCTGCGGAACAGCAGCACCGAGTAGCACAGCTTGGCGTAGACCATGTCGTGCGCCGTCGTCCACTCGTGCCGCGGCCGCCACTTGCCCGTGTCCGCCGCCACCGCCTCGTTCGGGTACGACGTGGTCGACAGCCGCGACGGCAGCGGATCCAGCGGTGACGGCCCGCCTGGCGTCTCCTGTGATGAGGGAAGACGAGGAGCACCCGGCGACGAGGAGGAAGCGGGCGGTGTCCTCGCCGTCGCCCTGGGCGGCTCGTCCCGCTCGTTACGAGACGAAGTAGACTCCCGTGTAGTCTGCTGCTGCCTCTGGCTCGTCTGCCGCACCGGCACCCGCGGCGTCACGGCCGAGTGGTGAACGACTGGCGCCGGCCTGGGCGCGGCGTCGGAGCCTCTACTGCTGGTATGACGGGGGACGCCGACGGCGTCCCTGAAATACTGTAGCCTCGCGCGCCGGGGGATGCTCTGGTCACGCGGGAAGTCGCGCTCGTCCAAGGCGGGTGCGATGTTGATGGCCGCGAATAAGACGTCCAGCCACTGGACAAAGGTCTCGAGCTCGATGCACGAGAGCAGGAACTGATCAGTCTCTGCGCGGACGCGGATGACATATCTTCGCCTAAGGGTTTGTCATGTCAGAATAGGGGACAGTCTTTCTTTTCTTTCAAGTTGAGTTTTGTACAATGTAGCCTCCCGGGCGACCCCTTGGAAATTATGCCCAGAGTTCCTGGGGTTAAATAGATAGGAAGGAAGAAAGAACGTACTTCTGATAATCCGCCGCAATCCCCACATCGGCATGCAGCAGCGTGTACGTCTTCTCGAGCGTGCCCTTGCGGATCCAGGGCGGGTTGTCGGCCTGGCTGGTGGCGCCCTGCTTGCCCGTCTTGCCCAGGCCCCAGTCCTTCTTGATGCCGTAGACGCTGAGCTTGGTGCCCTGGAGCTGGACGAAGACGGCGCGCCAGTTGCGGGCCGGGGCACGCTTGATGGTGTCGACGATCTCCATCTTCATGTTGAAGACACCCTCGAGCTGCACGTCGCACGAGTACTGCGGCAGCGGCTCGGAGCCGGCGTCGCCGCCGCCGCCGCCCCCTTCCATGATCATGACCAGCTCGCCGTGCTTGTCGAGCCCGACCATGGGCGGCGAGTACTCGGGTGGCTGCGAGAGCCGCCGCTGCGCCGCCGGGATGGTCACGATCTCCTGGTAGAAGTAGTCCTCCTCCATCGACACCCGGCGCCGCAGCGCAGGCGAGCTCGGGTGTGAGACATCTTGACCCTGCCGCCCGGCCACCGCCGCCATAGAATAGACACGAAGTCCTTCCGGTCTACTGTGCTCTCGCGAGGACCCAAGGCCAAAACTCCCCGATTCATCAATATTGTCCCTCCCTCTTGGCTTGCCGGATGGTGGTGCGGGTAGTAGTGGTGGCAGTGGGTCCCAGGTGATGATGTGAGGCGTGCCTTGCAGGAGATGTTTCTCTATCAGTGAAATATAAGGGCACGTCCGGTTCGTTACTGCGAGTCGCTCATAGTGTATGAAGCGCCGGCCCAGGTGCAGCAGGATCGACGGACGGCAAGAGTGCCCAGGAGCTTGGTCGAGCGTGGACGATGCAAAAGGGTGACACTGGTCAGATGCCGAGAGAAAACCAAGAGATGACGAGGCAAGGAGGGGAATAGAGGAGGGAGCAGAGGGCGGCAGCAGAGCAAGCACGCAACCTACGGTCCAATGTCAGGACCCGGGACTCAGAACTCAGGACTCTCCGGGATGGCAGCTACAGGTTGACAGGCCCCAGGCTGGCCTACTGTAGTAGTATAAGCTTATTGGGTCTATTGACAAGGGGGTCTGAGATCTTTCATGCGTATCAGCGGCGGGTCCTGCTGGGGAGAGAGAAGCTTTGGGCGAACCATGGCAGCCAGCTGGCCCGGATGGAAATAAGCCTCCGACTTGGGAGTTCCATTGAGACTTCTAGAGCGCAAGGCACCCCTCCCCGTCAGCGTCAGCAGCGTTCTGTGGCTCTGGCTCTGGCTCTGGCTGGGAGATCGGCCACTAGGGCCATCGTACATGATGCCCAGATGCTCTTCCGTCCAGGGGAGGGGGGGATACGCCCAGGATGGGTCGTCTTTGCCGGACCTATCAGGGCGCGGCCGCTAACACCTTCCGGGGAGGTGGTAGCCGTATTGGAGAGTGCGCGCTGCCCGTGGGACGGCAACCGCGGGCTCGCGTTGGGCAGACGGGCGTGCAGCAGGCTGCATTTCCGTGTCTGCAGCCAGTACACAGCAAACTCTCCACTGCGCTCAATCAATAATAGCGACCTGGCAATTAGGCTAGACGATGCGATGTGCCCGTGACGGCCCCAGGTTGGGTTGGGAGGCTGCCGGGCAGAGCAGGGCCAGCGGCCCCAGTGCAGGGCGGGAGGGGTCCCTGGAGCGAGTGCTATAGTATATTCCCCAGACAGCAGTCCCCCCTCCCCAAGAGGGCATCGCGCAAATTCCCCGGTACGGTGCCCCGTGCATTAGTTAGGACGATGTGCTGCAGAATGCACACTTCCAGAAGGTCGTTGCGACTAGCCGTCCTCGCCTCCGAGGCAGCAACCCGCGCTGCGGGCGCCAGGCCCCCGTCTGCTCGGAGCGGGCGGACATAGCTGTTAGCCGGGGCTCAGGGCACGCCATGGCTAGTGCGCCTGCTCCTCCGAGGTCGTCGCGCATTGCGTGCATTGCGTGCCCTGCCATGATTGCCGTTGGCCATCTCGTAATGGAAATTCGTTGCGGAAGGTCACAGTGACAAGGCGCCCCATTCGATATCACATTGCAAGCCGCACGCGCATCTCGGACTCTGTCGATTGACGATGGATGCCGACTTTGCTGACGTCTTTGGTGTTCCGTCTTGATTAAAGAAAGGCAACGTCCATCGTATGTTGCATGGGCAGGGCGTTGAGTTGAGCAGCTCACTGTGACTTTCTTCCAACCACGGCAGGCCCAAACGGAGTCTGTTGAAGATGAGGCTCTCACCTTCACTGATGCTGGTGCGAACTCGTGTGGAGGCATCCTGCTTCCTCAGCCCGGCCTTTGCCCTCGGTATCGTGGCACAATTCCACCGTACCATCCCCGGGAGACACTTTTCAAGATCTGGGGTACGACACCAGGCGTTATTTGTGTATGACATACGCCTAGGCGATCACTCGAGCAAAGCCAGCTATAATATTCCAAACTCCCGACTCACGTGGATCCACGGGCATGTCAAAAGGGGGTCAAATATTCCACAAGCCTCTGGCACTGATTGAATACATGTTGGCCACTTCCGCCGGTAACTAGTGATGACCGAGTCACCGAGTTGGTGTCTAGTGCCTAAACCCAAGCTGAAAGCCCTTAACAAGCGTTCTTTCATCACGGTGTACAGTCGAAAGGGCCATTCTGATGAGGACAAGTCATCCGCTGTCTTCTCTGTCATCAAATTCGTAGATACCATTACACTATAGGATGTTAAACACTTTTTCCAGTATTGTACACCTCTCGATCTTCGGGTTTTGTCCACGTTTCGCCCTGTCACTCCTTCCATGCAAATGAATACCTAGGTATCGACTTTTCCCAGCCACCAGGCAATGTACAAATCCTCGATGCTAGCTACTAGCAAATGAACCTCGCAATGCATATTTGCACAACGGCTGCCACCTAGGCAACAACCAAATCAACGAGATCTCCCAAAGTGAAATCTATCATGGTGGGAAACCCACAAGCACCGAAGCCAGAGTCCGGGGCCGCCCTTGTGCTCCGATCCGGAGCAGTATAGAAAGGCTCCATCACCACATCGGAACCACCGGGCGTTCCATCCCAGACATTTCCTCCACCACCTCCCCAACACACGAATGTGATGCCAGGGACTGCCAAAGAATGGGGTCTGCTTAAGCACTGGTGGCCTGCGCGCCGCCCCGACCACGGACGCTACCCCTACCACGGTTCTGGCCACCAAAGTTGCCTCGGCCACCTTGGCTTCCACTTCGGCCACCCTCGAAACCGCCACGTCCTCCGCGGCTAGGAGCGTTTCCACGTCCCGATCCATAGTTGCCGGCACCGTAGACCTGCGACTTGGGTCGTCGAGGCTCCACAGTGATGCTCTCTCCGTTTACGGTGTGGGGGTTAGCAGCGACAGCAGCCTGGTACCCGGCCGGAGTCGCAAACTCAACGAAAGCGCAGCTCTGCACGTTTGTTAGTATAACAGAAAAGCCAAACATTTTTCAACAAGATGACATACCTTAGCACGGTTGATGTCGAAGTACACCAACTCGCCGTGCTGGGCCAACGCTGACTTCAAATCTTCGTGTTGGACCTTCTCCGTAACGTACTTGACGTAGCCCAGAATACCCTCTTTCTCAGCTTGGGGTCCAGAGATGGACTGGGGTCGGTTGTGCCTCTTGGAGTCACTGCCGGCCGTCTGCCACTCGGAGGACTCCTTCGCGGCTGTGGCAGCTGCGGGAGTCTCGGCGGTCTGGGCAGGGGCGGCTGCGGGCTTGGCGGCCGAGGCGGCGGGCGCGGCCGAGCGCGCCTGGGCCGGAGGGGTAGCCGTCTTGGGGAGGGGGACCACGGGTTTAGGAGGTCCGGCAGCGGCGGCAGCACGGCTTGCCCAGGTCATCGGCTTGGGCGGCTGGGCGGGAGCAGCGGCTTGGGGAGCGGGAGGTTGCTGTCGGGAAGTCACCGGAGTAGGGCTGGGGTCAGTAGGCTTCTCGGGCTCCTTGGTGTCCTCCTCCTCAAGCAGGCGTGCGGTCTCCTCAGGATCGGCGACAGGTGCGGCCTCGACAGGGGCTGCAGCCTCGGGTGCCGCAGCCTTCTCAGGCTCTGCAACGGACTCAACGGCATTATCACCGTTGACAGGAGGAGTCTCCTTGCCGGCAACCTCCTCCAGCTTCTGATCAATAACACCGGCGTCGAGAGTGGAGGCAGCAGGCGCGGGCTCCTCGGCGACAGACTCGGTCTTGGTCTCGGGCTCTTCCTGAGTCTCGGCAGCAGGGGCCGAGGGGGCCGGGGCGGTGACCTCGACGGCTCCCTCCTGGGCGGCGATATCGCCCTGCTCGTCCTCGGTCTCGTCGTCGAGGTAGCGGAGGATGTCGTTCAGGACGAAATAGCCAGAGGGCTGCTGGGCCAGCACGAAAGTCTGAACAAACTTCTTGGGATCGTCGCCAACCTTGTTGGACGTCTCGCCAATGACTTGGATGACAATGTTGTCAAACGAGGACTGAGAGTCGACATTCGAGATGCGGACCTTGCAGGTGTCGGAGAGATCAAGGGCCTTGATTCGCTCTTGGATGTTCTGCGGGCATGAATGTTAGACGTGTGCGAATAGAACGAAGAACAAGACGGGGCGTCGGATCTTACCTGTCTGCCAACCGACACGTCGGCAACCTCAGCCTCCTGGCCGTAGACGAATTGAGAGCGCTTGCTATAGAAAAGCTGGCAGAAGAAGTGTTAGCACGAGATCCCTGATCGTGGCGAGCCAACTCAACGTACGTGTAGCTTCTCGGGCGTCTTGCTCAGGGTTGTGTAGTACTGCTCGACGAAAAACCAGGCGACCTCATCCTTGCCAAGGTTGCTGGTAGGGCCGCCCGACTGCTCGGGGGCGGTAGTAGCACCTGGACGGGTTGTTATGACACAGTTCTGGAATCGAGCGGGTGCCGAGGGCAGAGCCGCAGGGCGAGCGAAACGTACCGTTTGTAGTTGCCATGTTTGCTTGTGATTACTAAGAGGCTGGTGGAGGTGAGGGAGGGAGGGTGGGTAGAGTTTTGTGATTTTATAGTCGGTCGGAAGCAGAGAGTTAGGAAACTGCGAACAAGGCGAGGCGTTAGTAAGGCAAGGGTTGTTTCTGCCGGAGGCACCGAGACCGTGTGTTTCTCAAGGGTCGGTCGAGCTCCTTACCTATTCTGAACCCAATTCGCCAGCAAACGCCCGGAACAAAGTCGTGTGGGATAGCGTCAAGATGCAGATGCGATGCGCTGAAACGGGAAACCAAATGAAGAAACGGAAAGCTCCAGTAGATTCGCTCGTCAGACGTGGCGCCGTTTCTCGTAAAAGGCACAGAAGAGATGTGAAGATTCGGCTCGGGGTCGGGGCCCGGAGGAGGTGTTGGTAGTGGTGGTGCGGGTTGCGTCTACGGTGGTGGTGGTGACGATGGAAGAAACGGGTCGGGTCAAAAGGTCTTGCTTCGGCGGGTTCTGTTCTAGCAGCGGGCGCGAGGCGGGTCTCTCTGGGCACGCGGTGACGGCGCAAAGGGTGATGAAGGGCGGGATTGGGTGTTGGTGGTGATGGTGAGGATGGCGATGATGGCGATGATGGCACTGCAGGACACAATACGGCAGTGAGGAACGTGGCGGCAAGACGGGGGACGCTTTTGAGGTGCGAGAGGGCAGAGTAGAGGCAGGAACGCAAACTTCTTGACTAGCGCGGATTGGAATGTCGAGAGGGAAGGCGTCGTTTCGCCAGGGAGCCGGTGCCAGGTGCGCAGGTGCGGTGCGGTGCGGTGGAGTGCAGCGCTTTCCTGCCAAAGGGCCCAAGGCAAGGCCTGGCCGATTTGGTGTGCCCAAGCTCCAACCCAGATCAGGCCTCTACCTGATCCATTCGACCAATCCGATCCGTCAGTGCGCCCCGACTTTGGGGGCCAGGCCAAGGGTAAAAAAAAAAATTTGTGCCACCAGACGGCAGGCCCCGGCGCTGAGCCCAGGACAGTATGAGTGTGGGGAGGGAAGCACCCAACGAAGCTAACTTATTGGAGACCCCCCGGAGAATTCTCGGCAGCCGTGTGCTCATCCCATTGAGGCCTGGGAACAAACATGAATCACTTTACAAGTGCCAGACCAAGTCATATATCCCTTGAATGATTACGAGTAAACTCGTTGTGGAATGTCTATCTAACATGAAAACCGACCTTAATACTGTGCTTCTCTTTTGACTTCAGTCTCAAACTTAGGGCAGACCATGGGTATGGTCTGGAATGGGTTGAGACTGTCTCTTCGTGCTGGGGATCTGGTTTGATTCCAGCTACCCGTTGCCAGTTCCGTGCTAGGCTTTCTAGAGCTCGACCCCATCAGCCCATGCACCACCGTTAAAGCTTGGTTGATAGGTACTATGAAATGTATTGCGACACTGACCACTTTTTGGCGACGATGGGAAGTGAAACCTTTACATAGACTTGTCCTGACCGTGCTCGAGCAAGCTCCGCTCTGCTCCAAGTTAAGTCAAGGCCAAGCTGGGAAAAAGAGTTTCACATACCCGCAACGGTCCAATCACAGCATATTCCTTTTCCGTAAGCGGTAACATGACATTCAATAACCCAGAACCCTGGAACCCTGCTCTTCAAAACTACGTGCGTGTCAGTGCGAGATACCATTCCAATGAATGACACCGTACTGTACTCTACGTTACTGCGTAGCAAGGATCACCCGACAAGGGCAATGCGTTACCGACCGAAGCGTTGCATAGCCCATGCCATGCACGCCTCTATCGGCGTTGACTGTGCACACCCGTGAATAGACAAATATCAGTATTTGAAGCTAGAGAAGCAATGAACCAGCGTCCAGTAGGGAGTCATTTGGCTACCCAGTCAGGCTGACGCAGCATTGGTATATATCATCGTACACATCCTTTGTCATGCCGTAGTGGTTGTCTTTTCCCTCGGTGTCGATGGGGTTGGACATCTTGCCCTTAACATTAGGCTTCTTGCTAAGGGCGAACTGGTAGTCGTCTTGCCCACAGAAATATTCGCCTTGGTCGCGTTGAACACAATACGGGATATCGTTGTTGTTGGTTTCCGAAATGTCAAAGTTGACGCGTGCAGAGTCGTTGCGCACCATTTTACCCTTCTCGTTTCGGTCAGGATGATCCTCGTACTTGCCAATATCCTGATTAAATTGCCCGGCTTTCCTGCCAATCGCCTCATTCTGGGCCGCCGGCATGCAGCGTAGGCTGTTCGGGTTACGGTTCGGTGAGTAAAAGAGCTGCTCCTGTGAGGAGGCCCGCGGCCACTCATCGCCTTGCCTGTCATTCGATGTGGCTTGTTTATCCTCGGGGATGAAGGCAATGCTGTATGGAAATTTTTGGCAAACACCAACAATGGAATCGGGCTTCCCGGGTGCGAGCTGCTGTGCTTGACAACCTAAGTCGAAACTGTTCTGCCTGCTGTCATATCATTTGCACTACAACACTGCATGCTTGATGGTAAGGTTATACGTCCGTCAAGTTAATGGTTGTGGTTCATATTACGCACTTAACTATAGTCAAACATGGCATATCCAGATCGTCAGTGGCATCGACGATGCACAACGAGACGCCGTCGCCGTCCTCTGACCCCAAAGGCCGATGTTAGTATGAAAACCCAGCGCTGAGCCAGCCAGCCACTTTACTCTCATGCAGGCTACAAAGTCTCCACGATTCTCGCAACTTCCCGCCCTGATCAAGTTAATTCAGATTATATCGGCCAAGAATGGCGGAACCACCATTAGCTCTTTTTGTTCTGTCCGACAAGAGTACCACCAACGGAGGTTTGCCCTCATGCTTTGAAAAATCACCGGTCAGGGAACAATTACGAATTGCTTTCGTATATCAACCCTGTGCTACGTCGCTCGGCAGAAAGAAATACGGATATCATGCGCTAGTCCCGGTCACGATTGCAGATTCCAAGTCGCCCTATACCTACGCCTTGGAGAAACAATACACTGACGGCCCTGGCCTACGGGAGATCATGGCCGAGGGTTCCAAAAGACCTCTCCCATCGACCCATGTATCATCTTTTGCGGGGAGGTCACTAAGAGACTGCGCGCGTTACCTGGGCGACTCCCCCGATGACGTTTCCTGGGACAAGGAGTATTTCTTTGCCCTGGACGACAAATGCGTTGCCGAGGCCACCATGCCCCTAGTGAATGCATTCGAATCCGAAAGCGGAGACATCCATGCATTCCTGGCTGAAGCAGACCAGGCTGTGGACAGGATAATGACTATGGAAACGACGGCAGATTTTGAGCTGAAGATGCAGGGCTATCAGAGTGTTATGAAGCGAGATGGCAAGGCAGATCGGAGCATTATTATCCCTTTCGAGTTTCCCGACAGTGATGACGAGGACTGAGACAACTGAGTTAGGTCAAAATGGCAAGCCTGAAGTAAGGGACTAGAAGAGCTATTGAAATTCCAGGCCGCGGGAAACGATTGCTTTGGCAGCATTTCGCGATGCAGCCCTGTCCATCACGTGCAGCACAGGGAAGTTCCGTACACCTCCAAAGCGGAATCAATAGGCATGAAACCATGCAGGATCTCAGTTTCTCAATTACTATAATGAGAGCTGACGGAAATAATCATCGAGATAACGAATCGCACGGTTGCTAGTGCTATGAGGCCAAATACTGCGCGTACTAGAAACTGTGCATTCTCATCTATGGTCGTGTAGCCTATCGGGTTCGTTGATGATTGGCTAAGATGCGTCGCAGTCCCGAGGTAGAGAAATACAGAGGATATGGTTGAGTTACTAGCTTGGTCTCCTCTATCGACGCTGCAGTGATCATTGTTAGCTGCTTCCCTCTGAGCGTCAGAGGGCACACTAGTAACTACCGCACTAGTAACTACCGCATAGATGACGGGGTATCAAAATGTTTGTCGGCTCGTGAACGAGGGAAGAAGTGGGAAGCCATTTGAAATTAAAGGCTAGAAGGTGACCAATACAGTATGTCAGTATCGGGAATAGAAAATGCACCTTGTGTCTGTCCTACTACGATAGCGGAGGTGCACTTCTAAAGGCGTTGTGAGATTTGCACTCAGTGTGGCTGTCACACTGTTGACATCCAAAGCACCATAGAGTAACATGCTCGGTACCAATTCCTAGCCCCGCCATAGAATGGAGCGGCACGTTGTCTTTCTGTCTTTGTCAGGATGTTTGAGCATGAGACCAGGCGCGACCGTCACAAGCGCCGTCACAAGCGGTGACAAAGCTGGACCATCTAGCTGGGCATGAAGATACACTTCAACTTAGCGGGTGGCAAGTAGGAACCCACACAGTTCAACAACCTCGAACCTGGTTGTCGACGTACTAATGGACTCAAATAACAATGAAGACCTGACTGTGCGGATAGCGGATTCATCGAGGACTCCTCCCTGATACCTATACTTTGTTGTTCACAAAAGGTTGAGTCATCATTTGAGGCCAAAAATTAAAGTTGCGGTATGAGCCGAGGATTCGGCAAAGAGCCCGACAGGCCTACTTAATCCCATAACGTGCCAGCCGCTAAGCAGAAAACAGTCCACAGTGATTATAAAGACACCAACCGGGATCCGGGCCATCGCTGACACTAAGGGACGTGACGAGGCAGAGCTTCTATGGTCGGACAGAGACGAAGTGGACAACCAGATGACGCGCAAGGACGCAGAGGAAGCCATTGGCGATTGTACGAGTGTCACGGGCGAAGCAAAGTCACGTGTTCCACTTCAAAGGTGGATCCGATCAGACCGCAAAATTCCTTCCACATGGCAGGCCTCGAGCAGATGCCCCTGACTGCCAGCTTCGACGAAGGATTATACGAGCGTTTATATTTGCAGACGACGAGCGAGACAAAACAATGCCCTCTGAGAATAACAAGCGATAACTTTGACTACGGTGGCTTGCTGGATACAGTGCCCACGGTTTATATAGTAGTTAGCGTCAAGATTCAATAAGGTTTCAGCTATTCAAAAGCAGCTGATGCATTTACGTATAGCGACCGTGTGAAGCAGCTAAGCAGCAATAAGGTCAAGTAACGATGGTTACCTGCCAGCTTGGCAGGTCCTCCTATGCACGGGGCAATCCCCTTAACCTATTTCGCGAACTTGTAGTTTACGGCACAGGCGGCGCTGCTTTCTCGTATCCCCATTCCGGCCGCGCCTAGCAACCATCCATTGGCACTAATGAAACCGCAGGATCGCATCCTTCGAACCGTTTGGGGCCGGCGTGCCGTTGCCCGCTAGGCCACTTACGTCGTACAATTAAGCATAATCGAAGAAGAAAACCAGCACAAGCCCCCGTTTCTAGACACGAGCTTTCGTCGAGCACTCCTTGTCGACCTCTACGGGCATCATTCGTTATTTCACCAAGTCACTCGCTCATCTTCCTCGTCTCGCATCAGGCAGTCATATCCCAAGTCGGAAGTCCTTGCACCCAGTTACGGAGTCTATCCACAATGAAGTCTTTCCTCGTCCTCCCCATCATTGCGGCAACCGCGATTGCGACTAAGCAGGGGCCAGCTTCAGAGCCAATCCTCGGTATTGACACGATCCACGGCTGTTACTCTTCCATCGGCGAGCTTCAGCGGAATGGGACCAGCCAATTCAACACGGAAGGGCTGTGTTCTACAGCCTGCATCCAGAAGGGTTCCAATGTTGCTGCCACTCAGGGCGAGCTTTGCTACTGCGGTGATAAATACCCGCCAGCCAGCACACTTGTCGATGACAGCAAGTGCACTGAGCCCTGCCCAGGCTTCGTGAGCGAGGCTTGCGGCGGTATCAAGCATTTCACTGTTTACAACACTGGTCTGAAGATCAACGTTGGGAGTTCCTCGGACGCTTCATCCAGCAACAAGGTAAGTCGGCTCGCGCCTTCGCAAAAATTACGATTCGGACTGTGCTAAGACATTGCTTAGACATCAACGACTCTGCCATCGTCTGCTCCCAATGCTTCGGCCTCTGCAACCACTTCGTCGCCGCCATCTTCTTCATCAACCATTGTCAGTACCAACGGCGCAGTTTCGCAACTCACGCTGGGCGGGCTCAACATGGCTGTCTTGGGCATGGTTGCTATGTTCTTGATGTGAGCTAGCGGTTTTGCTGTACCCATTTAGATTGTACCATCCCCTCGCCCTCGGTGTTGGTACTCTTGTCACCGAAGGCACCAATCATGCAATCATTACAGGAATAGAGCCTCCTTTCGGTATCAACAGTCTTCCAAGCGCTTGTCTCTTCAGGAACTATTTCATTCATGGCTAGTTGGGAAATAAGTGGAAGGGTGGTATATTCAGGATAGCATGGCATGGCGTAGGTATAGAAACAAGCCGGTAGGCCACCCTCTAAAAAGCGATGCCTGAGGCTGCATTCTCTCTCCGCAGAGAAACAAAATGAATAATTGTGCATCATGTATTCGAATATTTCTGGTGCCAAAAGAGCCTCAAGTGTTCAGAAGCCTGGGCTATACCATCGAGACAAAATACGATTCAACTCCCTTATACAGTAGATTCCATCGCTCTGTGGGCGAAGATGCGGCGATATCCGATTGGGGTCTCAAGGTGGTAGTCAAGCCGGAAATTATAGATACAATCAGCCCTGTAAGAGGATTCCCGCGTCGGGAACGCGCCTCAAGTTAACACAATGCTGGAGCAAAGCCGAAAAATTGAGATCGTTGGGTTCTTATGAACACATGGTCGACGGAGCAGGGCCAGTCAGAAATTGTGTATACGTCCGCAAGACACGATAGTGCGACGTCTATAATCGGATTTCCTTGTCGCTAACATGACTTGATCGAAAGAGAGAGTTGGAGATTGCCGATGCAGGCGAGACGCGATAACATGGTCTTGACTTTCCCAAGACTTCATCTTCCCACAGCACAGTATTATTCTAGTATTGCCCCCGAACATCCGTGTATTACCAGATGAAACGGTTACATCCCTCTGACTGTGTGGCGGACTGCGATTGATATCCAGAGTTCCCGCGTCTGGTCCTATTCAATGGGAACGCTGGGGCAATCCATCCGGTTTAGACCGAGAAATATTTATGATGCAACTGAGTTAGCCTATGGTTCACTGGGTTAGCGCAGTTTCGCTCAAGATCCTGAAAATCTCGTGAGCCGGATTCTGATAGTCCGTTCCCACGAGGCTGGTGTGCACAAATCGAACCCGTCGGTGGCTATTTTCTGATCTGACTAGACCCATAAATATTCCTTCGAGGTGACGGAGGTAATTCTGCATACTGCCAAAAGTGGTGGTTTCCAGGAACAAGTCTTCGGCGGGCGAGGTCCTTAACCTTTCCTCGAGGAGGTCCAGCTTTGTGAATATCACTACGAAGTTGGTCCGGGTGAACAGCCTGCTGTTAACGATTGAGTCAAACAGCCTCAGCTGTTCCTCTCTTTGGTTCACTGTCTCATCTTCCTGTAACACCCTGGCGTAATTTGTCGTGTCGACGGCGAAAAGCACTGTCGAGACGTCTCTAAAAGTATGCGTGCTGTGCCTCCTTTGGCTTCGGACACCTTCCATATCATATAAGAGGTATTCGACGCCATGGACGTCAAATGTGGTCTCCCAGGTGTTCCTCGTGGAACGCCAGATTCGGAGAATGTCCTCGTTAGTAGGTACATACTCAGGAGAGGCCAGTCTTTCGATATCCTTGGCAAAATGCCTGATACTCTCATCGGCTGATCCATGTGTATTTGCCTATAAGCTATTTGGAAGCCCTCGTCGTCCCATAGAGCCTTAGTGGCGTCAGCAATGTCTGGTGAGACACTGTCTATAGTTGAAGGCTGGCTGAAAATTGTTCGAACATGATGCTCAATAGATACTCCAGATTCAGCTAAAGTCATTTGCTGAGCTGCCATTGCTTCTAATATGAGACGAGTGTGGCCAATTATGTGAGAGCAGACCTTTGAACGAAATCTCCCATGCTGCTCCTTGGAGTGGCTGTATAATTCAAGTTGTAATGACTCCATCAATGCAGTCTTGCTGCTATCTGAGGTACCCAGGATTAAGACTTTTCGCTGCTTAGTATGGCCATGTAGTGATATGGTTGTACTGGTCGAATCTAATTCTCCAGATCTCGATATACCTGTCCCACGTTGTGGCATATTACTCGACCAACTACCGAACCCAAGAGTTCTAAGTTGCCGTAAGATCCTAGCAGGGGAGAAATGTTGAGTCGAATCGTTCCGGTTATTGGGGCTGGCTGCTACATAAGTTTGACGGTTGTTCAGGTGCTGCTCGAAACTGCGCATCGCGACAGGCTTCTGGCTTGGCGTTTTCAGTGAACTCATTTGAGTATTCGGAGTCTGAGCAAACCGTGCTTCAGGGATGCTTTGTTCTGAACCAGGTCCATCTCTTTTATCCGTAGGCAAAGATGAGTTGATACTATCCGCATCCAGTTCGTTGGCCATATCAGTCTGAGGTCTCCCAGCTCGAATAGCTTGTCGTAGATGGGACCTTTCTGCCGCCCGGTAAGTCTTAGATCCAAGAATGACTGCATCAAAATCAAACTCGACACTAATGTCAGCCGTGTTCTCCGTTATAAAACTCGTTGAGTCTTCAAGGCCAATGATGGAGGATGAGCAGTCTCTAGCGAGCCTCAATATCTCCTGGTTTTCTTCTTGGCTTATAACGGCGTTCTGCTGCGACCAATCTCGGCTATGAGGGTGTTAACTCAGTCTCCAATCACCTGAAGGTGACCCACCATTGTATTGCTTGCAGTAATAGATTCAGCGCGTTGGCCTGTCGATCCAGGAGGACCGAGTACCCAGCCATTTCTTTCTCGCTCCAGAGAAAGGCAATTCTCCGCTTTACACTCATAGGGGCGGGCGCCGCAGAGTCAACATAATCCAACAGCTGTTGAAGAGCCAGTATCAGAAGATCAAAGCTGTCGAGAGAGTGGCTGACCTGCACCGCCAGCTGTTGATACCTCGGGTCGTGACTGCGTTCCGCTTTGCTCCATTCAGACAACTGTTCAATTGCTACTTGAACCATGTACAACTGGCCAATCATAGTAGACAAGATTATTGGGGCATCATGATACTTGGATTTGAGTGAGCTCAGCCTAGTGATACACTTCACTACCACGTCGCCTAGGGAGACGGCTGAGCTCACTATCTGAAAGATGGACACTGGATCCATGCTGAAGAGCCACTGCAAGTGTGCGAACGCACAAGACAACGGGAATCGCTTTAGAGATTTTTGAACACCGTTTATTCTTCACTACCAAGGCTGCCAGCGGGGGTCCGTGATAAATGCAAACTTGTCTGCCCTGGTGGCGCAGGTCTCACAAGATCTGATTCGGCGGTTGGCGAACTGCGCCATGTAGTCAGTCCTACAACAAAACTGCGCCGCAGCCTTATTGAATTTCAGTCTATCCTCCCTTTCGCCTATGCACGTGACTCATTTTGGGGCTTAATATAATTGGTTTTGATGTCGGAAATAGAAAGGACCGCATCCATGCAGTCAACGTGCATCTAGGAGGATTGTGCTGCGGTGGAGGGCACCTCACCTTACCTTACCTCCACCCTCTAGACAAGGCTACATACTTGCCACATACCGGTACCCATTGGTTTGCTTGTGAACTCTGCAATACCAAGAAGAATCTTTGCGTGTGTACTGATGGAAAGTGAACCTCAAATCTAGCAGCCTTGTCGAGCCGGTCAGATTACATAGGTCACGTTAAAGATGAAGGTAATTCGAACGACAGAGTTCTTATCCTCTCTTTTCGTCATATTCTACGTAGGGAGTGCGCCGCTTTTGAATGTGAGAAGGCAAGTTGTGCTGCTTCTAGCCAAGGGTGTGATTGATTGCCTCGGTATCTAGTCATTTGCAGGCTGCCTTTACGTTGAGATCTTAGTTTCAACCAGCTTCAGACGCAACCAAGCATGATATCCTTAAATGTTCGACATTGGAGCAATGCCGTCTTCAGTACCGAAAAACCATAACCATAACGCCTACAAGATGCACTTACACCAGGCCACATCATCCCTGCATGGGATATGTACCGAGTGCTTCAGGTATCGAAAATGCGTGTCGCTTTGTAACGCCGTTCCAATGGTTTTGCAACCACTTCCCTTAATCCAGGAGCCATGCCCTGCGTTTCTCCTCTTTCTTAGCCCGCCTCTTCTCCTTGAACTGCTTCAGCTCGGTCTTGCTAGGCTTCTTCCCCGACCGCTCGGCTTTCAGACTGCGTCCGTTGTGTGAGTTGGCTGCCGCATCTACATCGAAGTACGCATTCATCTGCCGCCGCGACTTGTTCTCATCGTTGTGCTGGTCTGGGTTCTGGCTCTCACCTTGCCAGCGGCCAGTGAAGCGGTTGAAAGATCCGATGGCAGCATACGCAGCCGCAGGGTCTACGGGCTGCGTCTGGGTGGCCGTATTCTCCTCTTCGTGGCCCTTAGCGTACCAGGCGTTGGGGTCGTAATCGCCATGTATTGCAGGATTGTAACCACCGGCAGGCGGTCTCTCGTTCTTGGGCGGCTCAATAGTACCAGGTGCAGCACTCAATGAAGACGTTACTACTGCTGCTGCTGCTACTGCTGGCGTACTACGCAGTCGTGGGTTCTCCCATGTACTCTCCCCTGTGATGCGGTTGTGAAAGTAGTAGGCCTGATTTGCTTCATCCCAGTGATAGTCCCACCCGTCATCCTCGGAAGCCGGTGGAGGTTCGTTGGGTAGAGGCGGTGGTGCGCCCGGCTGCTCAACAGCCTTTGATGCGGCGGCAACAGGTGAGGCCTCGCCTGACTCCACGGACGAGCGAGACTCGGGGGATGCTGACTCTTGATCGGCCTTGGCTGGCGCTGAGGTTCCATCGCCACCCGTCACACCGCCATCATCGTCGGAGCCTGGCTGTTGGGGCGGGTCCGAGAGTAGCGCTGCCGGAGCAGCAGCACTTGCCTCGCCCTCTTCATGCCTGGATGACGTAGCGTGAGAAGCCATGACGAGTCGCGACGGGATAGGGTGCCGGCTCGTGAACTACAGGTGCAAAGATGGTGCAGACGCTTCAAGGAAATCGGGCATAATGAGGGCGCGACAGGACCTTGGGCGCGGGATGTCCAGGTAATCGCGTCCGGGGGCAGTGAGTGCACAATTCGTCGCAAATTGGTTGATGATGGTCCCGGATCATAACGAGAAGCCTGCCTACGACGAGGTTATCAGCTTATCGACTGATTGGATCGGACTGATCGGCTGGGCCCAGTTCTCAGGCGAGTGGGGCCATGGGCGGGGCCATTCTCGGCTCCGGGTTTACTATTCTACCTAGGCGTACGGGGACGCCGGGAGGTCCCGTCCATCCGGCTCACCTACCGAACCACGCGAACCACGCCTCATTTGTCTGTTGGTGTTCTTTGACCTCGTCACGGCACTTCCACCTGACATCCAATGGCCATGACTAACTTGGGCCCTGGTTTCGCACCACAATCACGGACGTATGATAATTTCAGGCGAGAGGCGCGGTTCCCAGGCTGGTGCGCACAGTGCCTTAGGTAAGAGGAACCCTGGCCTCAGACCCTACGACGGCGCTGTCCAATCACACCCAGGGCGGCCTGCGTCCCCAGATGTGGGTAGCTCTGCTTGTACGTGCGCTGCGACTGATTCCCGGACGCACTATTGGCCCCTGCAGCTCTTTGACGCAGAGCATTCTGCAGGCCAGGGCGGCTGTATCCTTCTCTGCTCCACCCCCAACGTCTCTTTGGAACTCTGTCTTGCCCTCTTCCGGCCCCAAGCGTCGCCTTTGTCTTCCGAGAGACATATCCGCACCAATTTGGCGTCTCTGTGAAACCCTGGCGTTGCTGAAGACTTGACCAGGCTGCCGGTTTCTCCGGCTTCCTCCACCGTGCTGCATCCTCTTGCACCGCCAAGGGCCGATCTCTCCTGTTCTCGATTGAATATTGCAAAAGTGAGGCAGCTTTGGGTTACTACGATGTGACCTCAGCCCCCGAATTGTGTCCAATATAGAGTTGTGAGGCCTCTAAACAATGACATCCCAGTGTTTGTTTCCTCACAGCGCCTTCCACCAATAGTCACTCGATTTCTCACAATCAGCATGCGTGGCTGAGAGCTTGACGTTATCACTCAACGTCAGCACGTCGCACTCCACATATTTAACCATAAACTACCCGGTTTGACATTATCCAATATAGCCTGCATTGCCCAAGCTGTCGTCTTTGCCCACGCGAAAGGCGTTCCCTGACCGGGCAGACCAGCAGGGTCTAGATTCTTGACCCCGAGTTTCTGCATGGGCACTGACAGTAATTTGTCAGGTTTGTGCAGCTCGCGTGTCCGCGCGCAAACTGAGCCGCCCATCCGGTCAAGATATGACCTCTATTTTTGGTCTCTGGGTACCCTGCAATCTAAGAAAGACCCTGCTCGTTGCGTTGGAAGCATATGTCTTGCCCTGTCACAGGTGTGGGTGGTCTCAAATATGGTCGGTACCGCACTCTGCATCCCCAGACTCTAGAAGCCCATGTTTGCAACTTCATCATGAGATCATACACTACTTGATCCAACTTGGATCGCCTGTACTTCCAAATCCCCGTGGAACTTCTGCTTGCTTGTCCTCTCGCTTGCGACTCCTGGGACTTGCAACCTCAGAATTCTGTACCGGGATATGGTTGGCGTCCTCCACGGCGTATAACATCTAATACGTACTAAGAAGGTCGCTATGGAGGCTGGGCGGCATCTTCTGCGCCCGTTTTTGGGCTTTCTTCTCCTCCTCAGCCATGTCTTTGCTGATTATCAAATCGTCAATGACAAGAGTTGCGACTGCTACTTGACGAATGGCAGCACGGGAACCTATTTCACGACGCACAAATTCTACGACTTCCGGTCTATGTCACAACATGTCAACGTTCCCGCGGTTTTATCAGATCCGGACGCAGCTGGTCAAGCCGATGTTTCGAACGACTATTTCAACTCACAGGAGTGGACAGATGCTTGGGGAATTCAACAGTGGAACAACAGTGCCAACTTAGACAGTGGGGATGCATCGGTTTTAATGGTCAATTCGCCTAGCAATGTCTACTTCGAGAAGAACACCGAGTCTGGTGCGCAGTCCGATACCTTCTTAACTCTAAGAACGGTTCGACTCGAAGACTTTCAGTCCTCGGCCGAGTTTGAGTCGGTTCCCAAGACCTATCACTTCGCCTCGGCTCGAATGTACGCCCGAACGGTTGGCGCTCCGGGGGCTATCACGGCTATGTTTACGTACAGAAAATCGGATGACCCGAATAAAATCCAGGAAGCAGACTTGGAAATCAGAACTATGGACCCCCCCGATGTGATACAGTACACCAACCAGCCTTCCTATACCAGGACGGGTGACGGTGAGAATTTTCAAGCCACTCGTAACGCTACGGTCCCCGTAGGCTGGGACGACTGGGCTGTGCATCGCATGGACTGGAGCCCCGGCAGTACCATGTGGTACGTAGACGGGCAAAATGTGAGCCAGATTGCGTACCAGACGCCACGAGATCCGAGCCAAGTCATCTTCAACTCATGGAGCGACGGCGCGCAGTGGAGCGGCAACATGAGCCTGGGATCCGAGGCGTACCTCCAGATCCAATGGATCGAGCTTATCTTCAACTCCACCGGCAATGAAAAGACAACAGACCCGAATAAGCACCGTATAAGGGGAATGCGTGGCTTGTACAGCAGGGAGGACACCAAAGGATGCCACAATATATGCAGTGTCGATGAGACAAAGGAGATTGGAACTCCAGTATTACTTCAGGGAGGCGCTTCGCAAGGCAGAGCTGGGAATCTGGGTCTTTGGATGCCAGTTCTTGCAGCAATCTTGCTGATACTACTATGATCGGATTGTCGATCTCGTAGGGCAGGTCTTTTGCAGCACTTGGGAACATATACCCTTCTTATTCAGGAGTAAATACACATCTTCACTAGAGTGGAACTCTCTTTATAGGCTTAATATGAAAGAGCTTTTGGGTTTAGTAACTCCGTATCACTCGTTGATGTCTGTTATAACGCTCTGTAGGCACCTACATCTTTTTGATAACTTCTATAACAGCTTTGATGCTTGCAAGATTTGTAATTTCTCTTCCACATTTTGGTTACCTACCTAAGGCAGTCACTTTATCATCCCTATTTGAGATAAGATTGGTTTTCAGAAAGTTGGAATGGGTGAATTACACTAAATACATGTCCCCCCAATTTCGTGAAGGTGCAAATCCTCTACGCTTGCTACGCTATGAATTGTGTGATTTGCCGATTGCTTTCCAACCAACGGAATTGCAGGAAACTATTGTAAAATGCAAATACTGCTGCTGATTGCGTCTTGAGAAGTTCACATACCAGGCTTAATTCATTGAGGATGTCGTCTGGGACCCGAGCTTGGCCCTAGGGCTCTCAGACCCCCTTATCGGAATTGCGATGGCATCGTCCTAGCATGAGTGGTACACCACACCAGTTCCCTTTGGAGACATAATCAGACTTCCATTGGAACCAAGCCGTGTTGTTTGCCATTTCTCTAGAACGTTCATCAATACTGCTACAAAGATGCCTGGCCAGATCTCGGAGACGTCGTCGTAGAGTCAAGCAACATTCGAGGACTTCCAATTTCAAGGTAAATTGACTGACCAAACACCACATTTCGCTTAAGTTTCAGAATCCGTCTGGGACATTATCCACGAAGACCAATTATACAAGGTCACATCAGTCTAAACGTATCAGGAATCTGTTCAACATCGCCTAGACAATATTTGAAAGAAAGTCGAGAGAGAAGCAAGCAACATACTGGTGGCACCTACATGGGTTTTGGTTGCCCCTGATGCTACACTTCGGTTCGCCGGAACACAAACGAAAACTCTGAAGAGAGGGGTATTCTGAACACCTGATGGTTTTGGCTGCAGTGACGACCTCTGTGAAACTATGATTATTGACTATCAGTTCCCAATATAGATGACACATCGAAAGACCGTCCAAGAAGGTTCCTATCCGCATTTATCCTTCTTCTGATGAAAACCTTATTTCGAGAAGAAGACGCGCACGGGTGAGCTAAACCCGGTGCTTCACTGACAAAATGACTGTTCTGATCTTTCCCAAAAATGACTGCATGGCTTGCTTAACCGATTTCCTTCATATACTTATCACACTGAGACTCGCCCTGCGAGGAGAATGGCTGCCTAAGAAATTCCACCTCACGTATAATCTACGTGAGCATCAAGCGACTTCCAAAAGAGTGAAACGGCACATAAATAAGCACGTAGAAACTCGAGGGACGCAGTGTTTCGATTCGGAGGATTGCCCATAGCTATTTGAGAGAACCAACTGCTGAGCAGATTTTCTCATCAGATAAGACCTCTACCAGAAGGCGCAGATGCGCCTGTGTAGGGCCTCGAAACAGGGTCCTCTGCTTGACAGGACATAAAAGCCTCAAACTCGTTAGCCCGTAAGATTATCGGTGACATACTGCTTGTCCAAAACAAAAATGTGCGGTACACTTTCGATTTGGAAAATCTCTCCTTTCTCTTTACGGGGTGCATTATGCGTCTCAATACGAGCTGTCACACTTGTCGTAGGTACGTCTCGTCCACCACACTTTATGAGGTATCACTTCTGGGCATGGACTACCAATGAATTTGATAGAAACCCCTTTCTGATGCTAGACTTCACAATCGAGCGCATGGCACATCAACAATACACACAGAAGACCTATCTGTGAGTGGTTTAGGGGACTACAGGGGGCTGCGTATGCAATGAGTTCAAAGGGCTGCGGGTGAACATGCCACCGCGTTGGCAACGCCCTGTTCAACACGATGTACTGAGGCATGTCAGAGCTTTGAACACCACTGGGCCTTGAACTCTCCAACACCGTGGTACGGCATAAGCCTTGGGCCATCAGTCGATATCAAAATGCCTTCACCGCCCTTCCAACCATAGGGGAAATGACGCACGACTGAGCGAATAAAGAGTGGTATTCCAGCAATGCAATCTACAGCTACAAGAGCTTGGACCAGTGACTGCAGTCTAAGATGAGTAATGGTAATCAAAACCAATGTAGCAGGTGTTTCCGATCAAAAGCCCCCTAGACTGGACTACCAACCGCTTACAGTCAGGCTGCTCGACTTTGGCAGCTTGTTCCGATACATTGCTCTAGCCTAACGTCACGACGAACGTGGAGGGGGTCTACCACATCCTTGTAAAATCTCAACACGGAGAGCTCAGGTATGTGACGAAATCTCTGAATGCCGCGTGCAGATGGCTGTGGTTCGCCCGCATCCTTGTCCCGTTTCAAACTATTGGAGGCTGGGTAGTGTCAGTGCCATGAGCAAGTGGCGGGAAAGCAGGATATTCACGGCCATGATGACTCTTATCTATTCGTATGACCAAGTGAAAGCCGTTTCGAGCAAGTATCTGTTCCTGCTGCGAACAGTGACCTACCTCACAAGGTCCTCGAGGTTTGGGGGCCCAGTGGCAAGCACCATTGTTGTAGCCCTACGATCATGTCTCGACTCATAGCCACCATCAAACAAGGCCCATTGCATAAGGCTCGACGCAGATCTTCTGGGGATGGACTAGGAAGTCCCTAGCTCATCTTCCTTTGAGCCGGGTCGCCCCATGCAATCGGCGCAGTAACATCTTGTAGCATGCCTTTGATCGTGGGTCAGGATACCAGCCAAGGGTCTACGTAGGCTCTAGAACGGGCTGCAGGTGACACCTCTCAGCCACACAGGGTATATTGCTGAGATACGACTTGATATTTGGAAACATGTCAACAGCCAGGCGATGATCAACGCTCTATCGTGTGTCTAGGTCGGTCCAGGGTGTCTCGTCCTCGAGTAGCGCCGACTGAACAACAGGACCCTGGTTTTAGCACTGCATTTGGCTGCACAGTACAGCCAACCCGAGATACTTGACGATGCTAGCTTCTGCCTTCTCGATGCTATGGCCGGCACCAGGCACGTGGATGCTCCCAGGGCCCTAAATCCGCATATTTCCAACTTCAAAAACGGCCAGCGTTCCTTAGGCCCAAATGCTTTAGCTAGCCCTACCGCGGAAGCCAGCGCAGTCTTAGAGAACTAAATGACTGGGTCTGTCCACGAGGCGGAGCTGTCAAGTTCGGAATCTTGCCGTGCTTCGTAGGGCTCCTTCTCACTACTACTGACTCGCGCGGTTGTCATATTGACGCCGGTCCCGTCAGGCGTGGCCCCTTTTCAATCTCGGAGCCAGAACTCCGCCCCGAACAGGTCCTAAGCAAGGACCGACTCGTGGCAGCAGCCCCAATTCAGAAACGTTTCTTTATTTGTGAGAAGCTCAGGTCGTGATAACGACATTGCACGACGGTACTCGGTTCCTTTGACGTGACAGGTGGCTCCGAACATCATAGCGTGAACGGCCATCAGGGTACAAATGGGGCAAACCTGGTCAGGGGAAGGGACCGTGTGAGCTAGATGGCGATGCATTCAGCATTATTCTTGATCTATGTAACTGCAAATCGCACTGGCGCCCTTCAAAGAGACATCGAGACGAGGCATGGCATTAGCATCGACTAGAGTCTAGACCTCTCGGTTATGCGGCACAGGGGGTCGAAGATAACAGACGTTTGATACAATGAATGCGGATTTGAGGAGCTACGCAGTGATCGAGCCTATAGAGCTGGCCTCAACCAGAGATGGACTAAACGTGGCACCGCCAACCTGTAGCTTTCAGAGGCTCATGCTCCAGATACCAAGAGACTGCCGAGTGAGCTGCTGTTACGATGACTGAGAGGCGCCATGTGCCCCGCAAGAGCCAAAATTTCATGGATTGGTCACGGACGCATTGAGCATGTCATGGCTTCAGCGAAGTGAGCTTCGATCCAAGGAAATTGCCCCGGTATACGCAACGCTTGGGTTTATGTCACGTACATGCTAAACCGAATTTCAAGGTAGTTTGCGAGGCACGTTCGCCGAGAGCAGCTGAAGCAATTGATATGCAGGGACACAAGCTTGCTCCCTATCCCGTCATCTCCTCGTCGCTGGTAGGTTTATTACGTCCTTGTCTACCATAGTGCTTCGTGGGAATCTGCTGGAGTAACCATAAGCTTTTCACATGTTGCATGATGCCTCTCACGCGACGAGTGCCTCTTTCTTGGCTCCAATTGAACTATCAAAACTGTGCGGCATGGTTGAGAGCACATTTGAAGTTGAGGCTTGTGATCTGTCATGGTCAAATCCACAATTCGTCGCGGACTTATTGGAGCTGACAGGTGTGGATGCGTCGCCCTGACTGTATGATAATCGTGGTCTGCCGGAAGTATCACATATTGCGGTGTCTGGAACTCAGAACTCAGAACAGCATTTAGAACTTAGAACTCAGCGCCGCCTTTCCCTCATTTGTGTGGTTCACTATGGAACTCAAATCACACCCCAGAGAATATGAGTAAAAGGCCGCATGACTTGAGTCATCCCAACTACCGCTCATCACGTGTGATGTATGATTATGGTGTGACAAAGATGTACCTCTACTATCGCCACTCGCCATTACGACCTCACTATGCCAAGTCTTCCTGCAGTCCACCTGCGTTTGATTGCCGTGTTTACTTTCGTGTTGATCAATGATATCTGACGCACGGCTGTATCTGTCTGGCGACGAAACTGTGTCATGTTCGCAGGCAAGATCTTTCCAGCAGACCGAGGGGCTGTTGCAGCAAGCAAGGTCTGTATCGAGCATCGTAATGTGATGATACGTTACTGTCGATCACATATTGATCACCACGTGCGCGAGAAAACTTCGTCTTCGGGCTCACCGCGACCAACCAGCAATAAGGGGAGCGACTCCACGCAGCTAGAATACGGAAAGCTTGAGTGTTGTCAA